ATTAAATAGTAAGTTAAACGCTATTATATAAACTATAATATCGTTCCTATATAATAAAGGAGAAGCGTATTACTCTACGCTCTATAAGGTAAGAGGAAAAGTACTCTATCGCTCTCTTAATAGAGCGAGAGAGCGGTTACGTACGTCGATCCTAGGGAGCCTATACGTACCCTACTTCGATCCGTAATAAAAGGATAGTAGAGATACGCTAGAGTTATTTAGCTTATAATTAATATTAAAACGTTAGTATATAGCTCGTATATCTTACGCGCTATATAATAGATAGAGACGGTATATATAGTCGAGTTAGTCTAGTTTATATTTTTCGAATAGTTAATATAGCTATTTAGTATATTTTTTATTAATATCCTAGTTATAGCTTATATTCTATTTAGAAGTAATATCGTTAATAGGGAACTATATAGTTATTAGTTAAAAAGATTTAGCTTATTTTTTAATTAACTTAGTCTCTAATAGTATACTATCTATAAGTCTAATTTTTTTACTAATACTACTATAGCTTTTACTAGATTAAGCTAGCCTTTTAGATAGTATAGTAAAGCTATATCTTAAAATAATAATAAAGTATAAAAAGAAAAGCGATATTCTAAAAGTAATATAGTAGAAAATAGATAGTATAAAGTAGTAATCTATATTAAATAGAGTTTATTTTCCGAAATTAAGAGGCTATTCCTAAAAATAGTATAATCTAAGTCTATTCTACTAATTTTAGTAATATACTTATATATATCCTCTCTACTATAATAGCGACTAAAGCTTATAAATTAGCTTTTTACCTAATACTTTTCTAACTATAGCTCTACTTTTAACTTTTCTAATATAAGTAAATTATCTACTAGTATTATTAATATAACTAGAATACTTTATAACTAGTTAATCTATTTTATATCGATCTTAATTTATAGGAATATTCTTTATCTCTAGAAATAGTATCGAAAACCTAAAATACTTAACTATTCTTAAAAATAGTATTAAAAATATAGAATATTTAACTATTCCTAGGAATAGTACTAAAACTCTAGAAAATTTAACTATCTCTAAAAATAGCGCTAAAAACCTAGAATACTTAACTATTTCTAGAGATAGCTCTAAAAACCTAGAAAATTTAACTATCTCTAGAAATAGTACTAAAAATTAAGAAAACTTATCTATCTCTAGAAATAGTACTAAAAACTAAGAAAATTCTATCTATCTCTAAAAATAGTATCTATTTCCTAGAAATACCTAAACCTAACTTTAGAATCTAAAAGTATTTTTAAAATATAAAATAATTAGAGTAATTTTTCTTTATATATAGGAACGATATTATACTTATTATAATAGCGTTTAACTTATTATTTAATTTTACTATTTAGTTTATAATTATACTTAAACCTCTACTTTAAAGATTACTTTAGTAGTCTATTAATTCTCTTTTTTTAATAAGCTCTAACTAAAAACTTAAGCTTAGTACTTATACTAAGTAAAATTCTAGGATTAATAAACCGATTCTAATAATAAGCTCTTTTTAGTTACGTAACTTTTAGTACTAATACTTTAGATATCTACTTTAGCCTATCTATCTAGACTATACTATTTAATAGAATCTTCTTTATATATAGAAATAATATTATAGTTTATAATAATAGAATATCTTTTATTATAGACTACTATAAATCTTAATATATAATATATCTTCTATTAACGAGCTTTAAGTAGTAGAGAGTATTTAACGACGTACTTATAACGATAAACCTACGAAAATTACGACTAGACCGGCGATGAAGTCTAGCCGACAAGACAGGTACTTATTAGTAGATCTCGGCAGTCTAGTAGCGAGCACATGTACACGGATTCAACTGCCTCGATGCAGACGGAACAGGGCACGCTATCCTTCGCACTATGCGACCGGTCAAGCGAATGCTCTTGTCTCCTTCTCGCACCACCTCCAAAACATCTCCGCCTTGCCACCATCCGCCAACTCGGCCTCGACATCATCCCGCACAGGCCCAAACCGTCCCCATGGCCATGCGTACGCTCCGTTGCTCTCCGGCTTGACATCCTCGCTCCAACCGCACCAGAGCTCGGTGTACGCTCCCAAGATCGCTGGGTTGAGCAGCAGCTTGTCAACGACCCAGACCTCGAGCTTCCCCGAGTGCCGCTGCAATTCCGTCCTTAGATTGCCCGGATTGAAGGCGACGTTGACCATTCCCTTTCCATCGGCTGCGATCGGGGGCTTTCTGGCGAACTGCGAGGCGAGGAAGAGATTGCCAGCTTTGGTGGCGCCGTAGTTGACTTGATTGTTGCTGCCATGAGCTTCGAACGCACCGTCTTTGTCGAAGCTGACACCACCCTTCGGAGAAAGCGCATCGACGCCGAAGGATGCTGCCCAGGCGATACGAACGGCACCGGGCGCAGCTGCAGACGCAGTACGCTCGAGAACGGGACTCAACAGCCGAGCAAGGAGGAAGTGACCAAGGCAGTTCGTCGCCATCTGCATTTCGTGCCCTTGCGTTGATTTTGATCCAATGGGAGGGAACATGACGCCGGCATTGTCTGGAAGAAGCATGTTAGGTTTGCCATTCGAAGCCGCAGCACGATCTCACTTACTGATGAGGACGTCCAGCCGGGATACTTGAGACAAAAAGCTCTCCACCGCAGGTTTGATCGTCGTCAAGTCTCCAAGGTCCAGCTTCAAGAACTCGAGTCTTCCTTTGCTCGAAGGGTGAGCTTTCTGGATGCGTACCATCGCTGACTCTGCTTTCTCTTTGCTGCGACCGGCGATGTATATTGTGCCATTCTTCGAATACAATATCTGCGAAAGCTGGTCTCCCACTCCAGCGTAGCCACCAGTGACGATGAAGACTCTGCCGGACTGGTTAGGCAGGTTCTCTTCGGTCAGTCTGGGATTGGGAAGGAAGAACGATTGCTTGACGAAATGGGACAAGACTTGGAACACCATGGTGTAAGAACCTGCTCGCAGGACAACCAGACAACGAGTGGACTGGGTATTCTGTACTCCCCAGCGTAAGTGCGAGCGTGATGTTCAAGTATTTCTTCTCTGATGTCCTCAATGCGTTCCGTGCATACTGCGCATAATTGGATTGTCTTCCCAATGCTGCTGCCTGGGGACAAAGGTATCTTCCTCATGAGCCGCTCGTACGAGGCCGGGCGAGAATTGAGGTTGAGGTGATGTCAGGTTGCGGTCGAGGTTGCTCTCTTGAGTCTTTCCGTGTGTGCGGCCGCACCAAGGATGGACGAAGTTACCCGATGAGGCTGGAGGCTGAGCACGCTGTCTCAGTCCCCAACCTCGTCTCTGCCGCGGCTGTATGTCTTTACGAAGGTCGACGATCAGGCAACTCCTGAAACTACGGGCAAGTCATGAAACGCAAGGTCTTCATGTGTCTACGCTCTCAATTGACAGTTGCGGCGTTGAGCTACCATACCACTTGCTGCACAGTACAGTCTCTAGACCTAGGGAGATACATTGCCTCGACATTCCTCAACGCTGGCCCAGCCCTGCTGAATGTCTTTTGGAGAAATCAAGCAGGCTTTCGTCCGGCATCATGTACAGTCGTGTATGATCTAGATCTATCGTACACTTCGATCGTAAACTCGTGAGCATCTTCTCATATCCCTCTCAAACACCATCCCAGCACCCAATCGAACAACGCCGTACCCGATTCTCTCAAGCAGCCGTCAGCGAGATATCGTCAACATACAACTCTCCATCGGCATTCCCGCCACCGTGTGAAGCACAATCCTAGGCCAAACCCAGGACAGCCGCATCTTGACTCGCCGGAACTGCAACGGGTCCGTATTGAATGTAGACTGCTGCGGTCACAGGGAGTACATTGTCGGAGAATTTGATGTCAGGTAGCGTTTGGTTGCCAAAAGAGACTGTCAAGTCGCAGAACTCTCCGCTCAAGGCGTCAATTCCGGAGGTTTTGTAGGGCATGTAGTAGAACGTCAAGAAGTACGCTGCTCCAGAAGTGGTCGACCAGATCGTTTGGCTGATTTGTGGGATCGAGGCATTGACTACTGAATGAAAGTCGCTGTATTGCCAAAGCGTCAGCAAATGATCGACTTTGAACTTCTGTCATCGCTGTTTCGTACCCGTATTGTGTCTTGGAGTGTGCAAAGCCCTGCGTGCGTCCCACCGTAATGTTACCACTGTGCGACCAGTAGGGTACTGACCCAAGACCGTCGACGTCGCCATCGAAGGCCCCATTCGTTACCAAGTTTGAAGGCGTGGGCGTGGGAGTGCTACTCGTGGCAGTGCTGCTCGATGTCGTTGATGAGGCTGTACATGTGCGGTCAGGGATACGTTCGGGCTGCTTTCTTCCACCACTCAAGCTGGGAACATGGACACTTCCTTGTAGTGCCATCGCTCGTGGTCGATGTGCTTTCGGGCGTCGATGTAGTGCTGTCGGTGGTAGTCGAAGCTGGAGCGCGAATTGTCAGATGCTGTATCAACTGTCAAGCAGAGGATAGAGGGTGCTTACTGGACGAGAAATCTGTAGTGCTGTCGGATGTGGTAGAGACTGTAGTGCATATTGTTAGCTCGGGTCTTCCATACCCAGCAGTGGAAAAGGCTCCTCACCAGTAGAGCTGTCCGTGGTGCTCTCAGATGTCGTTGTCGATGAAGTACTATCATCAGTCGTCGCTGGAATGGATTCGGTCGTCGATGAAGTAGTACTGTCCGTGCCCGTTGGAGTGGTTTCCGTTGTTGATGAGGTCGAATCACTTGATGTCGTCGTTGTGTCCGGTGCAGTACTGTCCGATAAGGCGGTGCTTGTTAATGAGGTACTGTCTGAGGTACTCGACGCTGAACAAGCTTCAAGTCAGGCCCGCACTTCAAAGCGGCGATTTGAGAACGTACTGGTTGTTTCGATATCACTGGTCGACGAGTCGCTAGTTGAGGTCTCGGTAGGTGATGAGCTGCTAGCTGAAGTCTCGCTGGTGGAGGTTTCGCTGGTGGAGGTATCGCTGGTGGAGGTATCGCTGGTCGGACTACTGACGGTCAGGACCGTAGTAATATCCACATCAACTGTGGTTGTCGACGGAACGACGACGATTGACGTCGATGGAACGATAGAAGTTTCGGTCTCAAATGCGGTACTGGCATCGGCGGTGACAGTAACGTATGTCTGTTCATTGAAGTCAGCCCAGCATTGGTAATACATCTTCTAGTTCGAATCGTCGCGGGAGTCTCAATGCAAGAGCATGCGGTGCTCAAGAATGCGTTGGTACCGTTGGTCGACGAGGCTCTGCGTATGACAGCCCGCTTTTGAGCAAGCTCCGTAGCTGTCGCTACTACCGACGTGAAGTAATCTGTCTCGACGGATACGGACGTAGCCAGTGTCACATCTGTTGCTAAGATTGTCGTTACGGATGTGATGGGATCCGGTGTGACTGCGGGCTCGATCAGCTTCGAATAAGAGGAAGGACTCGAGAAGAGCGACTCACCGGTCGATATGACAGTCACGGCAGCGACAGGGAAACGGGAAGAGCAAGACGATTGAAATGGTGCATAGCCGGCGAAGCTTTGTGCAACCCTGTACGGCCACGCGGAGCAGACGGGAGTCGCAGCATCTCGGCCTGCCAGAGGCGATGCTTGAGCTGTGATAAGGAACGCAGAGGCAACGAGAGCAGACGGGAGAAAAGCCATGGCGAGGAGTGCTCCGGCTCGGGTTTCAAGTGAACGAAGAGAGTGAGACACAATGGAAGGGAAATGGTCGCGGACTCACTGCCATCTTGTAGCCCATTCTGATGGCTTTCTGATACTTTCCTCTCGATGCGCATATGCTTCCGCCTTTGATGCACCAAGTTGTTTGATGTTGATTCCGACCACGTGGGTTCAGAAGAAGAAGGTGCAGAAGAAGTGAAGTTGGGAAAGTCTCCACACCGCCAGTCCCCATACGGGCAGCTGCTGCACAAGATTCATCTGGATCTGGCCCAAGCAAGCCACATCTAGGAGCCAAAGGATTAAGATCTCACCTTTTCGGCCAGTCGACCTCTTCTGAGAGTCCTTGTTGCGCCGTGGCAGCGGTCCACGCCCCTACCTTGCATACAGACGGCTGTTACACCTCAGACTATCGTACACTCTGCACCCAGTCTGGCCGCACCGTCTCTTCCACAGAACTGGTCCACAGCGGCCGGAGCCCAAATTTGATCCGCCACAAGACTCTGGAACTTCATCCGAAAACAAGACGGGACGATGGCTGCAGACAACATGCAGTGACGGCTCAGAGCACCGAGGCTCGCATGAAAAGGCGGTGCTCCCATGCGCTTTTCAATGAACTGAAGTATGGATGCCCTTCCTTCGCCGCCGCCCACTCGGACAGAGATTGTCTGGCCAGTTTCTTCGCCTGCAATGGTATCTGAGAGATGATCTCGCTTCTCCGTCATTCTGTCTTGAGCGTATGCTACTTTCATCCATAATCGCTTCCATGCACTAATATTGAACTGGGCGAAAACGATCAGAAGCTGGCAATAGTATTCATTCCGTAGGATAATCCAACGACGAGGCATGCAACTAATCGATCCTACTTCCCCGAACGATGATGCTATCTACCAAAACGCCATGCATCGAACTTCAACACTCTCCCTCGTCTCTCCATACGCTACATCGCCGAGATCTGGACTTCCGTGCAGGCATCCCACCTCCTCCTTCGCCTGGCTCCCCACTCCAGCCGTATCGAACAACTTGACGAACAACACCTCGTCAGGCTCCATATTCGACACATAATAGAACTTCAGATCCTTCTCGCCCTCGTTCTTGGTAGCCTCTGGTCGGACTTTGAGCATGGCGAATTCCTTCTTCCAGTCGCCTTTGTAGCCGGCAACACGATTATCATACGGCTCTACCACGAAGTCTCCATGCTGGCTTGCGTGGCTCCACGGTGCCATTGCGAGCGGATCTCTCGTCACTGTTTTCATCGGCCTCCAAATGGAAAAGGCGGCATATCTGGGACCCAGCTTGCCCGAGACATGGTCGTTGTACTCTTCCTCGAAGGCCTCTCGATCTCCTTTACCTTCAGCGTGAAGAGCTGCCTTGGCACAGATTGCCTCCTCCGTGGCCAGGATTCCACACTTCTCCGCGAGTTCGGTCACTTCCTCCTTCATGCTCCGCACACTCTGCCGCCCACCCAACGCCGTCGAGTCGCAGTGCGGCATGCGAATCGGCTGCAAAGGCGGACCTGGCTTGTGGAATGTCTTCTTCATGTCAACCTCCGCTTGCTGATCTTTAGTCAACATGCCGACCCGGAAAGCCTTCATCTCATCAAGATTAGTGGGTGGTGCGCCTCCTCGACAAGTACTGTTGTTGATGACCACGAACTTGCACCCAGTCACTCGCTTGACTAGGTCTTCCATCTCGGCATAGTATACATCGTTCATTGTGTCTGCGTCTCTGAATCCCTCGATGTCTTTGATGGAAGAGACGTGCTTTACAGCTGTGAAGCCATGGGATCTCATGAATGCTTCATCTCCATTGTAGTCGCCCCCTGGAGCTGCCGTGAAGACTTGGCTCCTGAAGTCGACGAGAGGGAATGTGACGGACGCAGAGGCTTTTGGCTTCGGGGGAGCGCCATATGGCCTCGTGAAAGGATCCGAATGTGGTTCGCCATCGAATACCGGTACAATGAATTTTCCCTTCGTAGCAATTGGAGTGTCACCGATTGAACCCATTTTCGGTCAGACTAGAGTAAGCTGTAACGAAGTTGGAAGAGCAAAGTCGAGCCGTACAAGTACCTGAATTGGTTTTGTTTGCGCCGTCGTAATGATTGATAAGGTCCTGCATAAGTGCAAAGTATCCGATCCTGTGGAACTGTACTGGGGCGTTTTCGGACATTTTTGTGAGCGTATTCGTCTCGCACAACACTATATCGTACTTCGACGGCATAGACTGTTAGATAAAATTGATTGAAGTCGATGGAGCCCTGCCATCGTCCGCCGTGCAATAATCCGAAGTAAAATCAGCCCTACAAGTATCTAACCGTACTACTCGTTCGGTACCAAATCCTGTTTGGGATGTTATCAAATCGAATCCTTCGACAGGAAGCGTGCTGATCAATGAGCTGTTGGGTAGTCGATTCTCCTACAAGTGGGACTTCGATTCGACATTATTCAGGGCACTATGATTCTGCCTTCTGACCTGCTCTACCCACCATGACTGCCATACCCATTGCCGACATATCAGCCTTTGTGGGCGGACAAGATGAGCAGACGAAAAGAAAGGCCGCCAAACAGCTCGCAGAGGCCGTAAAACTGCACGGATGTGCTGGTATTACTGGCCATGGCCTACCTGAGACCGACCTTCATGATGCGTTTTCCACCATGCGCAAGCTATTCGATCTTCCTCTCGACGAAAAGATGCGAGCGCCACACCCTGATGGCCCAATGCCTCATCGAGGCTATTTGGCTACGGCGAAGGAGAAGTCGGGAAAGCTCGGCGCTGTCTACAGTACTTCTGAGAGTGAAAAAACATTTTACTCGAATGCCATCGACTGGAAGGTACAGTCGTTGGACGACACTTAGCCAGCCCTCCGTACTGACAGTTCCAGGAAACGTACGACATTGGCCATGAAGACAACGAGGAGCAAAAGAACATCTGGCTTCCGGATGAGGTCTTGCCAGGGTTTCGGCCGCACATGGTAAACCTACATGGTCAACTTGCCACCATCACTCAAGCGATCCTTGAAGGTTTGATGTTGGGCATGGACTTGAGCGAAGAAGAGTGCAAGACGTTACGCTGAGTGCACTCTCCAGTCGAATATCAACTTCGCTTAGCCCATTACTTACCGATGGGTTATGATGATTTGAGTGATCCCAATAAGATTCGTCTCGCCGCGCATCGAGACTTCTCGTACAGATGACCCTTTCACTACCCTTCAAGATCAATACTCACAGGCTGTTGCAGATCGTACACACTCCTTTTCCAAGAGTCAGAGTCTGGCCTCGAATTCCAGAATCGAGAGAGCGGCGAGTACATGTCGGCATCGCCTCGAGAAGGAATGCTGTACCTGAACATCGGCGAGTTCATGGAAAGATTCTCGAATGGTAAGACCATCATAAGCCCTCAGGAGCGTGCTTGTCCCCGATACCGTGTTCTGATGGATGGACAGGCCTTTATCCGTCTGCAATGCATCGAGTAGCGGTTCGTCCTGCACAGAACGGCGAGAAAACGATTCCTTCCCGGTTTTCGATCCCATTCTTCACCATGATCAATTCCGCAGAATCCATTTATCCGATGCCTTCGCGAGTCGAAGCGGATGGAAAAGCCAACTTTGAGCCTGTCGCATTTAAAGACCTGGTACAAAAGCTGTTCAATACGCTGCTGCCGGCCGCGAATGGTGCCTAGGGTCTCGGCAGTACAGTGGATGAGTACAAGTCGGAGCGGGCTGGCGATGGCATGGATGTGCGTGGGGTGCGAGGGTTCAAGGTGTGGCGGAAAGGGAGGGCATTGGTCCAATGTAGGTCGAAGTGCTGCCTGCTTTGGTCGAAAGAGGGACCGACCTCATCACTGCTGGCTCTCGACTGGCTTGGCTTGAAGATCAACACGCATTGGAATATCCAGATTGAATGACACACCATTGAATGGCTGCGTAATGATTGGAAGTTAGCATCAAGCCAAGCTCAGCTTGCTGATTTCTTTGTTGAAGACTACTCTCCCTTTCTCGACACCTCTCCAGCAGTGAGCTTCGGAAACTTGATCTCATCCAAAGAACCCTCCCAAGGCTCATAATCCGCGGCGTTCTTTACCACGGTGGTCGACTTGGTGGGGAAGAACGACGTTGGCTCCTCGTACTCGTAGACCATTGTAAAAGTACCAGTGGAAACGATTCCATGAGGCAGTCTCACGCCAGCAGGACATGCAGTGAATGTATGTGGCACGCCACCGACTGTAGTGACCAGCGAGCCTGGAGCCACAGCAAATACCTCGCCAGCCATCTCGACGAGTCCCACGCCGTGGAGGATCATGATCCTTTCGTCGACCAGCCTCGTCGTGTCGATGCTCATGTGGATATGTCTGGGCAGGCGATAGTCTGTTGAACTCGATGAATCCGAGCTGTCCTCGAAAGCCCTTCTCGTTGGACGGCGAGAGCTCATGCATGGTCAAGGCCACAGCGTCGAAGGGCTTCTTGACATTGGCGGCATCGCCGTGGGTAATGCGGGAGCCGTGATCGAAGACGACGCCGACGTCCGGTGGTGATTCCATCGTAAGATCAAGTGCCGACGGTGCGACGGCATGGATCAGGACGTCGTGGTTGTTGATAGCTCCACATGCCGAGGAGGAGAACCGGGGGCGGTGGCGGCACAAGACGGGGCGGCAAATCGGCTGGCAGCAGATTGGGCCGAGGCAGCTTCAGATCTCCCGGCATGTTATTCACCTCATCCATATCATCTTCGCCTTTTTCTCTATATCTTTTGGTTTGTCCATCTTCCCCATTTCCTCCCCACAAACATTCCACATCTTCCACTATGGCCACCCAACGACTCTCAGACTTCGCTGCCCAGCTCCTTCCCGGCCAGAAGCCGTTGGACAAGATGTAAGTGAATGAACCTCTCCCCCACCGCAAGTTTCACATGTCAAGAGCTGACAGGTTGGTATCACAGCACCCAGAAGAACCCCGACGACATTGTCATCACCTTCGCGACACGAACGCCCCTCGCCAAGGGCCGAAAAGGTGGATTGAAGGACACCCCTCTCGATGGCATTGTCTTCAAGATCTTGGAGAAGACGCTCCAGAAGTCGCGGATAGACCCTCAATTGGTTGAGGATGTCTGTCTTGGAAACGTAAGATTAGGTCGGGCAGTATTATACAGACTTGCCTATTGATACGGATACAGGTCTCGGACGCCAAAGCCGCCTACTACTGCCGCGCCGCCCTCCTCGCCGCCGGATTCCCCATCACCACCGCCGGCTCCTCCGTCAACCGCTTCTGCTCGTCAGGCCTCAAGGCCGTGCAAGACATCGCCAACCAGATCACCACCGGCAGCATCGAGATCGGAATTGCCGTCGGCGCTGAGTCCATGACGGCCGGCGGCGACCGCCTCACCCGCCCCTTCGTCGACGACATCATGAACGCCAACCAAGACGCCCGCGACTGCATGCAGCCCATGGGCCAGACGTCGGAGAACGTGGGCAAGGACTTCAACATCTCGCGCGAGCAGCAGGACCGCTACGCCGCCGAGTCATACCGCAGGGCCGAAGTCGCACAAAAGGCGGGCTGGTTCGACGACGAGATCACACCCATCACGGTCAAGCTCGACGGCAAGGATGTCACCCTCACCAAGGACGAGGGACCACGATGGGGCACCACTTTCGAATCGCTCAACAAGATCCGCCCCGCTTTCCCCGACTACGGCGACAAGTCCACTGGCGGCAATTCCTCCCAGGTCACCGACGGCGCCGCAGCAATCCTCCTCATGAAGCGCAGCAAAGCCCTCGAGCTCGGCCAACCCATCATGGCCAAGTTCGTCGGCGCCACCGTGGCTGGTCTCGCGCCTCGCATCATGGGTATCGGTCCATCCATCGCCGTGCCCAAGCTGCTGAGCAAGTTCGGCCTCACCGTCGACGATATCGACCTCTTCGAGCTCAACGAGGCATTCGCCAGCATGGCCGTCTACTGCAAAGACACGCTGAAGATTGATTGGCAGAAGATGAACCCAAGAGGAGGTGCGATTGCGTTGGGACACCCGCTGGGATGCACTGGCGCGAGACAGATTGTCACCGGTCTGAGCGAGGCCAGAAGACAAAAGAAGAAGGTCCTCGTTACGACCATGTGCATTGGTACAGGACAGGGCATGGCTGGTTTGCTTATTAACGAGCAGGTATAGATATTGTATATCATATGAATTCACGGCTGGCGTTGAGAAAGAAATCGATATCTTCATCTATCAAGTCTCCGCACAAGTGGAATTATGCACCATTTCCATGCTCCTCGCAAATTCCGCAGAAAGTATATCACCCGTCTTTATTTCATTCATCCCCATGTAGGGATCTTCATCGTTCCATGCTCATTCAAATGCTTGTGCATGTCGAATGCATTCCACAGCAAGTGCGGCTCGTGTCCCCATCCCTTCTTCAAGCACTCAAACTCCGCTTTGTCAAAGTAATCCTTCAAGATCGGATAGTACTCTGGATGCGCGCACTTCTTGATAATTTCCCTGGCTCTTTCTTTCGGCGACATGCCTCTCACATCGGCGAATCCTTGCTCCGTCACCACCACATCCAAATCGTGCTCGGTCTGGTCGACGTGAGTGCACATGGGGACGATGCAGCTGACGCCGTGTGGATCCGTCTTCGAAGGGCGCGTGGAAGGTGTGTGCATGATGGAGTATTTCGAGGATCGGAGGAAGTCGGCGCTACCACCCAGGCCATTGAGCATGCGCGAGCCCATGACGCAGGTCGAGTTGGCGTGGGCGTAAATGTCCACCTCGACGGGCGTGTTCATGCCAATCACCCCCAGCCGGCGGATGATCTCGGGCGAGTTGGAGACCTGCTGCGAGCGGAGGAGCAGTTTCGGGGCGTAGTCGGCGTAGCGTTCGTAGAAGCGGTGGAACCCGTCGGGCGAGAAGCGGATCGAGGTGGCCGTTGCGAAGTCGAGGTTGCCGCTGTCAAAGAGGTCGAGGAAGGAGTCCTGCAGCACTTCTGTCCACACCTTGAGGTTCTTGAAGTTGGCGCCGCCGTGAGACAGGCCGCCAATGACGGCGTTGGCGATGTTGCCGATACCAGACTGGATCGGGAGGAGGTTCTCGGGGAGACGGCCGTGGGAGACTTCGTGTTTGAGGAATTCGATGAGGTGGGAAGCGATGGCCTTGGAGTTGTCGTCTTCGGGTGCATTTGGCTGCGTTTGGTCGGGATAGTCGCTTTCCACCACAGCCACCACTCGCTCGGGGTCGACGGGGATGTAAGGTGTTCCAATCCTGTCTTCGGGCGACATGACAAGATACGGCTTCCTGCGCGGTGGGAGGTCTGTCATGGTGATGTCGTGCAGTCCCTCGAAGCTGGGCGCCGCCGTGTTGACTTCAATCACGATCTTGTCCGCCACTGCGAGATGTCAGCTGCCGTTCATATTCCTTGATAGTCGTCTTTTCTTACTCTGAATGATCTCTGGACTGGCGCCCACGCTGGCTCCAGGAATAATGCCCCCGTCTTCTGTGATAGCGCTCGCTTCCACCACAGCCACGTCCAGCCGATTGTTCTCCTTGTGCTTGGTGTAGAAGCCGTACATCAGATCCACCGGGAACATGGACAGGTGCTTGTCGAAAAAGTTGATGTTCCCATTGTTGATGCCTCTGGCGATCTCCTTGCCCACTTGATGCGGCGCTCTCCTCTCGATCTGTCCACCGGTCAATGCCTCGTCTTCTCTGACCCTCTCGTCCTCATCTTACCATATTATTCCTGGCCCATCTGTTCTCCGTCTCTGCTCCACTCGACGCTCCCACGAACAAGTTGTACTTGAGCTTTCCTTGCAGGTTGTTCTTCTCGACATGCTCGGCGAGAGCGGTGGGCACCTTCTTGGGGTAGCCAACACCCGTGAATCCGGACCAGCCGATGTACGAGTTGTGCGGGAAGAGATCGATCAGGTCTTCTGCTTTGGCGAGTCTGGAGAGGTACGAGGGCCGGCGCACCCGGCTCTTGAGCATTGCAGAGGCGGCCATGGTCGGTAAGGAAAGAGTGGAGAGGGGTGTAGAGAAAGAAGCCAGGAGAGTGAATGAATGAGAAAGGAGCTTACCTACCTACCGGATCTGGACATCTCCTGTCTTGGGCGCACCGCGATGACGATGCACCCATGCGTGGTATGACATTGCCGCAGCTGGTGGAGCTCGCCCAGAAGATATCCCAGCCATTGGGGTCGTCTGGAGTCGGCCGGGTTTCGGGCGGAGGCGGATGCGGTGGAAGGATTGCGGCTTGTCGGTTCGCCCCTGAATCCAGCAACAACAACATCAAAATCGTGCTCTTCTTCACAACTACAACCCATCCCCTCGCTCGAACACTCTGGCGTCAAGTAAATGTCTCAAGCAAGGCCTGACCACGCCTTGCTCCACCGAGATACAAAATGCACTCACGACTCGCTGATGCCGGAATCATACCAAGCTTGGATGGTGAAAAGGTCTTGAAAAGCAGGCGGCTGGACCATGTGGAAGCCTCGCCGGCCCTTGATGATGAACTGTATGGCTTTGAAGTCCGATAAGTACTTTCTCCTCATCTTGTTTCTACTCGTGCTTGTCTCTGTTGAATATGATCCTTACGCTGTGGTCTTTTTGTGTCTGAGCATAAGTGGTGGTCAATTGTGACTTCAAGGTGATTTCGGCGGCATGGGTGAAATTGAGGTTTAGCGGGACAACGATAGCGGTTATAAGGCTTTCCTATAAAGACAGTCCATGAAGCCTCACTAAACGCTCTTCCTCCCCATCCAAATCCACATATCTGCACCTCTGCTTCCTCCCTTCACGCTCCGCTTCCCACTCCCCAGGAAGAACCAACCTCCCTTTCGTCCCATTCGGCCCCAAAGCAGTAATAACAGCCCCTTTTCCTCCATCAACAATCTCCCACCTAGCACTAATAACCCCATACGGCGTCGGTACCGTCCCATAAGCTTCAGTAAGCCCAAGAGCTCCCAAATTCGGGCGGAACTCCCACGTTTTGAAGCCTGGGGACGTCGCGGTGATGCCGAGGACATATTCTGGAAGGACATACGTCGGAGCAGCGCCCCAGGGATGGGCAAGGGAGGTGAAGAGATCGATACCGGGAGAACCATCGGGATAGAGGTATTCCCACGAGGCGCCGGAGTGGTACTCGTCTTGCAGTACCATTTGGCTCCAGAAGTCGTCGAGCAGAGTCTTCGCTACTGTCGTATTCTCAACGCCGAGATCCCGATGGGCGATGAAGAGGCCTTCGAGGAGCATGCCGAGGATGTTGGGGGAGAGTTGTGTTGTGGATAAGTCGGGGTCGCTGGAGGAGGTCTTGTACCCAGCGCCGAGACGGAGATCTGGCAGCTTCGCGATCATGGAGGCCGCTTGGGTTGAGTTTGCTGCTCCAGAGAGCAGAGTCCAGGCGATGCTTGTGAGGGAGTAGTTGGATGAAGCTGAGATGGAAAGAGCGTACGTGCCCAGCTGAGAACTCCAGAGCTCCCTGTTCACTGCCTCGTTCAGATCTCTTGCAGTCTCCTGATAGTGCTGCGCTGCGGCAGTATCATTCAAGGCTTCCGCTAGAGGGATCAGTCTTTGCAAGCCATATGATAGAAGCGCCGTGACGGCACTCCCATTCACGGGACCCAAGAAGTAGAAAACATCATCTCCAGCAGCCAATCCGCTGTACGGATCAATGTACCCAATTCTCGCCTCTGCCAGCTTTTTGACGTTCGGCCAGTACTTTTCCAGTCCAACAAGATCATTCGTTCGCCAGAAATAATCGCCAATAGCACCAAGAAAGAGGTCCTGATAGTCTAGTAAAACGGCATAGTTGCTCAAAAAGGCATCCATATACGCTGGCCTCGATCCAAGACTGGCAGAGATGGGAGCGAAGCCTTCGAAAGGTGGCTCCTGCTTTTGGAGTGTAAGCGCGTACTCGATACTCCCCAGTACGTAGTCCATACGATGTGTGCTGGAGGCGATGACCTTGGTTGTGTGATAGAAGTCTCCAATCCAGACGAGTCGATCTCGTTTCCCGCCATCGAGGCAGACGGAAGCGTCCAGTGGAGCAACCCCGTACTCTGACAATGTCGATGAAGAGGTCATGGCGTTGGTGTAAGCAACGGTGCCGTTCGAAAGTGTCACTCTAACGTCTTTGACGTACGCTTCCTGTCCACTCCAAGGTCCGAATCCCCACGTCCCAGTCTTAGGTGAAGAGGAAGCGAAGCTGGAAGTGCTCGCAGCAGACAGGTATTCCGCTTCGAAAATCGGCACCAATATCTCTTGTACGCCGTCGATGTTGACTCGATATCCCTCGCTCGTGATTGTCGTGCTGATGTTGTACCACTTGTCTTCGTGGATGGAAGCATTTAAAGGGAAGTATTGATTCCACCCTGTCACCAGAGTTGACTGATTGACAATTGAATAGCCGAAGTTGAACACCAAAGTGTTTGGTGGAAGGAGCGTGCGGTTGGTGTTGATAAAGGTCGTGTCTTCTGTATAATTGGATGTCAGGTAGAACACTGCTCCTGTTGGGGTCGTGCTGCTCGCAACTCGCCAGCCCGTTCCACCTTTGACGATCTTCGTCGATAAGGACAGGGTGTAGTTGCTTAGTGCAATACCTTTAGCGGACTGGGCCGTCTGCTGTCCTCTGATGAAGGCTCCATCTGGCGTGATGTCCCAGGTCGACGGAGCATTCCCTGCATCAATGCAAGCCACCTGCACAACTCTGGCTCCGAGATCCCAGATGCGGTCGTATACTGCGTTCGACGAGGAGAATCGGCCAAGAGTATCATCTGTAGCCAGATGTTGCGCTGTGGTTCTGAACCCGATCTTCTCGAACGCGACGGTGGAATTCGTCAAAAGCCTCACCGTCTCCCAACGCTGGCCTCCTTGGACAAAGTATGATTCGATCCGTCCCGGCTCCGTCAGATTGAATGTCTCCGTCCTGAAAGTGTTGGAGAGGCCGTTCGAGAACGTCCATGGTCCGTCACTGTAGGGATTGTCCAGAGCGGTCAAATCCTCGGCATACTTCACCTCTATCTGCGTGGGCCTTGAGAGAGCTGCAACTTCGAAGAATGGTAATCCGGCAACTTCGGTGGCGAAGTCGAGTGTAAGGTATGGTGTATCTGGAGTCAGGGAAAGTTGATGCTCGCCGTATGGACTGTCAGCTTTGAGCACAGGACCAGTACCTGCGGCGTAGAATTCAGGAAGAACATCGCCATAGTCGACAAAGCTGTGATCGACATTAGCATCTAATACACCGGTATAGTAAAGGTGACAAACCCATAGACTGCCGCGAACAGTAAGCAGAATAGGAAAGTCAACATCGTTGCGGACTGGAGAAGAGCGCTGTTCAACGACAGGCGTTAACCTGTCCATATAATGCAAGTCAGAATGAATGCCATGTTCACTGCCGATGTGAATGCCAAGGGCAGATGTCGTACAATCCCCAGAAAAGCGCGCAGTACCCCATCATCAAGCGCATGCACTCCGCATGTTGGGGAATGTTCGGTTCGGTTCAATTTGTCCCGAAGCTAAGTGACACACTCCAACACCCACACGGATGACTTGAGGCATGCTCCACACTTGTCCGGTTAGATACTTTACCTGTCATGTCCTTCAACATGATGCAGATGGAGCTGCGGCTTGAAACCAAAGGCAGTATTCATACATCTACGAATCTACCTGCTTCCAAGTGCCCTGCTTCTTGCAGTCACGAGCTGCTGACAACGACGTCGCAGACTACATGTACATGCCAAACCAACCAAACGCCAACGCTGTAATTGCACCCAATCAATCCTCTTCCACCTCTTCGACTCTTGCACTCAAATTCCGCTGCTGCACGCTCACATTCCCATCCGACGGTACACTCTCAGTCCCTGTCGCACTTGCCGTCACAGGTTTCGAAATCTCGGGCTCTTGCTTCTTTGCACCTTCCTTCTTCTCCGCCTTTGCAGCCTTCTTCTCTTCCTTCGACTGTCCATCTGCCTTGGCCTCTCGGCGCGCCTTCTTCCTCTCGCGCTCTTGCTTCTTCCTCTTCTTCATCTCCTTCTCGCTCTCGTGCCACGCCCAAAGCGGCTTGAATGAATCGAAGAAGCCGACATCCTCGAATAGGTTAGGGTACAGCCAGAGTCCGGGCGGGACGGCGAAGACGGTGATGACGAAGAGGATCAGACGGAAGATGGCCATGGCGAAGAAGAGACCGAGCAAGCCCAGCATGCCCATACTGAGGTACCACACGCCGATGCGCAGCCGGTAGGGCCAGACGGGGAAGAAGACGACTGCGAGAATGAGGACGAGCGCACCGACGGCGTAGAGCTTGTTCTTCCACTGCGAACCCTCGTACAGCCAGACGTAGTAGAACTCGTCGGCGGCTTCCTGCTGCGGCTCGACCTTGACGGTCCACAGGCCCTTGACGCGCTTCTTCTTGCCGTGGTCGTGGCCCTCGTGGGGGTCGACCTTGCTGACGCGGAGGGCGAGGAGGGACATGGGCAGCTGCTTGAACGTGTTCTCGGCGGTGACTCGGTCCTTGACCTCGGGCAGGAGCGGGTTCTTCTTGCGGGCCTTGGCGTAGGCGTCGGACTGGAGGACGCGGATGGCGCGCTTGACCTTGAACATGTCCTTGCGCTGCTGCTGGAAGATGCACGTGCGCATCTTGAGGTCTTGCCCGCGGAGGAAGTTGGCGATGGCAATGGCCTCCGGCTTGGGCGGGCCGGGCGCGATGGGGACCTGCTGGCCGGGCTGCGCGCCTTGCGGGCCGTTGGCGTGTTGTTGTTGCTGCTGAGCCTGCTGCTGCTGCTGCTGTTGCTGCTGTTGTTGCTGCATCTGGGCCTGGCGCATCATCTGCGCCTTCATCTTCTCGACGTACTGCGGGACAGTAAGACCCGCCTTTTCCGCTTCGGCGGCGAGTTGCTGCTGCATGGCGCGAATCTGCTCGGGGGTGGGCTGCTGGCCGGGTTGGAGCTGGACGGGCGGTGCGCCCGGCGGCGGCGGTGCTTGGGCGGACATGGTGGGGGAATCGTCGTGGGATTGCAGTCGGGGTGGTGTTGTAGGCGAAGGACCGCAGAAATTGGGGGGAGGCGTGTCTTTTTGATAATTGTGACTCCAAAAGCCAGCTGTCGACGGGACCGCAAAGAGTGACGTTGCGGCTTCTGGCTTGGCGTCGCCAATCAAACCCACGCTAAACCTTAATCAAAAGCTAATTAAAGAACGCCGACACGCGACGCGTACCGAATCAACTTCACCCATAACTTGACCATCTTAATGCACTACTCCACCCACTGCTCGCCCATGCCCAGACACCATGGGTATCAATGGGTAAGGCCACCACCCGATTACTGATTAGAGATGACACTAAATCGTCAGGCTGTGGAACGTCTTGGGTGACGGCGAGGTCTGGCATGTCGCCGACTATGCTGCCAAACATTTCAAGGAAACCGGGAGACCTCTGCGGATCGCCGTCGACGAGGCAACATGGCGCTTCGCTAATCTCACGCCCGAAAAAGTCGAGGAAATCCGACAAGGCGTACCCGCGGCAGCCCCAGCCGAAAGGACGATTCTCTGGCGCATCCTGCGACTCTGGAGACTCAACATCCAGCTGCTCTTCGTCTACGATGGCTTGAGGAAACCAGGACAGTCACGGAGGGGCGACCGGGGCGGTGGCAAAGTCGACAAAGAATGCATTCGCCTTCTCAATCGCATGTTCGACCTGCTGAAGGTTCCCTACCACCAGGCACCTGGAGAAGCAGAAGCGGAATGTGCCAAGCTCCAGCGGTTGGGCATCGTCGATGCGGTATGGAGCGACGATGGCGACTCGTTCATGTTCGGCTGCAATACCTTGATCAAGGCCCAGAGAGCCCATGGAGAGCTGGTCAAGGATCACATCCGAGTCTACAAGGCGGACGCGATGGCAGAGAAGCTGGACTTTGATGCCGATAGCCTGGTCTTGTTTGCGCTCTTGGCTGGCGGCGATTACGATCCCACTGGTCTGAGAGGGTGTGGGCCAGTGAACGCTGCTTGGGTTTGTAGGCGCTCTTTCGGCCTTGCCAAACGCATCGTCAATATCTCCCCACCCCAGATGGGGCTTTGGCGGCACTATCTTGGGCACGCACTTCGAGACCAGATACCACCAGACTTTCCCACTTTAGAGTCCTCGATGGCTACAGAAGCCCGGTTGTCTCCACGGATGAACAGTCCCGTGACCTTCGCAGCCTTCGAGGCGGCTGGGTCAAAACCATTGACCAGCGAAGCCTTCGTGTGGAGCTGCGGCACCATTACAACTTTCAAACTCCCAAGTATCTGAAGCACCTGGCACCTGTCTTCCTATCACGAGCTCTGGCCAACGCAATGTCACCTTTTTGGAAAAACGACAATATCAGATACAACGTCCACCTCAAGTCGAATATCCGCAGGAAAAGATGCAGCTGGCAATCCCACCAAGTGCGAGGTGAAGATCATGTATTCGGCCCACGAACTGGTCGAGATTGATCTGAGTGCCCAGCCACCCGATGAAGACTGGTCCGAGTTTGCAGAGAAGGATGGTACTCCGTACGATCCCAGAAACAAGATCGAATACGAAATGCTTGAGTGTCTCCTGCAGCACGGCCTTCCCGAAGGATCATGGGATGCTCCAGCCAAGGCTAAGAAAGGCAAAGCGAGAACGTCAAAGGACGATGGATCTCTTGGTGAAAGTTCTGACCAGAAACAGCCTGTAGATCAGGTATCAACTGGTGAGCGGACCAAGGCGCCTCCGAAGAAGCGTGGGAGACCACCCAAAGACCCGTCAAAGGTGTCCACATCGCAGCCAGCCAGGAAGAAGCGCAAATCGAAGAGTGCAGAGGTCAAGTCACCCAGTCCGCCTCCGTCCACCTTCAGACACGTCGAACTTCCAGATTCCCCACCGAGATCCCGCGTTGTTGATTTACTGGATGAAGATGATGACGACCACGACTCCGATTTGTTCTCGTCAATACCAACCCAGCCGCCGTCAAAGAAGGTCACGCCAGCCAAAGGTCCCCCGAAGTTCCGACCTATGAGCCCGAAGAGACCAGGACAAAAAGCGCAGAACGCTGTTCCGAGCGCAAAAGCTGCTTTCAAACACAAGTCCGCACCTTTGAAGCGCACCCCAGCCTCCCAGATGTCAACCCTGCGAGAGGTGCCCCAGCAAGCCCGAGATGAGATCGCGGCTCTTGTGCCTCCTCAAGCGAAAGCACTATCAACGTTTCCCCGGCAAATGAGTGCCCAGAGATCGCCCCAGCAGTTGCGACCCTCACCGCATGAATTTGTCCCAGGAGAGGCGATGGATCCAAGGACGTTGCGAGAACTGAGACTGGCAGCTATGCAGAATAATGCTGCAAATGTCTCGTTCGCGTTGGAGCCTAAAAATCCCCGACCAAAAGCCACGACACCGTCTCTGGTCATAGACTTGACGTGAGAGACGGCTAAACTTGCTCAAGTGTAATGGTCCATGATCATATCCGTGTCTCGGACTTCAGCACGTGCGCCGTCAAAGGACTGATGGTTCTTTGCCCACTCCAGAATGTCGTCGAAATTGCGGCACATGTGAATGGTATCGAAGATTGGAAATACGTTCAAGGCTTTTCCTTCACGCTGGATCCAACGTTGTCCGAATGTGCCGACATCGCTGGAGCATTGGAGCTGCTGCCGAACGATGTCCATGCAGTGGTCTGTTGGGCGGGTTAGCTTTGCGAGGATAAAGACAGCATGCTCTTAGTCTCACGACTCACCAACGTGTAGTCGGACAATGGGCTCGCTGTTCTCGTGCACCCCAGCGCTCTGGTCTCGGTAATAGTCGACGTTCCAAGGCAATGTCTGGCGGATCATATTCTACTCAAAGTGTCAGAGGATGCTAAACTCCCTGGCTTGCATTGGGTGACCTACCAAGCAATGAAGATGATGGAGAACTTCTATGTTGGTAAGATAGCCACCGCCCTGATCCGCTCGCACTTTCACCGCCGAGGAATCGATTCCTGCGTCTTTCCCACGGTCTTCGGGCACAATTGTCGTCCTGACTGTGGCACTGTCAGCTTCCAAGGTTTGTTCAGAGCGTGAGATGATTGAACGTACAGTCAATACCCAAGTCTGACCATGCTTGATCGACCTCTGGACTGGGATCTTGCAAGTAGATGGGCTTGTCGATGAATGACCCGTTGAATCGCACTGGCCGGTATTGCAGCTGGACGTCCTTCATTACGGGCGACCCTGGAGGAGTGTGAGTGATGTTCAGTCCCGCGAGCATACCAAGAAGCTGAACTTACAGACAGCCGACGTGTGATTGCCACACATCGCATCGAGGTCTTGATGCTGCAGAAGCCAGAAGCTCACAAAGACGACGTTGGCTGCCAGCGAAAGTAGGAGGACCAACCCGATAGCAGCGAGCTTGGTCGCCTTCCATCTTCTGCCTTTCTGAGATGGCTCCCACCCTGATCGCATCATGGGCACCTTCTCCGCTTCTGAAGAGTTTTCAAGTCCAAGCGAGGACGAGCGGTCGTCGTCGTTGTCGGTATACTCCATGTTGAACGTGTCTCGTTGGCTGTCTGCTGAACTGGAGGGCAGGACTGAGCAGAAAGACTTCCTGGACGAAGTTCGACCCAAGACCGAGAAAACACCTGCAGTATTACTTAGCAACCTCGCCTCTTTCCAGCACCCAATCGACAAGCCACCTCTAATCGCTTTCGAATGCCTCTCCAACACTGTTATCACTTCAGGCGCCCCTCGAGCTGAACTTCGGGTTCATCGCGTGCAACCCGTCCATACTGCAACGGGAAGGTGACAGCTCATCCACCCTGCATACCACCACTATCCCGCCGAGCACCTTCCCACTTGCGCCTCGCTTGCGGTGAGTAGGAACACGCTCTCCGCGCACTACGCCCTCGCCATGGATGGCCTACAGTTCGAGCTTGAGGTCGGGCGAAGCAATGCTAAGAATCGCCAATCAAACTCTTGTTAGCGCTGACGGAGGGTTGAGAGCTCCATGCATTGGATAGCTGGGATAAAGTGAGCGACATGTCCAGTATCGACTGAGAAGAAGTCTACCCTGAAAGACCATTCTCAACAGAAACCATGCAATTCACGTCTGTGTTCCTGACTCTCGTTACCGCGGCGCTCGCAGCGCCCGTCGGCAGCCCGACTGTTGACGAGGCCGTCAAGGTGGTAAGTTATGGGCGCCATTGGTTGTAACATAGCGTGTTCGTTCTGACTTGGACCAGCGCGCTGTCGAGGAGAGCGTCGCCACTCACCCACCGCTCCGAGCGGGCTCTGCCTACGAGGACATTGCCGATGCCTTGGTCTTGCGATCTGAGAACAAGCCTGCCAGAGCCGTGAGTCGATCGAGCAAGGATGCGACTCCAATATCATGTACTGAAAGATCCTGCAAGGTCGACGTCGAAGCCAGCGTAGCCACCCATCCTCCACTCCGAGCCGGATCGGCTTACGAGGACATCGCTGATGCCCTCGTCCTTCGATCTGAGAACAAACCTGCCAGAGCTGTGAGCCAGTCACGCAAAGACGAAAGTAAAAAGCAGCGTACTAATCAGTCTGATAAGGTCGATGTCGAAGCCAGCGTGGCTACTCATCCTCCTCTCCGAGCCGGCTCGGCTTACGAAGACATTGCCGACGCTCTGGTCTTGCGGTCTGAGAACAAGGTCGCCAGAGTGGTAAGTCGGTCGATCCGTGGGGAAACGAACGTGGCGTGTTGATTGATTTGGCAAGGTCGACGTTGAGGCCAGTGTAGCCACCCACCCACCACTTCGGGCTGGATCGGCTTATGAGGACATTGCCGATGCCTTGTCATAAAGGCCGGAAATCTCACCAGGCAGTGGATGTGTATCCCGTCCTGTCAAAGCCCCTGGTCAAGGAAGGATATCAGCAGCGTCGAGCAACGGTGATAGAAACAAATCAACGGCAATCACACGAGCTCCTCTCGTTATATACGAACCGCAATGAACCTTCATGTTACAAAACAGCCTTTCATCTGTCGGTATTCGTGCTACAGCTGCCCGAAATCATACCATGCATCATCAGAAAAGAAGTTTGGTAGAGTCGCATCGAACGAATCCAGAATGCTGAAGTCCAAGGTGTCACAGGGGTCTGCTGCATTCAACGTCGCTTCTTCCCGCTGAACGGCCTCTCTTCCAGTATCTTCTCTCCTCGATCCATCATCGACCTGTCCAAGATGCTCGGTAGGGGTTTGAAGTTCAATCGACCCAGAGTGCTGGTCTGGCACGGACGGTGAGGTCGATGAGGCGTAGTGCAGAAGACTCCAGAGTAGAGATGCTTCAGCTCGTGGATGTACAACAGTTCGATCAATACTGCTTTGGCGGATTGACTTTAGGCGTAGTTCCTGACACGAAGTTAGAGAGGACTGATCCTCTTGCTGCGAGGCAGAAAGCACTCACCATATGCTGAGCATGTGGATACCGCTGCGAGAACGACTCTACAAACTCCACGCACCGATCGAACCCTGCAATCGCCTCTCTCCATATGCGCTGATTCGAGGCATGAGCGAAGAATATCAAAGCAGAAGCCGTGACCGCCACTAAATGTGCGAGAAAGGGGTCGTTGAGCTGTAGCTGCTTCTCCTTACATTTCCCTATCAACCGGACTACCCACTTCGCGTCGAGCAGTGTCTGATCAATCGCATGCTGGCGGAAAGAAGGCGGTACTTGGGTTCCTTCGGCTGGAGTTGCCTGCGAAGTGTGTACCAAAGGATGATGCATCACCAGATGAGAAGTATGGTACAGCAACTGTTGCGTTAGCCACGCCAACCAGTATGTTCGGTCATGCTTGATCTCCTCTGGCGAACGGCTGTCGAAACCGCATCGCTCCAGACGATGGCAAGGCGAGTGCGTGGCTTCGAAGTCAAGTAAAGCTTGCTGTACGCGGCGGTATAGCGAGTTCGGAAGCCAAAGACTGTGTGCTCTGCCATCCTTGACTTCTTGTACCATGGCACTGGCGAGAGTCCAAACGTTGAGAAGGACTGAGACCTCTTGATAAATGCTGCTCGCTGACATTGTCTCGGAAAGTCTCTCTTCGTGCAGGTTACTCGAGTGTCTTGCATCGACCTGGCCTTGCAATGGCTGTGGCAAAGAGCAAGTTGGGAGACCCTCAAACACACGAGGATCGTCCAGGATTGGAGTTGATCCCGCAGCGTGCAAAAAGAAGCTCCGGCTCAGATGTGCTGTCGTCCAAGCACAGCCACACAGCCTCTTGTTAAGTTGTCCCGTTGTTGCCGACTGTGCAAGTAACGCTTCACACATTCGTGCAGCCATAGCAATGTGCACTCTGGCAAAGTTCGCTTCACTTTCTAATTTATATCAATGACACTGAAAGCAGGTTCGGCTTGAATATACATACCAGCAATCTCCGAAAAGGCAAGAATGCATAGCGATGCAATCAATTCTTCAGAACCAGCGTTGACAGCACATTCGAGCCTCACAGCCTTGCGAGCAGACTCTATCGAATGCCCATTATCTGTATTGCCGCCGCCCGCTGATCCAGCAAGAAGGGCAAAGGTTTCATGGAGGTGTTTCGGCCATTGTACCATCTCCGAGGCCAGCTGGTCGGGATCAAACAGGAGAAGGGGCTGGCCATGGAATTTCTGCAGATACTGGTCAACCAAGGTCGCCGCTGTCGTCTGTGAACCTGATGTTGGTGAAATTGTGCCGTCATCATTGGCAGACGCCGTTGGTGTTTGACTTTCTCAGCACTGCAAGTTAGATCGTCGTGTTCTCGCCAGAAATTGAGGAAGTGCCTACTTCAGCGCTGCCAGGATCTTATCCACCTTGCTCTCAATCGCACGAAGCCCTCCACTGTTGTACAACTTGGCTTTGCATCAGTTAGGAACACTCGCCCGGGAGATCAGTCATGGCCTCACCTGTGAAGTCACATTGCAGTTTCCCTCGCTATTGTCTTCCCGCGGAACGATCTTTCGTCGTTTCGCTCTTCTAGCCTCGACCTCCCTGTTTTCGTACCGACATGACTGTCCAAGTCGCTCACAATACGAGCAACGCGGCTTCTCGCCAGGACACTTGACTTTCTTCTTTCGACACGGCTGACATGCATGACTTGTTCGCTCTTGGAATCTAGTCTCGGTGATGATGTCCATTGCTCAAACAAGGTGAGGTGATGGAAAGGTCGGATCACGGATGCGGAAGACGGAAGATTGCAAGACACCTGGAAAGCCGCTCACGTGAGCGGACGAGAAAAGTGGAGACAGCCTGATTCAATCACAATCTGGCCTGGAGCGCACTAGGATACTCTGTCAGTTGGCATTTTCAGTCATGGATCAAGACAGATCTGGGGCAGGCTGTGACCATGTAGAAGTGGCTGCAACGATTTGAAGAGGGCGAGCCACATCCATCTTTCGACATCAATTCGACCTGCAAGACATAAACTCCAACAGCAACGGAAGGACATCGAAGAAACGCCTCTTCTATGAGTTCTACTGCTCAAACGCCGCATGGTAAGTTGTTTGCACTAGTTATCAGGCACTAAAAGGTGAAGGCCGCTGAACAATGGATTAAAGAGGAATCCAAGACATCTCCGGCTCTTGTTGGAAGTGTCGGACAGAACAGACGTGTGTTCGACAATGCCAAAACGTCTCGATTCAAAGCTGTCGCAAGCTTAAACTCCGTTGTTGGGATGCAAGGCTATCTCACATCCGTTCCTACTTTCAATACACACTAAGCGCAGCGTTAGCCAAAGCCCACTGCATATTGTCGGAGAGATTTCCTATACATACTCATCAAAGTCTCCTTGAACCCAAAGACCGGATCGCGATTCTCAATCGACTCAAACTCCTGCACCAACCGTAGAAGGAGGTACACACACTGCGAGATGACCTGCTGGTTGGCGGGACAAATCCTCGGACCACCGGAGAATGGGGTGAACTCCCAGCCTAGCTTCTTCCCTTCGAATCGCGAGGGTCGAAACGTGTCGAGGTCGGGTCCCCAAGTCGTCGTTTCTCGGGTGTTGGCGTACTTGTCGCACCAGACCATCGAGCCTTTGGGGATCAAGACAGGAGACGAACCATCTGGACCGCCTCCTCTGGGGAGAACAGTATCGCGGGCAGCCTGACGACGAGTCAAGACAATGGGGCTACGCACACGAAGCGCCTCCATGATCGTGTATCGAAACAAGGGTATGCTCTTCAGCTCTTCGAAGCTTGTAGGTGCTTTGCCGCCTAGTCCTTGCGCTTCTGCTCGGAGTTCCTGCCACAAGTCAGGCTGTCGCGCAAGTAAGAACAATGTATTGGCAAACGCCATAGCCGTAAGCTCTCTTGCGGTCGAGAAGATACCGAGAAGTTGGAATCGGAGTTCTACTGGGTCGGATACGTCTTTGGACATTCCTTTGAGTATGAAATAGCCCTTTCGTTGCTTGGCTGTCATATCGGCGTTGGTGTCACGGTGGCGAGCGATGCACCGGTCGATGTAGTCGTGGACTATCTTGACGTCTGCCATCCACTCGTCATCTTTCGTGTATTTGAACATCAACTTCCGAAATGTCCTCGTCGGATGGATTCTTTTCCCGTCACCAGTAGTCGCTCGATTGAATGCAGCGATGAAAGCATCTGCTTGACCGGTTCTGTCTCGAAGACTGTCGATGCTTTCGCCGAAACAAAACTCGCTCGAGCTGTCAAGGAACTAAATTAAGTATTAGCGGCTGCAACAAAAGAATACACCATCTCGAATTCGTAAATACCAGCTTCCTCAGCAACGGATGCATGTCAACTGTGCTCTCGTCTCGAGGGATCAAAGTAATCATCCGATCGACGAACTTCTTGAACCTCTCGACATCGTCCAACTCTGCGCGCTTGAACAGTGGATTGATCAAGTCCCGACTATGCCTCCATGCAGCTCCGTCCTGATTGATGATGTTGCTCCGAGAGAATGGAGTAACAATACGTCGCTCAGCGGCTTGAGTCCAGTCCTCCAAATTCGTGTGTATAGCTTGTGTGTTAGCAGGCTCCCCCGTAAAGATGCTCTTATTATTCCACGATCGAACTGTGAACGTCTTGGACCCGGACACTTTGTATTGCTCCATTCTCCAATCATTGTACCGGCCGTCTTTCCAAGCCTGCAAGTATCCACGATCCCAGTCACGGCCAAAGAGCTCCTTGTTTGGCCGGTTTACGATGGGCTCACAGCCAAAGCTTCATGCTTTGCGATCTCGTTGCCATCGAATAATCAAGGCGTGGAATATCCAGATAGCACCGACGACAAAGGGAGGGATCGAATCGAGATGAACTCCATGTTTGGGTCCAGTAGGTAACCCTATATGGTATGTTAAGAAAGAAAGGAATAATGAGTAGCGGAGGTATGGGGTTTCCAAGGCGACCATGAGTAACGTCCAAAGACCGTCCAGACGGGGCTCCCAAGTTCTTGAATGCGCGTGTTATCTGCTAGAGTCTCAATACAGTCGAATTCGCAATGTTGAAAATCGGCAATCATCCGAGTCTCCATGATCCCATATGTCTTAGATCGCCGGGAAAGGTAGTCTGGGCGATTCGAGTGATAGTGAGGTCGTAATTGCTGTATTCGGCAATCTTGAAGATGAAGAAGTATTGTATGTCGAATGATCTATGGTTCCTTTTCCCGTCCAAGTGATAGAAAACGTCCTTGGCACTACTCAGCCACGTGAGCGGAGGTTTCAGAAAAGTGGGTACGGCGAAGAAACAGAAGATACATAAAGACGATAGGGCGTAGTCTGAATCCGTTAAAACCACCACATCCAAGATGACCTCAAAAGAAAGTCGAATTCTCGTCGTCGGCGCCGGGGTCTTCGGACTGACTCTCGCCCTCGAGCTCAAGAAACGAGGCTATCAACACATAACCGTTCTCGATCGACACGCACCACCAGTCCCGGACGGCTCCAGCGTGGATATTTCGCGGATCGTACGAGCAGACTATGCGGATGCACATTACATGCGGATGGGCATGGAGGCGGAAGCTGCGTGGCGAGAGGAGTACAGCGCCTTCTACCGTAATTCGGGTATCCTGATCACGGCTCAGTCGAAGGATCATCCTTATGTTACGCAGACGAGGGCGTTGCTGGAACAGCAGCGTGCTGCTATGACGGTCTATGAGGACAACAGAGACCTGGGAAGGCTGGGGTTTGGAGGCAAGTTGGATAGGCTGTCTGGGTACAGCAGGCCTGCAGGTGGCTGGGTGGATGCAGAAGGATCGATTCGACAACTTGCTCAACATTGCGTTGATGCGGGTGTGGTATTCGTCACTGGTCCTGCTGGAGTGGTGAAGTCCTTGATTATCGTAAAAGAGGAGGTCAAAGGTGTGCAGCTAGCATCTGGAGAAGGCTTATTAGCGGAACAGGTCATGCTCGCAACAGGCGCTTGGACAACGCAGCTAGTCGATCTCAGTTTCAGTGCCGTGGGAACGTGCCATCCAGTGGGCTTCATTCAGCTGAATCCGGATGAAGTGGAAGAGATGAAGGATCTCCCCATCGCCATCAACCTCACAACAGGTTTCTTCGTCTTCCCGCCCACCGAGGATACTCTTCTCTTAAAGTTCGCCAGGCATGGATACGGATTCGAGAGCCGGCAGCCAGGTCCTAAGGCTGATGAGGTCTCTTCCCCAAGGATTGAAAGCAACGGGGTTGTGGCAGACTTTCTTCCAGCAGATGCAGAAGCTGCACTGCGAGATGGCCTACGGCTCTTTCATTCGACTTCAATCGCGGAGAGACCGTTCGACAAGAAGCGCATGTGCTGGTACACCGATACCCCTCATGGCGATTTTATCGTTGATCATCACACGACGCTCAAGAATCTTTTTCTTGCTACTGGTGGTAGCGGGCAGTGAGTCAATCCAGATCTGGTAGATCAGCCAGACCAACTAACGGATGTCGTTTGCAGTGCTTTCAAATTCTTGCCTGTCCTCGGTAGATACACGGCCGATGTGTTCGAGCGTACGGCATCGCAAGAACTTCGAGACAAGTGGGCGTTGAAGCCAGGAGACAAGTCAGTGCTGCTGCATGGTGATGGGAGTCGTGGAGGTCCACCGAGGCGGGTCTTGGAGACATGGGAGCAAGCCCGAATTTAGATCTTGACATGAGCTGTCTCGCAATAGAATTGACCAGTCCAGCTCATGGACAAAAGCCAATGTTTCTGCAAGTAAATCGAGCAAGGCGTGAAGTATAGAAGCTGACATGGTCCGCGCCAGATTTGTAAAATTCGCGGCAACTGATGCAGGAACAGTCATCAGGGTTTGCTCAATGCAGCAGATTGCCCAGGCCACGAGAACGAAGCGGTTGACGGCTGCAAGGCTAGCCTACTCCAACCTGTATCGCCCGGTGGAAGTCGTTGGGAACAAGCCATGGATGCTCATAATTTGATGACTGCGTCTTATAGCACTCACGACCACCAGCCACTGAATGATCCACGCCGTGGTAAGTCCGGCGCCTCGGGCGAAGGTCCGAAGCAAGGAGAATTGTCAGCATGTGATAGCGAGTTGTTTGGGGAACGATGTGTCTGGCGGCACAGCTTTCGCAAAAGCGATGGAACGCTGCGTACTGCTCTAAACGCTAGCTGCAGGGTAGTCAATCGACAAGGTGTTCCTGCCATCACGTGGCCACGCCCTTAGAGGTTGGTTCTGGGGTTGTACATGAGCCGCATGCTCGCTTACCCAACATTCATAAGGAATCCAGCGCCTGGCGTTCTCTTTCCTCCTCTTCCCGCAACTTCTTGGCCTAGCCTGGGCAGACACTGCACGGAAGCACATCTCAGGCTAGATTTGCGAACATCGCTCTAGCCGATGTTTTCGCCATGCTTCCTTCACCAAAATGTGACCCACTCGGCATGCTGGAATTGGATTTGTCGGTGCCCATGGCAGACCGACGATACGGCGCTGTGGGACTCGGCCGGCTCAGTCCTGGGGTCTCCAGACACAGCTGCATGGGGCTGCTAGACCTGCAGAGTTCTCCTCTGGGGCTCAGCTGAGGACGGAATGTCAGTACGATGCCCTGGTCAGCGCTGTGGTCCTCTCTGGCTGACGTCTGATCAAGGCATTGACAAGGCGTCTCGGCTGGCTGCCAACCTTTTCACGCCTCGAAGCTTGGAGGGGGGAAGAGTTGTCAGGCGCACCACATCCATGCTGTGTCCCTCCATAGTGTCTGCACGAGAAGCACGAACAACGCCATCACGTCTGCCGCGCACAGATCGGCAACGCCCAGTCGGTTGTAGACGGTGAAAAGGGGCTCGTCAATTGGCTGGCTGCAGCGTGGGGTCTCCAGAGTGGAGACCGATGAAACCCTGTCATGCAATCATCAATCGTCGTGTGGCGGCGGGGATGGGCTGCAGGCGTCGGGCGCCGTGAGTGGTGGGACGTTGTGCTGAAAGGAAGAGCCAATTCCTTTATCAATGCCGACTGCTGCTGCGTTTCGACACCAAGCGAGCAAGCTCGTCCGGTAGAAATACCTCGTCGTGTCCGTCCAGCAGCTAGAGAAGCCTGCTTCTTCGTTTTGGCAGAAGCAACGCCTTGGATTTCTTACGTCCTCTTGGCGACGAGCTTGAGGTGAGTGACAAGACTTCGCCCAGCCGCTGGGGTGCACTCTGGTCTCCAGACTCTCCACGTCTTTGTCTTCTCCAGACCCACGAGTTTGCAGTGTCAATCTCCCCATACTTGGCACCGTCCCCACGTGTCTGGCGCGTGTAACGATGGACGAACGCATGACTGACATTGGGGTGCACAGTCAACATGGCCGACGAAAAGTACGACTACGGCACCGAACGTCGCGATGATCCGCCTCCGGACTACATCGACGAGGCGGAGAAGATGGGCATTGTCAAGTACTTCGCTACCCGATTCTCTTCGCTGAAGCCGCCCATGGAGAAGCTGGAGAACCCAATCACACTGCTGCGAATGCTCAACAAGAAACAATGGCTGTTCTTCTCCTGTGCATTCATCGCTTGGACATGGGACGCTTTCGACTTCTTCACTGTTTCATTGACTGTTACCGACCTGGCCGAGACGTTCAACAGATCCAAGACCGATATCACATGGGGCATTACGCTCGTGCTGATGTTCCGTTCCGTCGGCGCAATCATCTTTGGTCTTGCTTCGGATCGATATGGTCGCAAATGGCCTTTCGTTGCCAACAATATCTTGTTCATTGCTCTCGAACTCGGTACTGGTTTCTGCAATACCTACGAGCAGTTCTTGGCTGTACGAGCACTCTTTGGCATTGCCATGGGCGGTCTGTACGGTAACGTGGCAGCAATGGCTCTCGAGGATTGTCCAGAGAAGGCCAGAGGTATCATTTCTGGAATGCTTCAGCAAGGGTATGCGTTTGGATATCTCCTGGCGACCGTCTTTGCACGTGCTTTGGTCAACACAACATCGGAGGGCTGGCGTCCACTTTATTGGTGAGTTATTCTTCACCGTTGTGTCTTCTCAACGGATACTTACGATTGCAACAGGTTTGGTGGCGCTGTCCCAGTTCTGATCATCACATTCCGACTTTTCCTAGGCGAGACCGACGCTTACAACGAGCGAGTTCGAATTCGAGAAGTCCACGACAACGTCGGCAAGACCTTTATGAATGAAGGAAAGGTCGCTTTGAAGAGGCACTGGATTCTCCTCATCTACATGGTCCTCTTGATGGCGGGCTTCAACTTCATGTCGCACGGCTCGCAGGATCTCTACCCAACTATGCTTGAGAATCAATACGACTTCTCCGCCAACGCTGTGACCGTTACACAGGTTGTAGCCAATTTGGGTGCCATTGCAGGTGGCACGACCATCGGGTACCTCTCCCAGGCGTTCGGCCGACGCTTCAGCATCATCGTCATCTCTGTCATCGGTGGAGCGCTCCTGTACCCATACTCATTCGTTCCCAACGAGAAGATCATGGCGGCCGCATTTTTCGAGCAGTTCTGCGTGCAGGGAGCCTGGGGTGTGATCCCAATCCACTTGATGGAGTTGAGTCCTGGAAGCTTGCGAGCTTTCGTTGTGGGTACCGCATACCAGCTTGGTAACCTTGTTTCGTCTGCCAGTTCGACTATCGAGGCTACCATTGGTGAGCGATTCCCGCTGCCAGACAAAGTCGAAGATGGGAAGACGGTGAAAAGGTACCAGTACGGCAAAGTGGTGAGTCTTCTGGTCACTACACAGCTTTCGTCTCATTCTAATCGTGTGCCCAGATCTGCATCTTCATGGGCTGCGTCTACGCCTATGTTATCCTGCTCACTTTCCTTGGCCCTGAACGCAGGGGTCGTTCAATGGCTGCCCATGCAGACCACGATCTGGCGGAGGCTGCCGGCCTCGACGCAATGGAGAACGCAAAGCATGGTGCTACGTATCGCGAGGACTCTGAGGTCGATGACCATCAGATTCGCAGCGTTGCGTGAGCAACTTGATCGCTCTGTTGATTCTTGGTTTATGAGATGAAGTTACGATTGGATTGTTAAGGTCGGCGGAAGGATCATGTAGTGTCTGAGTCGATGAATGATGCAACTTGAATGATCATGAACCCACTTGTGCACTGAAGATACCATTTCGTCGTACTTGATCTCGCAAGTGATCTCCATAACCTCTTCCAACATTCTGATGCTGTTGAAGTTCAGGCAGAGGAGCCGATGGTGCATTCGTAAGCTCTTCGCATTCAGAGGTCCAAGGAGACAGGCAAGGCATCCTTGAACTACAACAAAAGAGCACAATGCTCGGCAACTGACGGTAATGTTCATTGCCTTTCTTCATCCCTGCACCTTGGTCTTCCATTCAAGATCTCGACGCAATACTTCACCTCTCGATATAGTACATCCGTGCATCTTCGTCTGGGACGTGTCTTGAGATATCAACCCAAAGAGGTCTCTACGACGAGCGCGTTGCGACGGGGGAAGTGTAAGAATCTGAAAAGAGCAGGCTGAAAGATCGAGGCTCCCATTATAACATGTAGTAGTGGAAGCTTGAGAAGAGTAAATCTTCTATGCACAGATAAGACGACAGCAATATGTGTTCGCCATCAAGACCTTTTGAGCCTCCTGTCGGCTGCCGTCATATCCGCATCCACTGCTGATGTTAGCACCCACAACTTTTATAAACCAGACATTGGCAACCACCTCTTCAGGAACACGCGCTTTCGGGCCTTGTCAAAACCCCAGAACATCCTCTTCCATCTCGGCTCGGCCGTCCATCTCTACGCATTCTCTCCGAACCTGCTTACGGTCGGGGAACACGCTTCGCACGACGCGAAAAGCTTCTCTCGGGCGAGGGCCACGCCATCTGCAAGGAAGATCATGTCCACGAAGCGGTAACAGATTGACGAAGGAGGTGCATGCTGCTTAGAGAGATATGCTTCGTTCGCCAATCTTGCTTGACAGATCAGGCTTTCATGGAAATGCTCGGTTGACTCATCTACGCGGTGAGGTTTCCCAGTCGGCTCTTCCGATGAAGACAGCTAGACCTCGCGACATCGCAGTCGATGAGCTTCTTCTCGTAACTGCGGTCTCGAACAATTGATGGATCTGATGGAGATGGCCTAGGGTTCTTGTATCTGCTCGCGAACCTCGTGATGCTAGACACACCGGAACGAGCGGCAAGCGCGGCTCGGTGAGGCTCAGGAAATAGCGTTGTCCGAGATCTGATGAGCAATAGAAATTCGGACGCGAAAATCAACGGCAGATCCGATGAGCTGGATACGTTGACCAGCTCGTCCAGCAACAGATCATCAAAATATCAATACGAAGATAGCAAGAAGCAAACACGGACCGTGGACGCTTTCAACAAAAGCTTCGGCAAATGAAAGCCGACAAAGAATGCATTGTCAAACTAGCGCCGTCCTCGACGTCACCGACATCGCACGCTACAGCAGCAGTCTTGGGAGGAGTGCGCCATCGATAGTGCCGATTAGCCGTAGATTTTTCTCTACTTACTATATACATACATATCGGAGTCCCTGGCCCGCCATGGCTCTAGACCTGTCCCATCATCGATCCCCTGCGGCATGGCTTCCACCAGAGCCTCGTCCCTCCACAGCCAGATGGCCGACCCCGAGAAGCTAGAGGATCATGAACAGGACCAGCCTGAGCCTGAGGAAGACAAGACGCAAGAGAAAGATGAATCGCAGTCTCCTGGCGGTGACGAGCCGAACGACGACCACTTGCCACCGGACCTTCGTCGAACCATCACTCCAGGACACTCCGCGTTTCTCGTCAAGTTCGACGACAACGATCCTGCGAATCCGATGAACTTCTCGACCTTCAAGAAGGCATGGATCACGTTGCAACTAGGCTTTACGGCGTTGACGGCTTCGTTGGCCAGCTCCATCATCGCCCCTGCGGAAGGTGAAATCTCGAGTAAATTCCACATCGGCAGCGAGGTCACAGTACTCGTGATCTCGTTGTATGTGCTGGGTTTCGCTGTCGGGCCTCTGATGTGGGCTCCCATTTCGGAAGTCTATGGCAGGAAATGGAGTCTGATACCGGCTATGACGGTTCTTGCTTTGTTCTCGATAGGAACGGCTGTTGCTAAGAACCCCGAGACAATATTTATAACTCGATTCTTTGGTATGTTCGAATCCTCTTCCACCATATCCCTCTCGCTAACTCATTCCCAGCCGGTGTCTTTGGCTCCGCACCCGTGAGCAACGTCTCCGCCTGCCTCGGCGATCTCTACCAACCCAGCGCTCGCGGCATAGCAGTCACCTTCTACGCCGTCATGGTCGTCGGCGGACCAACCCTCGGACCCGTTATCGGCAGCGCCCTCACCAACAACCCCCATCTCGGCTGGCGCTGGACTGAATACATCATCGCGATCTACACCGGCTTCATGTGCATCCTCATCCAATTCGCCATGCCCGAACTCTTCGCCCCCGTCCTGCTCAAACGCAAGGCGAAGAAACTCCGCAAACAGACCGGCGACTCTCGATACTGGCACCCGCACGAACAAGAACGGATGCGACCTAGCAACATCGTCACGAAGTACTTCAACCGGCCCTTGAAAATGCTCCTCACCGAACCCATGGTCGCCTGCATAGCCGTCTACGCCTCCTTCGTCTACGGCCTCCTCTACATGACTCTCGAAGTCTTCCCCATCGTCTTCCGTGAAGAGCGAGGCTACGGCCCCGTCGTCTCAACCCTCCCCTTCCTTGCCCTCTTCGTCGGCGTCCTCTGCGCAGTGGGAGTCAACCTCACCAACCAAGCCTACTACCGCAAAGCCGTCGCGAAGAACCACGGCCGCGCTGCCCCCGAAGCCCGTCTCCCACCTATGGTCATCGGCGGAGTCTTCTTCACCCTGGGTCTCTTCTGGTTCGGCTGGACGTCCGCTCCGCACTACCACTGGGCGATCCCCACCGTCGCCGCCGGCTTCATAGGCGCCGGCTTCAATATCGTACGTCCCCCATCTTCCCTCCCCTTATACCACAGTTCGACGAGGGAGTTTATGTACTAACCGCCGCGATGTCAGATCTTCCAACAATGCATTAACTACCTCGTAGACGTCTACTCCATCTACGCCGCCTCCGCCGTCTCCGCCAACACCTTCCTGCGCTCGCTCTTCGCCTGCGGCCTCCCCCTCGCCGCAGGGCCCATGTTCAGGAACATGGGCGTGGGACCCGCGGCGAGTGTGCTGGGGGCGGTGAGTTGTTTGGGATTGCCGGTGCCGTTTTTGTTCATGAAGTATGGATTGCACTTGAGGCGCAAGAGTAAATTTGCGCCGACGAAGGATTGATTGATGGGATGATGTTATGAAGCGACAGTGTAATCTGTATCAGCGACGAGAAAGCATAGCGTGTACATTTAGATGACGAGAGCGAAACGCCGGAAAGATAATTTCGGGGACAGGCATATTTCCTTCTCATCTCCTCCTCAGTATCGTACAAGATCACCCCAGCTTTGAGTCCGGAGTCGCCGAAGAGCACCCATAGCATTCGTGTCGACAGTCCTCACACAGGGGGGGCAGCGAGACAATGAGGTGCTGTTCAGGACTACATGAAGTTTGGAGGTACCAGAAGCAGACTGGAGAAGCATGAAGCATACGAAGTCTGTTTGACGTTCATCTTCATTGCGTGCAAGCCATCACCGCTACTGGGTATCTAGACCCCCAACTCCTTCGACACCGCTTTCACTTTTCACCACCCCAACGCCTCGCTCGATTCAATCAATCATCACCATAGCCTCTACTTCTTCCCCGTATCCTCCTTCAAGCTCACAATTCGATTCAAGACCACCTTATCCGCAGTCGAATCAGCATCTTCCGCGAAGAAAGCCGTGCGCAGACCCTGAAACCTCACACTGCTCTTGTCAGCAGTACCATTCGCCTCACCCTCCTCCTTCGGCCACGGCGCTCGCTCCTGAATCTCGCGGAAGCCACATTCTACCATCGCATCCTTGTAGATGATTTCTGACTCGGGGTTGACGTTGTCGTAGTAGCCACCATTCTTCCAATCCAGCTCGTTCGGCTTCTGGGTCTTGAACAGAGGGTTGAAGATGCGGCATTCTGCTTTGATGGGGCTCTTATGTGCAGCGGACTCACCGACCCAGTGAATGCGGGCTTTCCCAGGTTTGACATCTTTGCCATACTGAGCTTTGATCTCGCTGACTTTGCCAGTGGCGGGGTCTTTGCTGAAGGAGACGCAGCTGATGGGGTGTTCGGCGTTGAGGAGGCCTACGCTCTGGCCAGGTGAGAGACGGAAGAAGTCGTGATCATCAACTTCACGGAAGTCGTCACGATCAATGTAGATGGTCTTGGTGAAGGGAACCTTGTGAGAGCCCTTGGCGGGATCTTTCGGATCGAACGGCACTTCGCGCTCTTCAACGTAGTCGTCTGGGAGGTTTTCGAAGGTGACCCTGATGGGGTCGAGTACTAGCATCAGACGAGGGACGGTTCGTTCGAGGTATGTTCGGATGGTGGCGTCGAGCGTATGGGTCATTGTGTTGGCGTTTGCTTTGGTGACACCAAGGTCAAAGACGAACTTTTTCAGAGCACCAGGCGGCACACCACGTCGACGAAGCGCTACGAGGGTGAAGAGGCGAGGGTCGTTCCAGTCTCGCACGACTGGAGGAATCTTGCGGCCTGTGCCATTCGTCGCCGCCTTTGCAGGTGCTGAAGGTGCCTCTGGTTCCTCGTCTCCGTCCTCAGCCAGGGCAAGCTCATCCACACCGTCTGCAGCTTCGTCCACCGGATCTGGAGCGTCGCCACCGATGGTGGTACCGTTGACAAGCATGGCAATTCTCCGCTTTGACAAAATGGTACCCTCGACATTCAGCCTGCCGTATTCTCTCTGCATGGGACCCTTCTCGTCGCTGCCTGGGAGCTTGTGATCGAGCGCTTCGAGCAGCCAGTTGTATGCAGGTCGCAAGGTCTCGAACTCGACAGTGCACAGACTGTGGGTGATGCCCTCGAAAGAATCGCACAGGCAGTGGGTGAACTCGTACGTGGGGTATATCCTCCATTTGTTGCCCGTCCGGTGGTGGTAGTTGTCCTTCTTGATGCGATATGCCGCCACATCCCACAGCGCAGGGTTGTCCGCCAACGACTTCAGCTTGGCCTTCTCTTTCTTGATCTCAGCGGTATCATCCTCTTTGACCTCGTACTCTTCCGGCTTAGTGCCCAGATACTGCTTCATGCGGAGATGTGCTGTGCCTGCCTCGTATTTGCCATCTCTCATATCTCGAAACTCTTCCAGATTCTTCTCTGCCGACTTTGACCAGTCCCCACACACCTTCCTCGGACCATGCTCTTTGCCTCCACGATTCTCCTTCACCTCAGCAGCCGAGCAATGACAGACGTATGCCTTTCCCCTCCGGATCAACTCCTCCGCCAACTCGTACAGGTGATCGAACTCGTCTGAGCTGTGCGTGATCTTGGCCGGCTCGAAGCCCAACCAGCTCACCATATCCTTGATACTCGTAAAGAACTGCTCCTCCTCCTTGGCGGGGTTGGTGTCGTCGAATCGCAGATTGCACTTGCCGCCGTAGGACTTGGCGAAGCCGAAGTTGACGGTGATGGCTTTGGCGTGGCCGATGTGCAGGTAGCCATTGGGCTCGGGCGGGAATCGGGTCTGGACGTCTGTGACCGGCTTCTCGTTGTACACGCCCTTGAGCCAGCCCAGCTTGAACGGGTCGACTGGTTCCGCGGATTTGGTGGACGCTGCGCCCGAGGGAGCTGCTGACTTGGCCGCTTCTTTCTTCGCCTTGGCCGCCGCCTTCTTGGCCTCCTTTTCTGCGGCGCGCTTCGAGACTTTCGGTTCTTCTGGTGCTGTGGCTTTGTTAGGGATATCTATTTCATTCTCAATGCGGTATGAACAATTCGAATTGGGAGGTGTTGGTTGGGATATGAGTACTGACCTGGTTCTGCCATTATGTCTGTATGGTGTTACAGTGCTCAGCGGCACGGGAAGAGCGTGATATGGGGTTGTATTTGAGTCAGACGAAACAAGCCATGACTCCAAAGAAAGATGCGCTCGGCAGACCTGCCATTTTTCAAGCCCCGCCAACACAATCTGAAACACGCCAGTTCATCCCAAACATTCACTTCACCTCCCATCTCCACCTCGCATGTGACACGCTCACGTGCCCCTCATCACCCATCGCTATCACCAATGCCAAGTCTACCTTCCTCGGTCGCTCCTCCAATCTCATCTCATCAAGCACCACCGACGCTCCAGAACAAGCTCGATCCCGTTCCCCGCCATCCTCCCGTGCCTCGCAGCCTTTCCCGCCATGCATGCCGCTCATCTTTCGCCCTCAATGGCCTGGCACAATTGCCACGACTTCATCCCGGCTGACCCTATTTGCTCGGTCCCATCTCCTTGCGTTACGCCACTTGTGCCCATCTCACATTGAAGGTATGCGTTGGGACATGCCAAGATTCGTGTGTATATATTCTTGCCCTTCTTCCTCTCCTCTATTCTGCTTTCCATCGCGTTTGTACAACTTTGTGAACCTCGCAATGCGCGTTATTACCATCTTCGTCGCTGCACTCTCCGCCGTTCGAGCGAGTCATGTCTTGCATGAACGAAGGGAAGGCCCCGTCCACGCCTCATGGCGCCAAGGTGAACGTGTAGAGGCTGATGCCATCATCCCGATGCGGATTGGCTTGAAGCAGACCAACTTGGAGGCTGGCGTGGAAAGACTCAACGCTGTTTCTCATCCGGACTCTGAACAGTATGGAAAGCACTTGTCTGCTGAGGAAGTCAACGATCTTTTTGCTCCGTCTCAGCATAGCATCGAGAGGTCAGTGTATTCGAGACCATTCCCTGTAGACCTGCACACACTCTGCCGAGAAGTTGACAGTGTGTTTGTAGCGTCCGCGACTGGCTCATTCAATCCGGCATCAATGAGACTGCAATCGCCCACAGCGACAACAGAGGCTGGATCGCCGCAGACGTCCCTGCCGGAATTGCAGAGGACATATTTCGCGCCCAGCTCTACGAATATGAGAGCGTCAAGACTGGTTCCGTCCGCATCGGATGCCACGAGTACCGCCTCCCTGCCCATCTCGTAGAACACATCGACTACGTCACACCCGGCGTCAAGATGTCTGCGGTGCTGAAGAAGCGGGCGAAACGATCGCAGTCTTGGGGAGATCACTCTCACCATCGCGGCCCGTACTGGAAACCCACTCGACACGGGCAGCCTCCACATCATTACCCGCCTGGTTGGCCTGGTGACCTTCCAGAAGATGTCCGGTATTGCGGTGGCAACATTACACCTGCTTGCTGGAGATACCTGTACAAACTACCGTTTCCGCACATCAATGACTCGGTCAACGCCGCAGGTCTCTTCGAGCAAGGCGACTACTTCGCGCAGTCCGACATCAGCATGTATTTCCGTTCCATCCGACTACTCGCCGAAAGTTGTGTCTGTGGACGGTGGCCAAGCACCGGTCGCTGCAGACGACCCCAATAACGGTGGAGGATCCGACCGCGACATTGATGTTTTGACTTCCTTGATCTATCCGCAGAGTGTGGTTGTCTACCAAGTCGACGATGCAAATTATGCGCAACAAGAAATCGCTCGCTACAAGCTCTTCAACACCTTTCTAGACGCTATCGACGGATCCTACTGTAACTACACTGCATACGGCATCACCGGCGACAGCCCTGGCATCGATCCTACCTACCCTGACCCTGCACCAAATGGGTATAAGGGACAGCGGCAGTGCGGCGCCTACAAACTGACAAGAGTCATCTCCATAGGCTATGGAGAGTCCGAGTTGGACTTCCCAAAGAACTACGTACTTCGCCAGTGCAACGAGTTCATGAAACTTAGCCTGCAGGGACACACCATCCTCATTACATCTGGGGGCTTTGGCTTTGGCTCTGGCCCAGGAGATCCCACTCCGAGCGGGTGTCTGGGCCCTCTCGAGAATGTGTTCAATTCCATCTATCCAAACGGTTGCCCCTGGGTAACATCGGTGGGCTCCACCATGCTGGGCCCAAACCAAACCGTGAACGAACCCGAAAGCGCACTCCAAATGGACGTATATGAGCCGGGCTTACCAGAGGCCTTCAAGTACTTCAGCAGTGGCGGTGGCTTCAGCAACTACTTCCCAACGCCCGACTACTAGAAGCGAACGGTCAGTCAATGGCGCCGGTTCCACGACCCTGGATACCCGAATTATGTCGCCAACGCCGACGCCTCCAATCTTGGCGCCAATGGTGGTCGATATAATCGCGCCGGGAGGGGCTGGCCGGATATCAGCGCGAATGGTGCATACGTGCCCTACTTCGTCAATGGAGAGGAGGACACAGAGTCTAGTAGCACGATCGCCGCTCCAATTGTAGCCAGTGTGATTACCTTGATCAACCAGCAGCGGACGATTGCGGGCAAGGGGCCAGTCGGATTCATAAACCCTGCGTTGTACAACAATCCATGGATGTTGAATGACATTACGAACGGCAGCAATGCGAATTGTCAGAGCGATGGATTCAAGGCGGTGCAAGGCTGGGATCCGGTAAGTATCGCGTCAATTTTGGATTGGGTGAGACGAAGATTTGCTGATGATTTGCTCTACAGGTCACTGGACTGGGGACGCCAAATTACCCCAAGATGCTGAAGTACTTCATGAGCTTGCCGTAATGCTTGAAGAGACTTCGATCGAGGAAACGAAGGAGTGGCTGAACATAGTCCTGTTGTTTGTGAGCATTATCGGAAAAGTCATGTATCAGAATTGAATCTAGTCGTTCGTTGCTGGTGTCGTCTAGAGAGCAAGACGTGAAGTCGACAACCCCGCATTCCAACCCCCCCGCAAAGCCGTGACATCACTTGGCCCAAGCTTCACATCCAAACATTCACTCGTGAGCTCTTCATCATTGTCACTTCCTCTTTCGCATGTGACGGCGCACTACAAGAAGCTTCTTCCTTCCCCATCTTCTCTCACCGCCGCATGCCACTCCTCTCACGACTCACCACCAAGATGGCCTCCACCACCCCGCTCTCCGAAATCCCCACCCTCACCCTCCTCTACAAACTCCACAAACTCGACCGCTCCGACACCGCATCCTCCTCCGCGACCTCTCGCTTCAACGACAAAATCTCCATCGTCCGCAAAGACATCACCAAACTCGAGACCGACGCCATCGTCAACGCCGCCAACGAATCCCTCCTCGGAGGCGGCGGGGTCGACGGCGCCATCCACGCCGCAGCAGGCCCCGATCTCCTTGACGAGTGTCGCGAGCTCGAGGGTTGCGACACGGGAAGTGCCAAGATCACGGATGCGTATGAGCTGCCGTGCAAGAAGGTCATTCATGCGGTGGGGCCGGTGTATGGGAGTGCGAAGAGGAAGGGATTGCATGCGGAGTTGTTGAGTGGGTGCTACACGAAGAGCTTGGAGTTGGCGGTCGAGAATAAGTGTAAGAGTCTGGCGTTTAGTGCGCTGAGTACGGGGGTGTATGGATATCCTAGTGGTGAGGCTGCTGAGACGGCGATCCAGGCTGTGAAGGTGAGTTGCTGAAGGGTTAGAGGTGAAGATGAATGGTGACTGACACATGCACAGGGCTGGCTGGAGGAAAATGACAAGCGCGCGGAGAAGATCGAGCGTGTCGTCTTCTGCCAGTTCATGGAGAAGGACCAGAAGGCATACGAGAACTACATTCCGAAATACTTCCCTCCTGCTGCCGAAAAGAAGGCGGAGGAGTCAGAAGAGAAGGTCGATGCTGAAGAGGATGGACAAGAAGGCGCAGATGAGGCTAAGGATGAGGAGGTGCAAGCTGAGAAGGTGCCAGACTTGCCAGAGGTGCCTACCAAGGAGCCCGCTGAGCCCGACGAGCCTGAGCCTAAGAAGCAAAAGCTCGATGATGGCAAAGACTGAGGAACGCATTATGAGTGCACATGAACAGGAACAGGGGAGAGATTGCGAGAGAAAAGCATGACTGAAAGCGTTGCATTTTAAGATACCCCTTTGCATTGGTTTCAAAATGAAAGGCTTCAAAACATGGACTGATCCAGGCCGCAGTGTTCCAACTCGATCTCTCTTCTAATAGACCTAATTGCCCAGTCGCTTATCGAGGTCGTGCTCAAACACACCAGGCTGCACGGTGCAGAGCCCCTGTCCCGACTTCGCTTGTTCTGGATGAGAAGGAAACCGAGCTCGCAGACTTCAGTTCAAGCCCCGCCTGTGGCATTCAGGATACTTATCAGTTGTTCATCATCCACGGCTTCAAATGACCGGACGGTCTGTATACTGTTTCATGTAATCAAGGCTCTTGGCTGAAGCTCTGAGCTCTCTGCAGAAGTGAATCCTTCTGAAAGAGCGCGGCGAATAACAGCGGTGGCTGAAAGAAGGCAACCAACAGGTCGGCTGGCAGTGACCGTCACGGTTCGCATGAGCTTTCGCTATAACCTCTGGGATCTGCTGCTTGGAAACACCAGGCGACTAGTCCCCTCATCAGGTGTCGTTTCACCGCTCTCTGTTGTCATCCTCGTTGCCATCTCCGTCATCCCCTTTGTTCGTATAACTAGATCCCTACCTTCGCTCTCCTGAGCCTGCTATCGTCTTTCATCCTCTCTTATTACTACCACTTGCTCGTTCGACGTCACCGCCAGAGACGTGTGGGAGGCCGCCTCCACCACTTCGGAAAGAATGCATTGAGCCACGACAGCTGTGCTCCTCTAAGCATGTCGCTTAGCTTGGTGTTCACTGCCGATGGAAGGCTACAGGATAGGGGACGTTGGATGGAAGGCTCGCCAGCAACACCATCGACAGGATACCTAGACACTCAGCGACCAAGGCCTGACCCCAAGCCTCCATACAGCTGCAACAGCATCAAGCCTCAGAAACACACCTTCTTCCGCCTCGGCCGAGTGTTCAGATTCCCGTGGTCGGAGACGGCAGGGACGACCGCATTCGGCACCTTCCACAACGCACACGAGTTCGTCCGAGGACGCGAAAACGGCACACACATATACCAGAAGAATCGAATCTTTGTGGTCATCCGAGAGGGACAAGAGTCGTGCACCGTGTTGCCCATCACAACGTACGGGAATCAAGGAGTCGCAAAGCTATTCGTGGACAAGTCGCAGCATGGTGTGATATACACAGGGACAGAACCCACTCCTATCACATACCAGGAAGCACTTCGCCCTGGGTCCCTTCAGCAACATGCTATCCGTGTCATCGGCGACCAGCCGACCTGCACTCTTCATGCAATGTCCCGCATCAACTACGGACAAGTCCACACCGTTCATCACAACGTAGAAGTCGAGAGCATCGGCATGGTCCACGAAGCCTCTCTTCCTTATCTGCTGCAACAATTCAGAGGCGTTTGGGTACTTCCTTTTCTGGACATCGTTTCAGACCATCGTCCGCTTCGCCCTCCTACAGTGGCTACCGACATCTTCCACGAAACCCAACCACCGCCGCCCTCTGCCAACAATGCGGCTCACTCTCAACTCGGGGATCCCCTTCCTTCTGTCGGTATTGATATCCCAACGACACATCAACCACCACCAACCACATTTCCATTGCCAAACACAACCGGTCCCGAGGCGATACAAAGTACCGCAGCGCACTCACAGCGCGCTGTCGGAGACGGATGACCTCGACTGCAAACAACACACTCTTTCGACACTGGCACGACCGGCAATGCTCATCGTACGCCGGGCAATCGTCGCCGCCGCGGACCCAGGTATCCTGGGCCGTACCACGGTCGTCGCCATCATCAGCATGCATCGTTTTCAACTTACGGAGGTTGACCGACCTGTTCTATCGCTTACGCGGTAAGAGCAGCGGCTATACTCTCGTCATCTTTTTGGGCTTTTGGGAAGTTTTATGACTGCGACATTGTTTTATCGAGATTGTACGGCGCCTTTTCCTTGAGTAACCAACGAATCGTGGAGAATGTGTGGGTGTTGCTTGATTTACAGACGCTCGTTATGACATTGGCGTTGGGGTGTTTGGTAGTCTAGTTTGAACGCAATACAACGGCCTGACCATCACACACTGCTTCATTCTTTCGTTCACTCTTCGTCTTCATCTTCGTCTATTCGTCTGAGCTATCATTGTCCACTTGCGTGCTTGGACCTGCAGCTGAGCGGCTTGCGTTGTGCGGTCCTGTCGCGGTGGCTCGACTCGACTGACCAGAGACTGAATCCATCCAGACTCGCCTGAATTGTGCTAACAGAGGTTCCAGGGATTCCGGGTGCACTTTTCCGAACGTTGCGACCTTGAGGTTGTGTTGGATGGTGCTGACGTGTGCAAGGTTGAGCCGAGTCAAGGGATTCAGGCCATCGGACTTGTCATCTGGCACAACTCGAATTGGGACGGCTCTCATCGGCTGCTCTGCGAAACCTGGCAACTCTTCTCGAGTAGGGCTTGGGGCATCACGACCAGTGTAGATTATGGCGTGATCAGACTTTTTGACGCCTGCCTTTGCGACGCCTTGTCCTCCGTAGCTGGCGATAGGTAGGACAGTACAGGATTTGTGTCCTGGTCGGATCACAACAAAATATCTCACTTTTGCAAAAGAATCCTGACCCTGAGCATCCAAAGTGGCACCGCTGGGCAGCAGAGTGCTTGACCTAGAGACTCTGTTTCTTATTTCGCCAACAGGTTCTACCCACAGAGTTTTAAACACGCGGCCCACGCAAAAGAAGTCTTTCTTTCGTAGCTTGAAAACCGGGTGTGGCGACTCAGTCTCGACAGGTGGTCTGCCATTTGGTGTTTCGGTATCTCCAATGGGCACTTGGGAGAGCGTTGGATTCATCGAGCGACCTGTTACCGAGTTTTGTGGACGGAGATCCATGGGCTGGACGCCGTAGCTCGGCGGACGGTCAGTCGGGACGAGGTTGCCGCGCTGCTGCGATACACCGTATGGCGGGGGAGTATTATATGCTCCAATCATTGACCTAAATCCAGAGTCCCCTGCACTCGTATTCATATCAAGCGCCGCCATCGAAGATTGGAGGCTTGTAGCTTGAGGGTAGTAAGGAGCAGCAGATCCAGGTGCAGAAGGACCCGGTCCTCGTCCATACGGAGTTGGAGGACTCGGTGCAACATTGCTAGGTGCGTAACGTGGTCGAAGGCCGCCGCGAGGATGGCGTGAGCCGTCTTGTAGCACGTAGTCACCTGTTCGGACATCGTAGTAGAAGTATTTCTGCAGAGTCGGACTCCATTGCCATTGCAATCTTTCCATCTTCCATCTCGAGGAGCGTTGGGGCAGATCTGGACTTGACGAGTGTTGGACACAAAGACAATAAAACCCAGGTTGGGCTCGTCGTTAGCTCATCTGCAAGGCGGCCTGATGAAGCACTGTCTGATGCAGAGGGTCGTAGATGCCTGATGGGTGCCTCTATCGCATCAGGCTATGTGCAGCTCCGCCCTGGTAGAGTATAGATTGCGCGAGCATGTGAAAAGGGGCGGGTTGTCTTTTGATGGGAGTGAAGTGAAGTCGGACGTTTCCATCGAAGTAATCCTGCAGGCAAGCTGAACATAGTCGTGGACTCAACGCTTGGCCTGGTGCACGTGGCTATGCCGTTTCGGGTTAGCCCGTTTTTGCTGCGCCTCATTGTGACACTCCTCTCACCAGACTCTACCCGACTTATGATATCGGAATCCTCTACATTGTGGAATTGAGGACACACTATGAAATCACCGGATCACACCCAACATTTGGGCGGTCTGCCATTGCTGTGGAGAAGACACGCCTATCATTTCAACTCCGGGCCCATCCATCGACAGTCGAAGGCCCCAATGCACTGGCTTTTCGGGGCATCTGGCTACGGACTCGCTTTCGATCGATTGAGGAGGACTAAGTAGAACTGGGAGTGAGTCCCCCGTATCTACCTCCAACCGCCCACACCCTCCCTGTTGTATACGAGGTCGAACTGTCGAGGATTGTAACACAAAGGGGTGCCATTTCCACAGGCCACCCACCGCAGAGGTAGATTGTTGCCGTTCGTCCATTCCTCGAACCTGCTCTGTCATCTGGCCGAGCGGAGTGGCCAAGCTGGGCTATTTGGGCGCTACTGCGTTGACTCAACTCCTCTAGGCTCTGGCTGCCGAGGCAGTGATGTTGTCATTGATCAGATGGCAGCTTTGGGAGAACTACACTCTGGCTGGCTTACCGTGGGAACAGATGCAACCGCTGATAAAGGGAAGATGATGGACAGCCCCATGAGAATAGAGACGCGGCTGCCCAGTCAATGAGAGGACAGCACACGAACTGTTTAGCAGCATTTGATCCTCTTCCCACGTCCTTCTGGATAGATCCTTACTGATTTGTGAGTTACTTCGGACATTGCTGCAGGGATCGTTCCCATTCCATACTGCCGGACTGAGCCTCGAACGTCGCAGCCTCGTCGCCAAAACGGAGCCCCGACATAGCAGCGTGTAGCTTCATACACCAGCTCGAGGGAAGCATCGTCTGAGAAGACAAACGGAAATCTTATCTACAGTGCGAACCGCCGTCTTCCCGACCTCCAGCTTAACCCGAGCCGCCTCTCACATGCCTCGCTTTACTCCTGCGTTTCCCTATCACGTTCACGCTTTGCTATGGCGCTTTTAGCACGAGCTTTCAGATGCTTATTAGCATACTTTGCAGCAATCAACATTCATTCACATGCACCCCCGAACTCCGCTGGACCCTGGACCGGTGCTCTACTTAAGACGGCCTTCTCTCTGCTGGCAACCGTCTCTTGTTTCTTCCACTACACACCACGACAACCACTCTCTTCGGCATACAGTACCCCTTCTATCCTCTCAACTCCATACACATTCATACATCACAGACTTCTTCGCATACCACAACATACAACAGAGCTGCCACTGCCAACCCCATCAGCTTCACGACGCTCGACACTCCAACCTGCTATACCTCGACAGCACTTTTATACTATTGCATCTGATCTTCCACCATGCGGTTCGCCTTAGTAGCTCTGCTACTGGGTGGCAATCTTACTGCTTGGGCTGTTACCAATACCACCCAATCCGACATCGCCGCCACCGCTGAAAGCTCTGCACTCTCTTTATCCCTCTCTACAAACCTCGACAATGGTGCGGCTTCCATGAGCGTGGCCACTATCCCTCTTTCTGTCTCTTCCACTGGCTCTGCTTTGGCTGTCTCGTCCAACCCAAGACTGACCGACGACGTCCCCAATCTGCCTCACGGAATCCCGTTCTCTGAGACCGCAAACCCGGCAACTGTCATCACGAGCGATTCTGCATCTGCCTCTGGAGGTTCTGCCGGTGCTTCCACGACGATCACGGGCCAAGCCCCCGACACCACGGACTGGTCTGCTCTCGGTTGCACCCAATTCGCGACTGTCAGCGGCATATTGTCTCCGCTCTGTGTTTTTCAACAGACCACTGACGAGACGTCGATTTGGGCGTCGCAGACTGGAGGATCTTCTGGAGCCACCAATGTGACTCCCGTTCCATCGGGTCCCTTCGGCAACAGCTCGTCCGTCCAGGCTATTTCCACGAACCCTATTCCCATCACGCACACCGAGGAGCCACACCAGCCCCTTCCTACGTCCTCGAAGGTCACCCACAGCTCGTCGCACCACAGCACATCGTCCACGAGAGTGCCAACGACGACGACCCAGCCGATCCTACCTCCACCGCCTTCGTGGACTGAAGTTCCCAATCCGTGGCCATCGACAGTTTTCTTGAACTCCTCGACAACCGGTCATAGCTCATCGATGCACAAGACATCGTCCACGAGAGTATCAACAACGACTTCTCAGTCGATCTTGCCTCCGCCACCATCCTGGACTGAGACCCCGAATCCATTATCATCCACGATCTTCTTGAACTCTTCCACGACTTTCAAGACCAGCACGAGGCCAGCTTCGCCTATCATCCCGGTTCAGGATACCTCGAGTCCAGCCAAGTCCCTGACGAAGCCTGGCCTTCCCAGTTTGTCCTCGTCGCATAGCAAGCTCTCATCGCATGGCCCACAGTCAGCTGGAGGTTACACGATGACCAAGAACATCACCGAGACTGTCCACTCGACAACGACTATCCCAGTCTCTCATCCTGCGCCCAAGCAGACGGTTGTCACTACCGTGATTCTGACGACTTTGGTATCTACTGTGACAGCAGACCAGCCCACGAGCCCTGCTTGCGTGGACAAGACGATTACGTCGACCCGCACTGTGACGAAGCACATTTCGCAGCCGCAAAGTATGTTCAACTCCTCAGCGCAATGAGAACCTCAAACTGACTTCTTGACAGAGCCAAGCCAGAGCCTTGTGATGCTCTCACAGCTCAGCGATGGTATGACTTCTCACAATCGCTCTGATATGATGCTAAAACTCCGTATGCTAACACGCAACCAGGGCAAATCAATGGACCTCCAGTGACCCTCCCAACGGTTTCCACAAAGCCTCACCATGGACCAATCGACCCATCGTCCCTGTCGTTCCTCGGGCCACCAAAGGTGACGCCCTCTCATTCCGCCATCATCGACCCGCTGCAGTCGACGTCGACTCCGAGCCATCCACTGCCATCGATGGGCTTCCCACACGGTCCACATAACGGTACGGTTACCAAGCCTCACCACGATGGCACGGAGACACGCAACCCGGACGCTCCTGTTCCTTTCCCGACGCAGTCGTTCTTGAACGTCACTTCGCTGCTGGAGCATGGCTCTGGACCCAAGCCGGCTCATCAGCCAACTTTGAGCGTCTAGACGGGGAAGTGAGGACTGCCAGGGAAAAGATGGGACCATGACGAGAGCGGTCAGACAAGGAGGTTGGAGATACGGTTTGCCTTTCACGAGTTAGCGGTCTTGGAGGATGCCTGCTTTCAATGAGCGTTGTACCTTTACATTATAGTCTAGACAATTCAAAAGCGAATGTACTATAACCCACATCCGCGCCCTCCCCTTCCACTCTAATGTCTTGCAGCAAGCACCATCGAAAAGAACCCATCCAAGTCTTCGCAGACCAACAAATCCTCATCAAATTCCCATACCTAACCCCTTACCGTCCTGTCCTTCCCTTCCTCATCCCTGCAACACTACAGGCTGAAGAGCCTATCCCATCTGGTTGGAAAGACGCGCTCATCGCTCAGTAACCACATCACCCCGCCCAGCAACCGCAGCGGGGGGATCAGAGGTAACTGCCTGCGCGGGCTCCGATGCTCGACGTCCGATGGCCTGAGAAAACATTAGACATTGGCAGACTCCAAAAGCTGTCTAGGTAGGAGAGAAAAGTATAGTTGGTTCGGCGTTGTCGACTGATTGGGCTATGGAGCCGATGGCGCTTAGGATGAGGAGCGTGAGGGTTTTGAGGAGGTTCATGATGTCCGAGATGGAGGTGATGGTGTTGTTGTCTGAGATTAGAGTGTTGAGTTGGAGTGTTGGGCTAGAGCGTTGGCTGTGGGTTGTGGAATGTCGAGCCGCAGTAGCAGGGTCGGTTCTTATCCTCCTACCTTTGGGCTATAGTACACAGCCATTATTGTCTGTAGACTTCGCAGCTGAATCAAAATGTCAAACTTCACCAAGTCCGACTTTACCAATAGCTATAACACTCCCCGTATAACCCACAACAAATTTTCGAACAGCCTAACTTAATCGCAACGTCACCACTTCTTCGTCTCCAACAAGACACCTTACTTCCCCTTCTTATAAAAGTCATCATCATCGTCATCACCCTCACATCCACCCGCTCCACCCCACCAGGTGTAGAAGCCACCACAGCGATGATCGTCGTCGTCATCGTCGTCGAAATCGTAGTGGTGATGATGGAGCCAGGGGAGCCAGAAGGTTCATTTCTTGTTCATGGTTGGGGCGTTGGGAGAGAGTTTGTTCTCTGTACCGCGGGTGGCGAGGTCCTGTTGGGCGAAGTTAGCAGCTAGTTTTCGAGGATAGCGAGTAAGTAGTGGAGGAAAAGCGTACATTGCCTCCAGCAGCAGGAAGTGGACCAGCCATGCCGAGACTGGCAGTAAGGAAGAGGACAGCGGTGATCTGCGTGAACTGCATTTCTTCGGTTCCCTCTCGTATAACTCTGACTTCGATGTAGAAAAGCTTGCAAGGCTGAAAGGAGCCCGCGAGAGCGAGGTCCAATTATATATCTCTCCACCCAAAAGTGTCAAACACGGCACTGCGCGGAATCCGATAGTTTATAAAGTTCGCAACATGTTCAATCTCGTCCTGTTCAGTTGCACCGTGATGGTATTGCCATGAGTCGAGAGAGGTCGTTCTTTTGCCAAGGGTCGATGGATCTGCTTGCAAAGTTCAGCCTCTGAAACTTGGCTTTGGCCAAGCTTTGCGTGCATTTGTGTTTCATTCATGACGAAAGGAGTACTCTCATGATTCGTAGAATCTTGATAGAGTTGTGAGAATTCCTGCATGCTTTGTGTCGAGCGAGAATGCCACATGATGGACAGGCGTTCCTTTTCCACGTGCTACACAGCAGCGTCAATGCGGTGGCGACACGTCCTTTTAATACTATGCAACACCAAACTATCCTGTGAAGTCGTGGAGACGGAGACTTTTGAATTTGGGACATCGATCGTGGTGATAGCATCGCCTGAGGGCGCCAGCATGTTGATGCATGAACGCTCTTGCTCGCCCTCTGGCACATGGAAAATGTGGGTGTCTCGCTCCATGTGAAGATCCGAAGCCGAGTGGTGGTGTCGGTGAGTGCATTTGGCGGAAAGCGTTCGATGCAGTAGCTTGTAGACATTCAGACTGTAATGGAGAATCTGTTCTCAGTCCAGCATCAAAGCAAACTTGCTCCAGCCCCGAATCTTCCTCCCATAGAGATAGAAAAGCACCGGAAAAGGAACCAGCGCAACACACAGAAACGCCAACAGACTCGTCGCCCACTGCACGCCCAAGCTCTGATACATATTGGTCGAAAACAAGGGAAACGCCGCTGCCACGATACTCCTCACAAACGCATTCGCCGCAAGCGCCGAGTTTGCATCGTAAAGATAGACGTCCACCAAGTAGATAACCGCAGGCATGAAGACCATGATGATCCCTCCGCCGATGAACGCGCCCGCGATGATCTGCGGCCAGGGGTTCATGGATGGGAAGGATGTCCATGCGAACCAGAATAGGCCGATCACTAATACCACCGAGCCCACGACCATCGGTGGGAGCCGCTCTTCTGGTATGAGCTTTTGTGCTTTGGCGAGTTTTGGCTGGAAGACGTTTTGGGTTTCCCAGGCCATGTACGTGCATGCGAAGATGACGCCGATGAAGATGGCGATGAAGGGGAGGGAGGATGTGCCGAATGCCCAGCCGCGGTCGAATTCGAAGCTGAAGGGGAAGGCGAAGAAGATGAGGTAGAGAATGCCGTAGACCAGGCTGATGTAGATTGTCATGACGATGAGGATCGGCTCCTGGGTGATCATCTGGAGGGGCTTGAGGCCGTACTTGCGCATAAGGGCATTGAGGTGGACGGGTTCCTCGTCAAGCTTGGAGTGTAATGCCCAGTGTCGTGTTTCGACTCGCAGGCGGGCAGCTTTGCGTTGGAGGATCACGGGTGCAAGGGTTTCAGGGATGCTGGGGAGTGCCAGCAAGAAGGAAAAACCACCCATTATCATAGTAATCCAGATGGTCCAGCGCCAGCCGAGAGCAGTATTCTTGACGGTGAATCTAAGAAGTCGTCAGCACGTTGTCTTGCATTAATGATGAAACGCTCACTCTCCAACGATTGGGCCCATGGTCGGCCCTGCAAACACAGCTCCAGCATAGCCGATGGTTGGGATACCTCGATCTTTGGAGTCCCAGAAATCGACGTACATTCCAGCACAGATAGCGAGAGGTGCACACCCGAAGCAGCCAGCAAGGAATCGGCAGATAAAGATGGTCTGAAGGTTAGATGCGACGGCCACTGGGATTTGAAAGACGATGAAGCCAAAGAAGCCGATCATGAGAGGATTACGGCGGCCATATATTTCGCTCAGAGGTCCCCAGACGAGAGGGCTGTGATTTGGTCAGTATGCGGTGGACAATGGATTTTGAGTCTCGTACCCGCAAGCAAAGCCCACAACATAGAGCGTCACTCCCAAGATCATGACTTCCTGGCTTGCGCCAAAGTGATCAGCGGTGACTGATGTGGTAGCTGAGAAGACTGAACTGCCAAAACTGATGACAAAGGTCAAGAGCGCTGTCAAGATCGATATCCACCATTTCCTAGCTTTGCTGAAGTTCATGGGATTCGCTGGGTCGTTCGGTCCATCCCAATCAACAAGGTCCGGATCATTCTTCTCGGCGTTGTGGTCGTGCTGCCCGCCGCGCTGGTGAAAACCAGTTTCTTCATCTCGCGCCGGTCCAAAGCTTTCCTCAATGCCTTGCTCGGCTTCACCGATGCTCTTCAGCGAAGAAGCCAGTTCAGAAAGTGGTCGGGATGGTGGAGCGCTGACGGCTTCTGTAGTTACTGCGTTCTTCTCGACGTCGATCATAGCTGGAAGAGGCATAAAAGGTGCCGACTGTGAGGGTCGAAGTGACAAAGGATACAAAAACACTTACCGCGGCATCTCTGCTCAGTATAGAGGTGCAGAAAAGGCTCCACCAGATAGCGGCTGAACAGCCGAAGTCGTGATGGCTCCATCTTTCTTCGGGATGGAAAGCTGGATGGCCAGACGAGGCGAACAAGCAGTCAAAGTGACAGTGCGAGCGATCTCCGAACGGATACGTGCCTGATATGGCGGACAAGCTATCCAGCAGAGCAGTTGCTATGCTGATCCTGCAACGTAGATTATGCTGTGTTCAAGATTGGCCGCAGACATGACGAAAATAGGTGGTTCTCGTGAGAGAACAATGCTCGCAGTGGCGCAGAACCTGCACTGTACTTGGTTGTACCTCGGCATAACAAATTCCGAAACAGCATCCATATCGAATCAAGCGAGATTCTGAAGAAGACCCACGCCTGGTTACGGCCTTTGTGCTCTCGCGAGATGGGGAGTGGGAGAATTGGGGTGTGGCAGACCCACTGCCGAGAGTGATTGAGCCGCTAGAGCCGGATAGCGATGGGCGCTCCGAGTTCTAGAAGCATGGTGTACTTCAGTGGTAACATACGGCCATGAAAACAGAAAGACAGTGTTCAAAAGGTGAATGTTGATGGAAAAGGAGGAGGTGTCGTCGAGATAGAAGAAAGTTTCTCCCAGCAACGACCTCATGTCAGCTCTGCTCCCATTGGTCCGGAGTCCAGCCCGTTCTCTGCGCACCCTTCACCGCGTCATCTTCGCTTTCACGCCGCCAAACACAATGGGACGCGGATGGAATGACAGCAGACCACGCCTGATATGTGAACAGTCCGTCACCATAGCTTGGCATCTTCACGATATGTCAGCCGCTAGGTGTGCAAGTCTGGGTAAGGCTTGCGGTTGCGAATCCATAGCCGGCCAAGAGAGGGATCCATGGTTCTGATCCTGTCTGACATGATCCAAGGCCAAGGAGGGCTATGATCAGACACATTATCTACAGCGCTTCCTCCTCACCTCACTCCTTCTGTTGCTAGAAATTCCGTAAATTGACCCTTGTCTTGCGAGTCGAACTCCAGGCCGGACGTCCCGCGATGCCGAAAGACTCCTCCAAGTCGTCGCTGGACGCACTGCTCCCGGGCTACAACACCAAGCAGCATTCGACTCCCAGCTCGCAGCTCTCCAAGTCCGAGTCGACCACACCAAACAGCAGCGAGCCTTCAGCTCCCCCCGATGGCTCCATGTCCCCCGATGAAGAAGTGCAATATCTCACGAGACAGGTGTTCCAGATCGCATTGAATAAGCCGCTGGAACCGTGGGTGCTAGATCACGTCTCATCTGCTTTTCATGCCGACTTTGATAACTTTCCGGCTTCACAGACATGGGACGAACATGTCGAGACCTTCCGTAACATCTATAGAACCAATCCTGGCTACATACCGGACATCATGAACGTGGTTGTGGATGTCTCCGAGCACAACACGCATGCCGATGCCTTCATGGTGATTGAGACCATCGGACGCCCAGGGAACGTGCGCAGACATAGTACCGCCCGGCTGAAGTGGCGGCGGCGAGATGGGCGATGGGAAGTCTATCACATTCTAGGTGTGAGGACGCCGTTAGCCACGTTCGACAACATCTGAAGTGAAGCAAGCTTCGTCATTCACTTGCTTCGCTGGAAGGTGCGCGCTAGAACTAGCTTCCGCGCCAAAGCTCCTGCAGCGTGCCCCTCAAAGCAAACGACACTTCAAAGCAACACTTCGACCACAAAACACCACCACACACCACCTCGTCTTGGGCGGATAAGAATATATACCTCCATCACCACCAACAACACCACCACCAACCATGAGCGACAGAAAGAAAGTGTGCGCTCAGTGCGGCGAGGAGGCCAACATGACCTGCACTGGCTGCAAAGTCACTTCGTACTGCTGCCGTGACCACCAGAAGGATGACTGGTGGGTGTTATAATGAAGTGGAAGAGACTTTAAACTGACCACATTACAAGGCAACTTCACAAGCACTTCTGCAAGTCGTTCAAAGACTTTCAGGACCAACAACGCCCATCTCCTGAGCACCACCGCGCCATCCTCCTGCCTGAGGACAAGACCAAGCCGCGCTTCATCTGGGTTCCTGAATACGAGACATCGACCGACCAGCAAGAAGCTGACCCTGACGAACCTTTCGCCCGCCTCGACTTCACCAACCTCTTCGGCGATCGCCCCGTCTCCTTGCAGACCTCCTTGCTCGTTCTCGGTGACTACACCTCCGAAATTGGCAAACACCTCGACCAGGCCGTCTACCTCGCATGTCGCTCCACGAATCAGTTCGACGGCTCACAGCCCAACAAGTGTCTTGCTTCTCTCTGCGCTGATGACCGAGTTGCTCGTCGATTCAGAGGCCCGATCGTGCTCTTTGGCATGGCTTCCAAGATCAAAGAGAGGCAGCCGCTCGACATTGCCGCTGTCGACTTCTCACTTGCTCTCAAGGTCGTGCTGGAGCATCATTTCGAGGCCATGTGGTCCGTGCAGCAGAAGGAGGCCGCGGGCGTTGTGGTCCTGAACTCGCGTGTCGCTGCTGCTCGTGGAGCAAACCCCTTCGGCGATGTCTTTGTGCCGTTGGAGCATGCCATATTTGAGGGCGGAGAGTTGTCTGAACTGTCGAGACTCGTCGGCATGCCACTTCTGACTTTCGAGTGCTTGACTGAAGCTCGCGAAGCTGGTGATGCAGAGGAGGAAGACAACGAGGAAGAGTCAGACGAGTGGGAGACCTCACCAGCGGCTTTTCTGCACCTCAACGTCCGCGCCAACGCCAACGCCACCACCGATCCTACTTTCGGCACCATCCCTACCGATTGGCAGAAGCGCAAGGGCATCATTCTCGTGGTTCGAGAGGATCTGAAGCCGATCTCAGCCAAGACCGTCGAAGCGCTCTGCAAGTACGCCGCACAGGAGGCCAAGAGTCTTCTCATGAAGGCGACCGAGTCCTTCGATGGTCGTCGCAAGGCGGTCGCCAACGTCTCCAAGGCGGATTGGGAAGAGTTTCTGCAGGAGCATGAGCAGGCTGCTGGGGTCAAGAAGCTTTGATGGATGGAAGAAGGTTCATTGTGTTAGTGATAGGGCTGCCGTCTTCTACAGCGATCATGAGAATGACCTCCTGATGCTTCATGCACTCTTGGAAGCTTTGGGTTTGCACTAGCATGAGGCTTCCAGAGCAATCGTAGGTAGCTACCAGAAACCGAAAGGACATATCATCGTGTGTCCATCCCTTCCATGTTACCCTCATTCCGCTCAATAGTAGCAGTTTCTGACGCATCCACCCATCGACAGCGAATCACAACGGCATGTATCCCTTTGACTCAGTATGTTTGACCAAGTTTGCTAAGCTGCGAAGCTGCATGGAAAGTGCATGAATCTGCACCTCACTGCTGTTGTTCTCTGGGACCTGTCAGACGTCTCTGTCCAGCCTTCCTTTATGTTCATCATTCTGATAAGATTCCCCTCTCCGCCCCTACATTCCCAAGTTCTTCTATCCACACCACGTCTCGGTCTGGAAGATGTCTGACCCAAGCAACGCCGATGCCTCTACAGCTACTGCCAGCACTAGCAAGAACAACATCGAGCCATCCAACGATACCGTCCGTGACGGCGCCCACCTGAAAGACACCGACTTCAACGACAAAAAAACCGACAACATCAGCACCGGCAACAACAATGCTCCAACGAACTCTGCCGGCACCCACTGTGGCCATTGCTCCAAGCCAGCGACCCTTCAGTGCGCCGGATGCCGTAATATCAAGTACTGCAACACTCATTGTCAAAAGCAAGACTGGTAAGCCCTTGCACTGATCTCGGACATTCTTGTCTATCTTCTGACAAAAACAAAGGCGCATGCATAAGAGTCTCTGCAAGACCTTCGCCGACTTCACTACCTCACCCGGCCGCGGCTTTCGTCGAGTGATCGTGCTCCCTCGTGACTCCAACGAGCCGCGCTTCGCTTGGATGGAGACCTGGGTCGGTGAGCCAGAGGACGATGAGGACTACGACTCCGAAGACGAGGGCGAAATTGACGAGGAGAGCGGCTTGCCCGAGTTCGACCCCGAGCGTGGCTCTGAACTCGGCTACCCTGCCGACCTCTTCAACTTCAGCTTCCGATCCTACAACGAGATCATCGCCGGCAAGATCGGCGGCGGCGAGCATCTCGACCACTGTATTGCGGTGTATCTCGAAGAGAACCACGGCTACCCGGTCAACCAGTGTCTCGACTTTCTGACTCATGGTAAGGCGGCGAGGGAGCTCGGGCTTGCTGGTAAGGGCCTGCTCGTCATCTACTGCACTTCGAAATGCATGCAGCCGAAGTTTGTGAGGGACGCGAATTGCTCTGATCTGAGGCTAGGGATTAGCGGGTGGTTTGAGTATAACATATTGCATGCTTCCAGGAAGTGGTAGCAAGATACATCCTGCTTGCACTTTGTGGAATTTGGACAGTGCAGATAGGGGCGTGGAGAATCGAAAGCGACGACCGGCAGTGAGGTCTCTAGTCGGCAGATAGTTGGGACTTGCTTGAGGAATTTGGTGTATACTTGACTGTATCTCATGACTGTTCTGCATTTCCGTTCCTTCCGAATTCGGCTTCACTTCACTTCACTTCCCGCATAAACCTCGGGGTGTCCGATGCCCGTTTGCCTTCGCCCAAGTTCCTTTCTAGCTGCTTCCGCTTCCTACGCTCACTCCCTTCCCACCACCTCTCACCATCACAACACCACCGGAGCTCAAGATGTCGGCCTCACCTCCCCCGATGGAGGGACCAAGCCGAAACTGTGGCCACTGCAGTGCGGCTGCCTCTCAGCACTGCGCCGGATGTCGCAATATCAAATATTGCGACCGCAACTGGCAGAAGAAAGATTGGTAAGCTCCAGCTCTGGAGTGTCACTTCCATCGCATACAGGCTAACTCATAGTTTGCAGGCACCTCCACAAGCATCTTTGCAAGACCTTTGCCGATTTCGCCGAGCCTCCTGGACCTAATCTCCGCCGCATCATCATACTCCCGGAGAGTTCTGACAAGCCTCACTTTGCCTGGATGGAGACGTACAAGGTTGAAGGTCGGGAAGACTACGAAGACCCAGATTCAATCAACGACAAACTTGGAGTTCGATACTACGACCAGGAGGAGGGCGGCGAGATGAGCGAATTTGGCGGAATCTTTGGCGAGAACAGCAGCGTCGATTATGCCCTCGATATCGTGCTGGGAAAGCGCTGCAATGGCGAGCTCCTTGACCATAGCCTCAACATGCTCTGCGGCTGCGACACATGTCCCGTCAACCTGAACAAGTGCCTCGACAACCTGACCTCCGGCCACGCCAAGTCCATGGGTGTGCTCGGTCGCGGTGACAAAGCCATATTTGCCACATCGAATGTCGTCGAGTCGATGTTCGTCCGCGATGCTGACTGCTCCGACTTGACGCTTGCGATCAAAGGCTGGGTGGCGTACGAAGAGCTGAGTCGCAGGCAGAGAGCCGCAATGCGAACCTTGAATCATCCTGGCTACATCGATATGGAGAAAATGGAGGAGATGGAGGAGATGTTCCGTGCCAAGGCACAGTCCAAGCAGCAACACAACAGCGACTGAAGGGCGTCGAACATATCGCTTGGAACGTCGTCTGCACACCAGTCGCAATCAAGGGCCACGACCCTTGAAGGCACGATACTCACGAGAGATGGGTATCAAGACCGCGGATTCGGCTACTAAACCCGTCAAACCCAATGACGAGGTTAACAAGTCAGATACTCAATCAAAGCACTCTGACTTGCGTCTCTTGACTCACTTGTGTCTTCAGTTCGGCCCTCCTGTATCTCCTTCAAGAACTCATCTTTACAGTTCTTTTCAAATCGCAAGGCTACCATCATACTTCCATACAGAAGGCCTAGAATTCGCCTAAATTTGTGTACGTGGAGAAGATTCAGCCTTGATGAGATTCTGAAAGTATCGCCAACTGTTTGTTGCGAGGCTCCTTGTCCATCTCCTGAAAGCGTTTGCTCCTTCCGCATTGGGTTTCACGTTAGATCGGATAAACTTCGGCTTATCATGTGCCCGTTTGCTCTTGGCCCAAGCTCGTTTCCAGCTACTTCCACCCTTCCTCAACCCACCAACTTTCTGACTTCTCGCACACTGCACTTCCAAAACCCACCGCCAGCATGGCCGCCACGAACGACTTCTGCGGCACATGCTTTGGGAAGGCGACGCAGGAATGTGCCGGATGCCACAGCATACGGTACTGTTCTCGCGAGTGTCAAAAAGTGAACTGGTACGCACCTACATCTGTACCACTTGTACATCAATAGCTGACTGTTTCTTCCAGGCCACAGCACAAGCACCTCTGCAAGACCTTCGCCGACTTCGCCACCCCTCCGGGTCCCAACCTCCGCCGCATCATCATTCTACCACAAGACTCCAAGAACCCTCGCTTTGCCTGGCTGAAGACTTTCTCCTCTGACACCGAAGAGCCAGAGGAACAGTTTCTTCTAGGCTTCCACACCGAATTCGATGCCGGGCCTGATAGCCACGAGACGGATGAGTCGCCAGGCCACGAATTGAGCACCTTCGAAGAAGTATTCGGCCCTTGCACGACCGGGTTCGCGATGCCAGTGATGCCCGGAACATTCAAGATGAACGGCAATCCGATTACCGTAGACCGCAGCACCCAGGTCTTCTTCGATGAATCGCAGCCACGGCACACGCGCAAGCTCAACCAATGCTTTCTGAGCATGCTTGGAGACAACGTCGACATCCTGCGCGGCAACCACGGCCAAGGCAACATGGCCATCTACACTGCGACTGATGTGTCCAAGCCCAAGTTCATTCGCGATGCTGACTGCTTCGATCTGTCCCTGGGCCACGCTGGTCTGGCTCATTACTTCCAACATCGGGTAGGCGATGGTCGACGGGGCAACCGGACGGCAAGGATGGCAGATAATGCCTCCGACGACGCGTCCACGACCTCCTCCGGTGAGTCCACTTATGACGATCCTGTTCTTTCCGGACTCTTCGACATGGAGCGTACCACACTCATACAAGGCTTGCTTTCGAGGATGAAGCACATATTTGGGGATGAGCTTGCAGGGAAGCTGGAGCAGCAGTTCAAAGAGGATCAAGAGAGGGAAGAGCTTATTCATAAGGAGTCTGAGACGGAGTTGGACAAGAAGAAGAAGGAGTGTCAAGCAAAGGAGTGACAACGTTGAGCCCACAGGCTAGCAGGCAAGAGGAAGACAGCACCCCACTTTGAAATGAAGGACGAAGAGACGAAAGGTCGGAGCTGTTCATTGACCGAAAAGCAGTGGCCAGAACTGTACGTTTAGGTCGCCGCGGAAACCACGCAGCACAAAAGTACGAATTGGTTGATGTATCCAGTCGGCCTGTTGTACCGAGCTTGCTGTTTCAATACTGTCTCCCGCTACCTCACCTCCTGAATCCAGCTCTGTAGGCTGCGAACTTTCTTCCAACATCTAGACAACAGCTCCAGCACTCGCCCGAAGCTGCGCCCCGAATTTCCAAAGAACGAATGGTCCCGGAACAGCCAGCACCAGGAACACCAACGCAATCGTCGTGTTCCCCCATCCATACCCCAACGACGAGAACAAAGCCGGCGCAAAGATCGGAAACGCAAAAGCAAAGATATTCCTCAGGAACTGTGACGCGGCGGCAGCTGATCCGACATGCTCCCTGTACGCTTCGATAAGATACTGCTGCATCGCCTGGGTTGAGAGGATGATGCCAATGGCGAAGATAAGAGCTCCAGCGTCGACGACTGGCCAGGGCGCGTGCTTCTCTGCGGCCCAGCCGAACCAGAGGAGCCCGGCGGGGATCAAGATGATGCCTGGCAGCATGAGTGGGATTCTGTACTCTGGTGCGCTTCGTCCCTGGTGCTTGGCCTTCAGGTGGGCCTATACTTTGTCTGTGAGCTTGCCTCCTCCCTGGCTCGCCACGGTATATCCGATCACCATGGCGAGGTAGTGTAGTCCTGATTGTGAGACTGACCCCAGGTAGGATTCAGTCCAGATGCTCGCGCAAGACGTCAAGACGAGGTAAAGAGTACCATAGTTGAAAGCCAGTAGCAGCGCCATGATCTGAATGATCCGGTCCTGGAGCATCATCAAGAAGGGTCGCATCATGCTCTTTTGCAGTCTAGTCGTCGGGGGTAGGGAATGAATGTCGTATTCAGTGTAGTGTACTCTCCCGGTCGTCTTCGCCAACTTTCGAGCCTTGCGGTGAAGTAGAAGCTGACCGTACGTCTCAGGAAGAAAGAAGAAAGCGCCAAGGATCAGTAGGGCATCGAAGATGGCCAGGATCCAGAAATTCCAGCGATATCCTATCGACTCTGTGACAAGTCCAGCAATGAGAGGACCAAGAGCAGGACCCAGTAATGGCAAGAACGTAGCAATGGCAAACGATAGACCCCGTTGCTCCGGTCTCCAGATATCAGCCAGAATCGGACTCGTGAGCTGCAAGAGTAAGCAACAAGGCCATCAACGCTCCTGAAACAGTCCAACTCACCACATACTCCGCACTCGACCCCAACCCAGCAAACCACCTCGCCGCCAACAAAAACCCATTACTCTCCGCAAACCCACAGCCCACACTCCACCCGACATACCAAACACCACACGCCAGCCAAACCTTCCTCCGCCCAAACACCTCCGCCAAAGGCGCCAGAACCGGGGTCCCAAACGCGAACGCCAGCACGAAGATCGAGAGGGACATGTTGGCGGAGGCTTGCGAGACGTGTAGATCTTGTGCGATGGTCGTGACGGCTGTGGCGAGCATGGTGGAGGACATGAGGCAGACGAGGCCGCCGCAGGAGAGGAATATTGTTATGAACCATTTGTGAGAGGTGGGCCAGTTTAGGGGATTTGAAGAGTCGGTGGGGGAGGACCATGTCACAAGGATGGGATCATTGGAGTTTTGGACGGACGAAGAGCATTCGAGGGTCTTCGTCTTTTCTAAGTCGACGGTCGTATCCATGCTTGGCATCTTCATTGTCTCGAAATTAGCATCCGTCGTGATGTTCGAGGATTTGCCTTTGCCAAGGTCAGCCCCTGAAAGTGTTGCCCATGTGAAAGCCTTTTCCTCACTGAACGATCGTGCCACGTACGGTTTCTATCACTAGATCATTCATGTCGATGGCCACCGACGCAAGCTTTTCGTCCTGTTCACGTGGGTCGTCTCCGGTCATCTTGATCCAGAATTTGAATGTTTGAGGAAAAGAGAAGTCAGGTCGCCATATACATGTACATCTGACTTTTCTCAAGCGTATTTGTAAACTCCAGATGCTTGACATGGCTTATCAGTCGAAACCTTGATGGTATATATCACCATGCATTCGGCCGGCGCGAGCGGCCGAGACGACCGGCTACCACCTTCACTTCGTCCTCGCCTAGGAAAGCGTCTGTCTCAAGAACTCCTCAATCAGCTGAACTCTCTCCGCAGTAACAATCTCCATCTCAACTCATCCATCACCGACGTGCATCACAGTCTAGACGCCATCCTGATTCTCCGTCCATTCTGCCAACTGCCCTTCCCCTTTATACGCCTGGTCGGGATCCCTCCGAAAGACTGCGAGGTTGTCCTGCACCCACTGCAGCAGGTAGAACCATTACCACCATCTCTGTAGTTGTAGGTGACCACAACGACTCCTTCAGGGGCTAGTCCGCCACCGATGTACAGGTCCTTGGAAGACGTCTGTCTGCTGCCGTAGCTCCAGACAAAGACCGGGTACTTGTCACTCGACGAGGTTGCAGGTACCCAGATATTGACGCTCAGACAATCTTAGGTGTATTCTTCCACGTAATTCGAAGGACATGGCAGCCCAAACGTGGTCGCCTGGAAAGTGCTGTTCCACGACTACCTTTGCGGAGGGGCCTTCCATCGGTTTTGACCGGAGGTATCGGCGGCGTATGGAATGTCCAAGAATGCAGTCACTCCAGCATCGCTTTGATAGTAGAATTGTTCGCTCGTGGAGCTATTGAAGTAGGAAAAGCCTTGCACAAGTCCGGATTTGATACGGACGATGTGATTCGAGGAGGAAGTGCTGGCTGGTGCAGCAGAGGCAGTAGCTACAAGTACTGGAGAATATCTAAAAAGCATGATTGTGGCTGTTGGAGCCTTCCAAAGAGAGGACCAATCGACCTATGTATCATTCAAAAATCACATTATACTCTCTGATTTGCCTAATGAGCCCACAAACCTTGTGGCAATTCCTCCCGCTTTTTCGTCGGTATTGCAAGCCTCAACGAAGAATTGCCCAAGATCGTAATACCAGACGTCTCTCAATTGCGCATCGACCAAAGCCTTGTCGGTCATAGGTTTAATTTGTTCAGGGGTACAGTTCGCATTTGGACCTAGCATGAGAAGGTTCGACCGAGGCTGGATTTTGAGACATCAGAGGATAATCAAGACGTCCGTTGGACGATATTCAAATACTGAATTTGTACTTTGATCCTAATGTTCCAGACCTGTAGAGGGGAGTTAAGTAATTAAATGAAGGCTGATCCGGCGCAATCATGCCCCTGGTATCGCCAAAGCCTTGAAGCCCTCCTCTTCCGTAATCTCCTTTCCTAATAACCACCCAATCCCCGTCATGACATCCTTATACCCTTGTCTACTGATCTCCAAGCCTTTATACATCGTCCAATGGCCATGAGGACAGCCTGGGTAGAAGTTCATCCTCGTCTTGACACCGGCTTCTTTCAGCATCTCATCATAGATGAGTCCGTCGTCTCGGAGAGGATCCATCCCGCAGACTTGGAAGAACGTAGGAGGTAGTTCCGATAGTGGCGTTCTGAAAAGCGTGGGAAACCTGACGGGGGAAGTGTTGTCCCACTTGGTGAATTTTCGAATTGCTGCCAATGCTGCCTCGTCCAGGACGTGTGCATTTGCGTTTTGCTCGCGTGAGATGAAGGAGGATTTGTACTGGTCAGGAACCACTTCTGCGTCGAAGAGTGACGGTATCGCCAGCCATTGTCCAGTAACGGGATAGGCCAGCGGTTGTTCTTGGGCCATTCGAGTGACCACAGCAGCACAGTTTCCACCTGCTGAGACGCCTCCGACAATGAAGCCTTTCGATGGATCGGCTTGAAGCTCGGCAGCATGTGAAGCAGCCCATTTGATTCCATCGAACGAGTCCAGCTGCTGTGCGGGAAACGGGTGCTGCGGCGCAAGGCGGTATTTCACGCTCACAACGACCGCCCCAAATGCCCGAGCGAGACCTCGAGCGTAGGGTGTCATCTGTTCCTCAGTACCGGCACAGAACCCTCCGCCGAAGAGGAGTGCAATCAGAGGACTTCCATCGGGTGGAGATGTTGTAGGTCGGACAATTTTGAGTGTACTCGGGGTTCCATCTCTCAAAGTGATGTCGACATAATATTCAGTCAGAGTTGATTCCAGCTCGCCCAGAGATTCGTTGGTCATTCGTTCCACATTCGCGACCATGTTTTGGATTGCGACATAATCATCCCATTGGATCGTCGGAGGAGGATTTGTTTTGACGATCTAATGATCTCATTAGAGTTTGAACTGCGTGCGCGACCTTGGAATGGGACCTCTGCAATTGATGGATCAATCTCTGATGATCGCTTCAGTTCCTCGTGGCTGAGCAGCATCTTGTGGAGTGTCTTGCAGGTCGAAAACTGCGTGAGATGGTTATGTCGGCTTTTCTGCTGCTCAAAACTATGAGGGGGAAAGAGCTCCTTTATATACTCCACCACCGCAGCACCTGTTCTCGGTTCCGAAATGACTCACGGTGAGGCTGACACGGCTGAGGTCGTATCATTACGAACAGCGTTGTGAGCTAATAGAGCTCAATCGGAAGCTCACCTTGCACAATTTCTAGCTCTGTATATCTATGCATACTTGTGTCTAGCTACAGTCGGCCGCCGGAAATCGACCTCAAGCTACAAAGTCTTGTGCAGGAGCTGTCGGTGTAGCATGAATCAACTTCTCATCAGTTGCTTCAGGCTTGAGGTATTCCACCTTCCTCGTCGGGCGCCAATGGACTGTACCATAGCGGTACAACTCTCCATAGGTGCCCGGACGATGGTCTGCGTCAAGATATTCCTTCTTCTTGACCATGTCGCCGAGCGCTGGGAGTCCTCCTGCAGAGTTGTGGTAGACCTAATACATGTGACTCTTCTCGATCACTTCCACGATGAAGTCCTCCGCCGCCTTCTTCTTCTGCTGGTCTTGCTCATTCAGACTGGTCAAGAACAAGTCAACCTGCTTTTGCCCATGAAATTCTGTTCTGATCGCACCCAGAACGCCATTGTAAATGCCTTCCACCATGAGGCACTTGTTGTTGAAGAACTCTCGTCCGTTCCAGCCAGTCTCGACATCGTGCAGATGTCGCGTACGGTCGCCGATGAGCATGTGCGCAACATAGTCGCTCATTTCTTTGATCTTGTCTTGGAAGTTCCAGTCAGCCATACCCTCGGCGAGACCGATCTCCTGAACCAGAGGCAAGGTATGGAATCCGTCGCAGTTCGTCCTACCCTTCCAAAGCGACTTGTAGCCATTGTGCCAGTTCTTGATGAAGGTGCAGCCTTTCCTCGATGCAAGCATGTAGTTCCCGAAGCTTCCCCATTGCTTGCGGATCTGTCCAGAGATGATCCAGACGCCCATCTCATACTGCGAGTCAGGGGCAGAGAAGGCATTCCAAAACAGATCGTCAAGATGCGTGTGTAACATGTTGCCGACGTCCATCCAAACACCACCATATTCGTACAGCAATGGCAGTCGCACAAGATCGGAGGCATGTTGAGCTTTACTTTTGCCATCCATCGTCTGATTGATGAAACATTCTGGAAACCATTCTCTCGAGACATAGTTGTAGACATGGTTGGGCGAGCCTTCCACGAGATCGACAATTCTCACAGTCCAGGAAGGTCCGAGTTTTCGAATCCAGTTCAATACAGTCGTTCGGTAGCTTGGGTACATCAAGTCGATGCCCTTGTCCCAGAAGGCCCAGACGTTCTTCTCGCTGGTGACATTCTTGAAGTCGCGGAGTTGGGCAAGAAGCTCCTCGTCTGACCGTAGGTCGAGTTGCGAATCTGGCACTTCGGTCAAAGCTGTTGCTGAAGCTGGAATTGCGAATGGGACCATCTTGCTGTTGCTGCGGATTTTTGGTGTGTTTGTTCTGAGTGTATGCCAAGGTGTGTCCGTAGATTTTATAGAAAGTACCTGCCTTGCTGCGCCTACCCCAATCAAATGCCAATCACGATGAATCATTCGCGCTAATGCAGGAACTGCGGGACGGGAAGTGACCAGGGTGCTCCTTCCCGCTTGAGCTTAGCGCTCGATTCCCATCTTCACAAGCAAGGGCTCAATTGCAACATCCTGCTTTGCATGCCCTGGAACATCATGTCATTGGTCACTGGCTGGACGCACAAGATGCATGAGATCATACGAAACTTTGGTAGTCAGGCGAGGCTGTGTCCTCCGTGGCAGAACCTCCTTTGGCTTCGATAACCCGAAAGCAACAAGGCGCCATCCAGCCGTCCAGCCGTCCACAAGCCGGCTCAAGTGCAGCTACGAGAAATCGCCATATGTTCTCAATCTCTTAGCTGGTATGATGTTTGCCAATTCGATCTGAAGTACTTTAAGCTGAGACCGGCGAATGGCGGAATACAGCAGTGACACGAGGCTGCATTGCATCTGATGAAGTCACTGCTAATTCTTTTCTACAGATTGGAGTTCGCTGAAGTTCTCAAAGACGAGAAAAGAGCTAGCACTGAGAACAGGGAATCAAACAGATCAGCAGATTATCTGACGAATACCGAACTCTTCGTTGAATCGTTCACGAGTATCACAGTTCTTACTATTGGCTCAGTCACTGGGAACTGGGAGCTGGACCAATTCAACAAAGAACACAGAACTTATCCTGCCCCTAAGTCTGGCTCTCCTAATACTCGATCGCAAGGCCTAGAGTGGAAGCCATGCTCAAGCAGGTGAAAGCCGCCGTAGGTGAATGCCGCCAAGTGTAGTCATCCCTTTGTGCACGAGCTACTATCAGATGCCTCCAAATCAGCCAGCTGATGCAAAATCTTCGCAATGCCACTGCCTGCAGGATTCAAAGACATTGTCAAATGTCTGCAGAGGCCTTGCGGTATTGCACGTATCGACGAGGCTCTGCACGTGCTGAGCTTCGTCGATGAACAATGCATTGTCAACATGAAAGAAATACTTCTTTGTTCACTCACCTTCCTATGCAGACTATGTTCAGGCTGGGAACGTTCTCTCAGCACAAAGACCATTCACTCGCGTTCCAACGCCCAACACAATGCTCTTGACGACGTACAACGCTATTGTATAACACGTGTCGAGGAATTATATATAACCACCGCTTGCTACCCTCTAAGTCCGCTCTTCTTCATCCCAACCCACCCACGAGACGAGAAGACAAGCAGTTCCAACAACACATCCAAGTGATTGCAGGACGATCACCACGCACCAGAACCAACCACAACCAACACCGCAACTGCTCCGCTCAACTCTCGCCAACATGTTCTTGCCCTTCACCAACCTCACGGCCCTCGCCTCCACGGCCACCCTCATCCCCCGCCACGGTGATCACAATGACACCTCTTCGACCAACCTCACCATCTCGACCAACGGCGAGTGCTCCGGCTCTCAGACCTGCTTGGGCTCCACCTATGGAGAATCCTGCTCTGAGTGGGGCTACTGTGGCCCGACCAATGACACGGCATACTCGGGACCAGGCTGCCAATCCATGTTTGGTATCTGCTCTTCGACCAATTCCACGACTGGTGGCAACTCTTCGACTTCGGCTGTCCCAACCACGATCACGAGCTCGATTTCGCAGCCAACCGCAAACTCGTCGTCCACGGTCTCCTCGTCGATGAACATCTCGACGACCGCCTCATCCATGCCTGCCTCCACTTCGGCTTCTTCTTCGGCCTCGAGCACTTCGACTCCGGCATCTGCGCCATCCTACTCTTACGCTCCAACCTCTTCAGCCTCGGCTACCCCATCTGCCTCCCCGTCTGGTTCTCCTGGCTCCTCCGAGCCTTCGAGCCAGTACACCCAGTTCACAGGCACCGGTGCAACATCCGAGGGCTGGCCAGAGCAGTCGAAGTGGGTCGCATTCGACACCCTCTTCGAGATGAACCGCGCCATCATGCAAGGCTCCTGCGTCCAATTCCACGTCGCCAACGACACCGACTCGGAGATCAACGACATCAAGTCCGCCATCTCCAGCGTCTCCAAGTCATCCGGCGTCGACTCCGCTTCATCCTCGCCATCACCCTGCAAGAGTCCAACGGCTGTCTTCGCGCCCCAAAGACCACGTCTGTCGATGGCATCGTCAACCCCGGCCTCCTCCAGACCTTCCAAGGCTCCGCTATGTGCAACTCCGGCTCAGCAACCGCACCAGCAGATGTCAAGACCCCATGTCCCGCCTCCACTATCAAATCCATGATCGAGCAGGGCACGATGGGCACCACTCCAGGCGGCATGTCTCTGACCTACGCTCTCAAGCAATCCGGCGCTACAGATGTCTCCAAGTACTACAAGGCCGCCCGCATCTACAACAGCGGCTTGATCGCCTCTTCGGGTCTACTTCAAGATGGCGTCGCCACGCACTGCTACGCTTCGGATATCGCCAACCGGCTTTTGGGATGGAGTTTGGGTCCGAGCAAGTGCACGCTCAACAGCTTTTGATTTGACCACACTCTTGGGATCTTACGTTTGAATTGGGAGGGATTTTGATGCGTTCCGATATGAGGATGATGACAACACACCCCTGCACTGTACAATAGAACCATTGCAAACTCGGGATTTGGGATTCGATGTGGGCGGGCATCAAATGGGGAACTGTAAAATAGATAATCAGCAAAACACATTGGGACAAAAAAACTTCCCTCTTTTTCATCATTCTCTCTGTTCACGATCCTCGTAATCGCTTTGATCCTAGGCCTCCCAGGGCTGATTTTCTCTAGTGGACACCTCGCGTCGCGAACGTGCGGCTGACGACACCAATGAAGGATGCGAAGTCAAGGATGTCGAATCCTTCCCCTCGTCTCGATATGCGTGGAATTCATCCTCAAAGCCTTTACCCTGTAGATGTATACTGTACTTCACAAGCTACAAGAAAAGGAAGTTCGTCTCGCGCGGACAGCGGCTGACGACAAGGTGAAGTCTGAACACCCCCGTCTCCACGGCAACGCTCCGCTCGAAAATTCGCGCTTTGATCCTCGCACCATCTCACAGTCCTCTCGCATACGGCCGGACGAGGGCTCAAGATAATCATTTCTAAGCAGCCAAGAAACGAAGTCCACGGCCCTGGATGGAACAGGAAGACGAGGTGAAGTCGGCTTCGGGTCGGACCACACAGCTCGCCAATGCACGCCTTCCCACATTCTCGCTCCTTCCTCCTCGTCTATTCGTCTAGATCCTACCGCCAAGGGGCAGCTTCCTCTGCGTACATCAGCACGGATTTGGATGCGGTAGTACTAACTTGACTAGGATATATATAAGAGTCTGACTTTCTTCGTTTCTTACTTCACCTCTTCTCCTTCTACCCCACTTCCACTCTCTCACTCACTACAAATTGACACGCTCCCCCTGACTCGATATCATGTCCGGCTTCGAGGATTATACGTTTAGCTACGCTGGCGGGGAGAAGAAGACGTTTTACCTCGCGGCTGGGCCGAAGGAGGGACCGCTTCTCATCTTCGTTCATGGTGAGATGGATACGAAAGCCAAATCATCACTCTCAGCTTACATTAAACAGGATGGCCCGCCATCGGTCTGACATGGAAGCCTCAAATCCAGGCCTTTTCAGCTCTTGGCTTCCGTGTCATCGCGCCAGATATGCCCGGTGAGTGGCGTCGTGCGAGTGTGAAACGCCTTTCCTGATATGTGGTATCACAGGCTACGGCGGTTCGTCTGCTCGCAAGAAGACTGAAGATTACTCCTTGGAATCTATCAACAATGGTATGGTAGCTCTTCTCGAGCATCTTGGCAGAGAGGATGCCGTTTGGGTTGGGCATGATTGGGGATGTGGTGCCGTGTGGGTGAGTCGATTCAACCCTCAGAACAGACCATATTTCATAGTACTGACCTTCTACAGAGCTTCGCGGAACACTACCCCGAGAAATGCGTCGGCGTTTGCGGCATGGCGGTCCCAGCCCGTGTGATTGAACTCGGTCTCGAGGAAGAAGTCAAATTTGTCAACCGCGAGATGTACCCTGTCGACAAGTTCCCCTACGGCCAATGGGACTACCAGCGCTTCTACCAGCTGGACTTTGAAAAGGCCACCGAATTCTTCGACAAAGACCCTGCAGCGTTCATTCGAGCGGGCTACTCCAAAGGCAAGCCCGACGCCCTCGGCAAGCCGTCCTTCACTTCGCAGGTCGTCTCAGCGGGAGGCTGGTTTGGTGGGATTGAGAAGCCCGATCCGGCGTGGAAGCAGATCCCCAGCGAGAATGTGGTCATCGATGAGGATGTTTTCGAGGCGTTGGTGAAGGCGATGGAGAAGACGAGTTTCTGGGGCGCGGATGCTTGGTATGCTAACCATGACACGAACCGGAAGTACTTCTTCGACAAGGCGAAGAATGATGGGTATTTGCACATGCCGACGCTGTTCATCGAGGCGAAGTTTGACACGGTTTGCGATACTGTGAACTCGAGGCTGGTAAGATACATCCTTTCCATTCTGAACTCGACATTTGCTGATTGTATGTCCTTCAGACCGAGCCACAACGGAAGTACTGCACCAACTTGACCGAGACTAGCATTGGTGAGTGAATGAGGAGATGAAGGCTGCTGCCTTGGCTGACTGTTTCTAGATGCCGGACATTGGGTGCCACAGGAGAAGCCTGTCGAAGTTAATGCCGTGCTTGCCAGGTGGCTTGTCGAAGCTTGTCCCAAGCACTGGCCGGGATACTGGGGCAACAAGGGGTTTATCAAGTCCAAGGTTTGAAGAAGACATCTTGATCTGATCTGGTCGAGTCTTGTGAGAGAAGGAGTATCAGGGGGAAAACGACTGAATGTGTCTGGTCAATTGAACCACTCAATCGAACCACTGCTCATTGTCTCGTTATCGTCTAAACAAAGAAAAGAAAAAGACCTCCCCATGCCGTTCCTCGTTCATCTCGTTAATCGGAGCGCTCACAAGCCGACACCTCGTCGCGCCACACCCAGCACAGCCCCACGATGACGACTCGCCTCCTCTCTTCACAGCTCCCCTCCAGAACACGTGGGGGTCGAGGTGTCCTTCAAAAGGCATGTCGTCAGTCAGCCAACCAACAACACAACCGACTCTGACACCGATGGATCGCATCACCTACCTATAACAGCCACCTTCCCTCCCAATCTCCATCACCGCACCCACACACCTCCCACACCAAAATGGCGGACTACGCCCCACCAACCGGGCCCCCGCCGCCCAAAGTCCCAGAGGTGAGTGAGATCTCACCCCCGTCATTCACTCCCCCCACTAACGCATGAACTACAGGGCTACAAAGCCATCTGGAACGACCAATACAAAGAATGGTTCTACGTCAACATCTACACCAAAAAATCCCAATGGGACAAACCCACCGAGCCCGTCTACCCACCGCACGCCTCGGACGAAGCGCCTCCGCCGGGCCCGCCGCCCACCTACGACCACAGCGCGAGCAGGCCGGTGGGGCCGGAGAAAGGAGGAGGGTTGGGGAGCAATAACCCGTATAACGCCGGCGGCGGCGCGGAGAGCGATGAGGCGTATGCGCGACGGTTGCAGCAGGAGGAGGATGAGCGGGCCAAACACGCCGCTGGGGGGAGTGCGAGTCGAGGGGCGTCGGATAGCTACTACGGCGGTGCACAGAGTAGTCCGTACGGCCAGGCGCCCTCGTACCCGTCGCAGCAGCAGACCTCGCCACCGCCACAGCAGGAGAAGAGTCGAGGTTTCTTCAGCAAGTTATCTGGGAAACTCGGCAGTGGCGGATCATCGTCTTCTCCCCGTCCAGGGCAGGGCTACGGCCAGGGGTATGGAGGCTATCCACCGCAGCAACAGGGCGGATATGGCGGGTACCCTCCCCAACAGCAAGGTTATGGCGGCTATCCCCCTCAGCAGGGTTATGGTGGATACCCACCGCCGCAACAAGGCTACGGCGGGTACGCGCCCCAGCAACAGCAGCAGCGTCGCCATGGCGGTGGTCTAGGAGCTGGAGGTGGAGCGTTGCTCGGCGCGGGAGCTGGTCTGGTCGGAGGCGCATTGCTCATGGATGCGTTCGATGATCATGAGCAGGATGCTTATCAGGAGGGTTATCAGGATGGTGGAGGCGGGGATGATTATGGTGGGGATGATTTTGGTGGTGGGGATTTTTAAATCACCTATTACCATGAGATCAGATGGGGAGGGAGAAGGGGAGAGGTGTACATACGATCGTGGTTGGAGGTGAGGTGATGGTGGAGGCTTGAAGATGAGTTTCCTTGGGTTTTCTTCATGATGACTTGATGCGTGCAATGATTCAAATGAGTTATTTCCCTCTCAACATCACATCCATCTCAACATCTTTCCTCAATCACCCGCTCACAGACAAAGTCAAGCGCCGCAGACTCAGCACCATCAATACGAGCATCCTTGACCTCGACTCATCCGAGGAGAGCAAAAATCGCGATTCGCGACTCTGAAGACTGTTCGATTGTATCATCAACCACGAATGACGGTATCCCCAGATCTGCCCTGGGAGCAACAGCAAGGATTACTTGTTACGAAAAGCCTGTAGTGAAACTCTGTTCTTCTGCAGGACAGCTCTGACTTACCAGTAACTGCACCAAAACATGAACGTCACAACTTTGAACAAAGTAATCCAAACAGCAATCCTGGAAACCTCACATGCTTTGCCATAATCTTCACGCTTTTCTCTGTTTCTATATCCATTACCAGCATAGCATAAATCATACCCTCCTCGTTCTCCCCCATCATCATTCATCATCCACCCACCCATCTACGACTCCTGCCCCTGCACCTTAACAGGCTCGACATTCCAAATCATCTCCGCATACTCATCAATACACCGATCGCTCGAAAAGAAGCCCATCCTCGCCACGCTCGTGATCGTCTTGGTCAGCCACTCCTCCTGGTTCTTGTACGCCTCGTCGATGAGTTTCTGCGTGTCCAGGTAGCTCTTGAAGTCGTCCGAGACGAGGTAGTAGTCGCCGTGGTCGACGATCGAGTTGACGAGCGCGGAGAACTGGCCGGCGTCGCCGAAGGCGCCTTCGCGGATCGTCTTGAAGACGCGGTCGAGCGAGGGGTCCAGTTGGAATTCGCCGTAGAAGTGGTGGTGGCGGAGGTCTTCGACGTCTTCGGAGAGGTTGCCGAAGAGGAATATGTTGTCTTCGCCGACTTCGCGGGTGATCTAGAGATTGAAAGTTAGTAGGATGGACCATGCTCAGCGATATTTCCAACCCCACCTCAATGTTGGCACCGTCACAAGTACCAATGATCAAACCACCGTTCAGTACAAACTTCATGTTCGAAGTTCCAGACGCCTCCGTACCAGCCGTCGAGATGTGCTCACTGATATCACTAGCCGGGGTAATCATCTCCGCCTTGCTGACATTGTAGTCCTCCAAGAACACAACCTTCAAAGCATCGCCAATGTCCTTGTCAGAGTTGACGACCTTGCTGACCTGGTTGATCAAGTGGATGACAGTCTTGGCCATCCAGTAGCCCGGAGCGGCCTTGCCACCGAAGATGCTCACGCGTGGTTGCACCTTCTTGCGCTCTTCAGGAGACATGTCCTTGAGTTCGAGGTATCGGTGGATGACGCCGAAGATGTTGAGTTGTTGACGCTTGTACTCGTGCATACGCTTGACTTGGATGTCGAACAGGCTGGATGGGTTGACAGCGATACCGTTGACTTCCTTGATGTACTTGGCCAGACGGACTTTGTTGGCGTACTTGATCTCTTGGAACTCTTTGCGGAACTCCTTATCATCAACATAGGACTCGAGCTTGTGGAGTTGAGTCAAATCACGCAGAAAGTCGTAGCCACCAAGCTTGCTGGCGATGAGTTCTGAGAGTCTGGGATTGGCCTGGTGCAGCCATCTGCGAGGGGTGATGCCGTTGGTGACGTTGGTGAACTTGTCTGGACCGTAGATCTTGACAAAGTCCTTGAAAATCGTCGTCTTGATCAGGTCTGAGTGCAGCTCAGCGACACCGTTGACCTTGTGGCTGCCAATAACAGCCAAGTAGGCCATGCGGACCATCTTGGGCTGCGACTCCTCGATGATGGAAACGCGGGAAAGCATATCGCGGTCCTTGGGGAAGTTCCTCTCAACATACTGCAGGAAGTTGAGGTTGATGTCGTAGATGATTTGAAGGTGGCGTGGGAGGAGATGCTGGATGAGTGGGACGGACCACTTCTCGAGAGCCTCTGGAAGAACAGTGTGGTTGGTGTAGCCGAAGGTCTTCTGGACGATGCTCCACGCCTCATCCCACTCCAGACCTTCTTGGTCGATGAGAATGCGCTGCAATTCTGGAATGGCAAGAGTTGGGTGGGTGTCGTTCAGTTGGATGGCGACCTGGTTGGGGAACTCCTTCCACGCCTTCCTGGACTTCTTGAACCGACGAACGATATCGAAAAGCGAAGCAGCACACCAGAAGTACTGCTGCTTCAAGCGAAGCTCCTTTCCTCGCTCAAGGCTGTCGTTAGGATAGAGCACAGCCGAGATGGTCTCCGCACGCTGCTGGTCTGCCACCGAAGCTTCGTACTCGCCCGAGTTGAACTTGGTAAAGTCAAACTCGCCGTGGGAAGCCTTACTCGACCACAGACGCAGGTTGTTGGTGGTCTTGGTGCCGTATCCGGGAATGGGCGCGTCGTATGCCACAGCCGTGACAATTTCGCCATTCTCCCAAACGCTAATCTGCTTGCCGCTGCCATCCGTGTACTTCCTCACGTTTCCGTAGAACTGCACGTCGACCGTGACGTCGTGTCGGGGGAACTCCCATGGGTTGAAGTCGAGCCAGTAGTCTGGAATCTCGACTTGGTATCCATCAATAATCTCTTGCTTGAAGATACCGTATCGGTAGCGCAGGGCGTAACCCCAGGCTGGGTAATTGAGGGTTGCGAGGGAGTCGAGGAAGCAGGCTGCGAGACGTCCGAGACCGCCGTTTCCGAGAGCTGCATCGCGTTCTTGCGAGATGACATCTTCCATGCGGAAGCCGAGATCCTCGAGGCCCTCTGGCAAACGTTAGTACTAGTAAGTCAGAGTCGGAGAATCCTGTCTACCAGAAGCGATATTCTTCATGCCAGTGTTGAGCATAGCATTGTCCAAAGCTCTGCCCATCAAGAACTCCAGAGAGAGGTCTGTAAATGTCAATCAGCTTTTGCACCCAACTGTTCAAAGTCGTGCTTGCTCACAGTATACACGCTTGGGGTCAGCGGCCGTCTGTTGCTGCTGTGTCCGATTCCACTCAATGATCAGACGATCACGGAAAGCCAGTGCTGTTCCCGCATACGCCGCTCTGTAGACACCTCGATCAGCTCTTGTATCAATCTTTCTGACGGGTTGTTACCCACGCCTCATCGCAGTTGAAGAGCGATCTTGCCAAGGTCGTCTCAATGTGCTTGACGACCTCGGAGTCGAACTCATCCTTCGTCTTGAACTCTTGTGCAGACTACCGCACCCTCAATCAGCACTGCCGATCACCCAACTCGCTATTTTCAACTCACGTATTTCCTCCATCTGTATCACCTACACGGTCAGCCATTGAAGCAACCCCATTGACCTATACATCTCGACTTACGCCGCCCTCTGCCCCTCGGGAATACTAGCCTCAATGCTCTTGATCTCCTGTGGAGCAAAGCCCGTCACAGTTCTCTTGTGCTTGGGTCTTGAGATGCCCTCTGGCCCAATGGGCCCTTGGAAGTCGGTGATGGGAGCTGAGGTGGAGGGCTTGCGTTCGCGGGCGGGCTTGTCGGCGGTGGTGGATGCCATGGTGAAGGTGTTTCACTTGGGCAAGTGACTGTGAGGAGAGGAAGAGATTGGAAGCTCTCAATGCCTCGTGCTGTGGTACCAAGGCAAAACCAGGCAAGGTTCGTGGGCTGCAGTTCAACGGGCCTCATCGAGTTGGCGCTGGCGGCTCTGCCGGTCCCGTAGCTGCTGCTGCGTGCTGGCCTCACGTACGCGGGGTAGCTCTTTCTCCATCTCCACCGCTCCACAGCAGGGATCCTTGGGAGAGAGGCGGTGGAGGAGGCAGGAGCAGTTCATCATCAACCGATCCGCCTATCTTTAGATCTGCCATTCGATTCTAGGCGCATCTGGCCGCGGAAGCCTCATCTGTTTGAACGAAATTCATTAGCTGCCCATCAATACTCCCATGTCACGAATGCATCCTCGCCTGTGTAGCCGACGACAACACTGCATACACGCTGCAGTATCTCGCTGCCACCTCATCATCGAATCGTCACGACAGTGTGAGAAGCGTCTGACATATGAGCTGACCGGCAGCCTTGGCTCTCCGTTCTTTCATGTTCACTACCGCCCTGGTTTGCGACAGTTGATGTCGCTCACTGCGAGCGTCGTAGGTGAGCAGTAATAGGTAGGCCACGCTAATAAGGGTATGTTACACACGACAGAGAATCGCAATCCAGACAATCATTCAACCCACCCACCCCGTCTTCCTTTTGGATGTACGCCATCTGCCGCCTTGAAGGGAATAATATGCTCTGTGGTCCTATGCTCGTTCTCTTCATCTCTTCTTCAGCGCACTCTGCAGATTCTCCCCGAGGAACTCGACCACCTTCGAGCTCACAGCTCCTTGGTTGTACAGATGCTGCGCGAGGCCCTTGACCACCGCCATCTGCTCTTCTGGCGACAACCCTGTGATCGCCGTTTCGATGACTCCTCCAACCGATGCCTTGTGCACCGCGATAAAGCTCTGGTAGTACATGAAGGCGAAGAAGCCCATGATGAACTGACAATCCATGCGGTCTGTCATGCCGCCATGGCCAGGAATGGAATCGCCAAAGTCCTTGATGTTGAATGTTCGCTTGAGGCCGGACGCAAAGAAGCCACCGAATGGTGCAATCAGCGAGGCGAAGGTAGCCATGGCCAGGATGTGGAATTGCATCGGTGCAACGGTGATGTGGGTGGGAAGGAAAGTCCAGGTGTGGGGGATGAAGGGAATGTGGAAAGTCTGGGCGATGAAGACCGGATTGACATCGCATTCGAGGCCAGTGAAGATGTTGGCGCCCAGGTCGTTAACAGGACAGATGAAGTACCTCGATCGCATAAGTAGGTTGGTGAAGAAGAAGCCGATGATGATGGTGCAGATCCATGCGCCGACGAAGCCTGTCTACAATTAGCATGCAACCACCACCCACAAGTAAATGCCTCCTACCTTCGACTGTCTTCTTGGGCGAGATCTTGATGAGCTGTGTCCTTCCAAATGTGATACCGCACACGTAGGCAAAGATGTCGTTGATGATGACCAAGCTCACGGGCAGGAAGAACCAGATCATGCCCTCGAAGATGTTGTTCATGATGAAGTGGGCTTGCACCACAATCAAGTACAGGGCCATGTGCGTCCAGGCGAATTGGGTGAACTGGAACTTGTAGTGTCCCTTTTGAAGCGATCCAACGAAGAAGACGAATCCTGGACAATCATTAGCGAGGCTCTGCTTCAAGGTGATGCTCCTTCATACCAATGACGTAAAGCATGAAGCTGATGAACCGATGATGCGTTGCAAATGGCAGCAACACGCGGTCAATCAGAACAATGTGCTTGAAGTAGTAAATCACACTCTCTCCGTATAGAAAGTACATGGTCGAGCCCAGGAAGTACCAATTGAGGGTCTTCGTAAACCGTAATGACCGTGCTCTGCTGGGTACGTTCGAGATGGCTATCACCTCCTTGAACGAGATAATCTGGACGGCCGTCACGATAATGATGATGTAGATGTGTCCCGCGAACATGGATCCAAAGAAGATGCCAATCATCACGAATGTCCATATGGCGCGTGTGATGAAGGTCTGCTTCTTTTTCTCGAATTCCGAAGGCTCTTTCACCTGGGGCTGGACGGTATCAGCACGACATACACCTGGATGTTGCTTTCTTTTGACCCACCTTCTCATCTTCATTCTCCGTCGCCCACCCACTCGCGGTGGTATCTGTCCGCTCGAATGATGGCCGTTCATTCTCCTCTTCCTTTATCGACCTCTCCTTGTGCAGAGTGCCATTGCGAGTCGGGCTCTTAGCTCCATTGCTCCGCGTTGGACTCCTCTCGTCGGTGGGCGAGTCGTAGTTGATATCGGACATGCTGCTCTTGTTGCTCATCCTCCGCTCGCGGTGGTTGAACTTGACGTCCTTCTTGGGTTTCGTCATCGCACGGCGGCTTCAAACCAGCCAGATGTCGTCGCGGAACAGCTTCGGCGCTGCAATGGAGAGTTGGCCAGGGATCTCGGACGACCTGTTTCCTGATTTGTGGGATGCGGCGTTGCTGGCGGAGCTGGGCGGAGAGCTGGCGCTGCGGCACGTGGATGTCTTTTGTACGGCGATTCCAGTGCGACGAGGCTCAGACGGTCAGGGCGGTGCTGGCCAGCATGTCGTGAGGTAGTGATCGGGGCGGAGGCGGGTGGATTGTGATGCCGACGACAGCAGCAAGTTTGGAGCGTTTGGATGTTGTCCCTGCGCAGTGACGCAGCGTCGGCTTGGCGATTTCACGTGTCGCTTCTAGCGCGTCGCGTACAGCCATTCGACCCGATCACGACGACGACGACGACAGTGAGCTGATTCAATCAAAGCAATCAATTCACTTAATTAAGGGAGCGATGGAGACTGCGGCCTGTGTCAACCATGGCCGACGACAACGACAACTTCTTCTCCGATGACGACCTGAACGACATCCCCGCCAACACCCTCGACCAGCTCGAGCACCACGCCTTCACCTCCACCCAGAAGCCCGCCTCGACCCCTACGCCGTCTGTACAGCCGTTTCGGAGACCCGTCCCGAAGAACAAGTACCTGCCATGGCGACCTCCGCAGCCGTCTCGTCTCGTCCAGCAGCAGCAACGACCGAGTGCCCCGCCCCCAAGCGCTCCCGAGCCACCCTCCTTCGACTATGGATACGGCGATGAGGATGTCATTGACCTGGACGAGCCGTCTATGGTCATCCAGTCTGCAGCCAGAGCAACATCAGTGAGGCCGAATCAGCGACCTCAAAGCAAAGGAACCAAAGCTGCACTAGATCCAGAGACTGAGGCTGCATTTGCTGCTGCAGATGCTGAGCTGGGCAGCCAGACATTTGGGAGATGGCCACGACCTGCACCAGCCGTACAGGCTCAAGATGACGGGTCCATCGATGTATCTGCCCTGCAAGCCAGGATTGCAGAGTTGGAAGCAGAGCAGGCCAGGTCGCGACAGTCGGAGCAAGAGGCATTGAACGAGGCTCGGGCAAAGCAGGGCGAGATCTCGATTGTACGCAGCAATCAGGACAAGCTCACGAAGCAATATGAGGCGAGGTTGTCGGTCATGCAGAAGCTGCATGCGGATGAGACGGCCAAGCAGCGGGCGGAGATTGAGGCCAGTAGGAAGGAGCGTGAGAAGATGCAGACGGACAATCGCTTTCTCCAGCACGACTTGGCCCAGGAAGCCGAGCGGGTGAAGAGAGTGACTGGTCCCAAGAAACCTACGCAGAGGGAAACGCCCAAGAAGAGTAAGAGAACAGCGCTGGGCGATGGGTTCGACGAGCATGAGCTGCAGGCAAGTCCTAGCAAGACGAGGGACAAGTCCAGAGATCACACTCCAAAGGTTGGGGCGAAGAGGAAACGGACTGCCAATGACAGTCCAGTCGCTGCGTTGTCGTTCACGCAACCACCTCAACCTGTGCTGCGGCAGGAGAGCACTGAGCAAACCACAGTCTCTTTCGATCAGCCGGTGGCAGAAACCCTCTCAGTATCAAGAAACGACAAGTACGAGTTCATGCAGTTGATTCTGCATCATTCGCCGCCTGATGGGCAGTGTCGAACCATTGAGCTTCTGGCAGGCTTTCACTTCCCATCGAAGCCGAATAGGTCGCTTTCGACCATACTGCTGGACTCGATCACGTATCAAACAGATGTCGTGGATGGTATGATGGCTCTCGTGGTCTCGAGAGCATTGCTCGACATCTGGCATCGTTGTCTCGAGGAGCAGTATATGACTCCGTGCTATTTGATCGTTGACATGCTGCATTTCGTACTACAAGACGAGCTACTCTCGACCAAGGCATCGCTCATCGAGCAGGCCATCCCACTATGCAGTCGTTCTATCGATCTGATCTCAGTTCCACTGGGTCGAGCGTCTAGGAATGCTTCGTTTGCAGCTTCGCTCGATCGGCAGGCGCTCGAAAAGCTAGCTAACGATCTCGACGTAGATGGCATCGTCGACTTGCTGCATCAATTCTGCCAAGCGGCATCGTTGTCGTCCGAACGAAATGAGACATTCTGGCGGACCATCGAGTTTACCTTCGTCATGCTCACTCTCAACAAAGCACAGCCAATGCACCAGATCATCACGGTCTTACAGATGCTCATAACTTCAGCGAGGTCGACCACTTTCAGCGTGATCGTTGAAGACCCTGTCAAGCAAGTTGAGCAGGAGAAGCAAATGGTTGATCGCCTAACGAACCTTCTCTTCGAGAACCCCGACCCACCGAAAGATGAGCCACCATACGGCGAGGAAGAGGTACTTGAGATGCGGGTCGAGGTCCTCAAGGTGTTGCGCGAGATGTGTCAGACTGATCATGGAACGCTGCTACTCATGCAACATCGAAGTGCGATCGGTAGATTGGTCCGCTTCCTGGATGTTCAAGTCAACAAGCTTTACCGCACTCGGCCTTCCATGGGTCTTCAGAAGAAGGATGAAGAAGAGCGCAGTGTCCATGAGTGGGTGTTCAAACCTGTCAACATGACTACGCGACTCCTTTACCACCTGCTTCGTGGCTTTGATGATCCTCCAGCTGCCGTTCAAAAGCTTCATGCTGTGCACGGGGGATATCACAAGTTCTTGGTCAGCCTCACACGGATCGCCTTCAGCGAGCAGCTGGTATTTGAGGCTGGTATCGAGGACGAAGCTGCTGAAGCTGCTCACAACATTCTGGATAACATTCTCGGGCCAGAGGATGGGGAAGCTGTGATGAAGGCGATGGAGACACCGAGAGGAACGAAAGGGTCTACTACGGAGAGGAATACAACGAGCGCTGAGGAGAATGGTGGTCAAAGTCAAGGAGAAGGCGATACGACGATGACTGAGCCAGGCTGAACGAATGTCTCTGTCTGAAAGATCATACTCGCTGTCTGGACTACTGGTTCAAGGTAATGCCCGGCAATCACTCACGTGCCCTCGTCATTCCATGCCGATTACGGACCTGCCGCCGCGGGGCATCATGACTTCACCCCACCCTGGACTGCTGATGAGGAGGGCGAGTCTCTATACAACATCTTCGCCTCTGTAGACGACTTCGAAAGACTGTCCGAGCTTGGCATCTTGACACTTCCAACATTAACCATCAACCACCGTCGATCGGCCATGGCAGACCTTCCGAAGTCCATTGGTTGGATTGGCCTCGGGCTAATGGGCAATCCAATGATCAGGAATCTGTTGAAGAAGGTGTCTGAAGACACTCAATTCTACATCCACGATGTGGTACGGGAGAGCGTCGAAAGACTTGTAGAGGAAGGGAATGGCAGAGTGCATGCTTGTGAAAGCAGCGTGGAGGTTGCAGATAAGTCCGTACGCACAATACTTACTATCACTGCCATCAAAGACACTCACATCGCATTGTTCACGATTGCTATGAGATATCAATTGCTAACACTTTCACCAAGGATCTAATCATCAGCATGCTCCCCGAAGGCCGCCATGTTAAGTCCGTCTACCTCGACGAAAAATCCGGCGTCCTCGCTTCCACATCTCTCCAGAACAAAACCCTCATCGACTGCTCCACAATCGACACAGCCTCCAGCCTCGCCGTTCGCGATGCCTGCCAATCCCACTCCAACTCCTTAACCCTCAACTTCTACGACGCCCCCGTCAGCGGCGGCGTCGTCGGCGCCGAAAAAGGCACCCTAACATTCATGCTCGGCTGCTCCGCCACCGACCCCAACATCACCTTCCTCACCACCCTCCTCTCCCTCATGGGCGGCAACATCTTCCCCTGCGGCGGCGCCTCGCTCGGTCTCACGGCCAAACTCTGCAACAACTACTGCTCGGGCCTCATCGCCATCGCCGTCTCGGAGAGCCTGAACATCGGCATCAAAAGCGGCATGGACCCCCGCATCCTCGCCAACGTCTTTCACACCAGCACCGCCCAGTCCGCCATCTGCGATGACTGGTGTCCCGTGCCTGGCCTCACGCCCTCCGCGCCGGCGAGTAACCACTACGCTGGGGGGTTCCGCGTGGAGCTCATGAAGAAGGATTTCGCTTTGGCTGTCGATACTGCGGAGCGGGTTGGGGCGCAGTTGGCATTGGGGAGGGAGGGGTTGGGGGTTTATGAGGGGGCGAGTGCGGATGAGAGGTGTAAAGGGTTGGATTCGAGGGTTGTGTATAAGTTCTTGGGTGGGGAGGAGGAGTGGATGAGTAAGGGAGGTTTTGGGGAGGGGGTGGAGATGAAGAAAGATGAGACGAAGAGGTATATTCAGCTGGGGAAGGAGGCGGAGAAGGAAGGAAAGAAGGGAAGTTGAAGTAGTGGGGTTGGGAGAGCGTCAAGTAAGTTCACTGCTCTTGTTCACATGTGGGTGAAGTGAATGCTGACTTGCTTGCCAAGATACACATACATTACAGCTCAGCTCAATATTTCTCCATTCTTAGCCTTTCGAATTGGAGGCATTGACACATTTTTACTATATGGAGTTTCCAAGCTTGATCTTCCCATAGAACTACACCTCATCGCCGAATTCTTGACTGGCACTGAAGGCTTGAACCCCAACCTCTGCACCTCACCCTCGACCGACGGCCATGTTCCTTGTGACAATCATTCAACTACTCTATCATAGCCGGAATCAACCCCACCGAAGCGATTGATGCCACCGAAGCGATTGATGTCCACCAGCTTTGTGGTAGTGGAAACCTCTCTTCTTCGGTAAGTGAGCCACCCGTTCATTTATGTAGAAGACCTTGTCTCGCTGACTACTGGCCGTGCGACTCGGTGTTGTCCCACTTCACCAATGAAAGCTCTCCACCCTTTGAGCCCGCTGTCGTTGCACCCTTCGTAGCATTTGGAATACGTATCGATGGGCTCGATGGGCTCACTGCTGCGCCCCTACCAACGTGACACGGGCAGCAGGCAACGACGTGACAAGTAGCACGGTTACTTCGCCACAGCGAGTCTCTCTCAAATTGGCAGGCAAGTCCTCACCTGAATTCTTCCGTTGCCTCAACTCGCCTTCCTTAATCGCCGGAAACGACCCACGATGGAACCTCTTAGTGCCGGAGCCAGCGTTCTTACGTTCGTAGCAATTGCCTTAGATGGAGCCTCGAAGCTGTCCCAAGCGGTGGCCGCTTATCGCGGTGGACCACAAGAGGTTCAATACTTGGGCGACTCCATCAACGAGCTCCAAGCCATTCTGCGCCAACTGTCGGAGATTTTGCAGGATGCAGCTTTGCTTCTCCCCCCTGAGTTCGCCACCGCGTTAGAGAATTCACTCAGATCCTGCCAGAAGAGGCTTGTCGGGTTCACGGCCGAGCTCAAAAAATGTGAAGCCTCGTCGCAGGACAGAGTTTGGCCACGGGTTGCCAGTCGCTTGCGTCCAGTCCTGCATCAGAAAGACCTTGAGAAGATGCGGTTGGCTATACTTAAACACCTGGCCGCCCTCTCGCTCGATGTCGGCCTGATTAACGACTTCAGAACAGCTGCTATCGGCGAGGCGGTGCAGACAGTCGACCGGCGGCTAGAACGCTCAATGTCGCTACAACAGCAACAAGCTGACGGGATGGCAGACTTGCAGGCCAGCTGGAGTATTATCGCACTGTCGAATTGTCAGGCCCTTCAGGGTATCGAGAACAATCTGGCTGGCCTTCCGACTTGGTTCACACAACAACTACAAGCGCTCAAACGGCACTTCGATCTGAGATTCGACACTATACCGCTATCAGTCAGCCCAATACCGATGATTAGCAAGACTCCATTGCATAGCTCCCAATTTGTGCCACCATGTGTGAGCTGTTCTGGATCCGAGGGGCACGTGGACGCTGCATTTGACACACTGCTTGACCACCGGCGTACACAAATGAGAGCATCGGCGTTCCGTATTGCCCTGTCGGCGCTGGAATATGACTTTGATACAAAACCGCTCAAATCATCATCAATGGCCTTCCAGTGCTTCGGCCACCCCAAGCTTTTGCAGATGATAGAGGACCAGCAATCCGAGAATACAGCGAACAGTCAGATGAGTACGCTACCGTCGAGACTCGGGTCTCGAAGGCAGCGGTACTCAAGGGCCATGCCAGGCAAAGCCTCGGGGTCTGAAGATGCAGACACACCATGGATGCCAACGGCGGCGTCAAGAAGCCGGACTTCTTATTTCACCTCTCAGACGACATATCAAAACGATGGCAATTGCGGATGCGACCAGTGCTCACGCCGGACGCTGCCCACGAACATCGCAATGATGACACACATCCCACCTCGCATTCTGGAATTCAGGGAGAGTTCGATCTGTAAATCAGGATTTCTCGTCTCTCATGAGCCGTCCAGGCAGTGGTTCGGGCAATACGAGTTAAACGCTAGACTGCGTGTAAGGCGTTTTTGTTAAGATACTACAAATACAGACGAGAACACCATGGTCTCCGCAGAACACTTCGGGAGTCATCTATCTTCTCATCGTTGGCTGCTGGTGCGGTGCGAATGCTTCAGATGGAAGTTTGCCTTGGTACTGGGGTATTTCTCACTCTCAAAGACCACACAGCTTGACTTTTGGATCAATGCAGCATCATACCATCCGCTTGTGACGAGACCTGACTCAAGGTCCGATTTAGCAAACTGAATACCTAAAAGTGCTCTCCCTTCGTCGGATCGACTTGCTTTCGAGACCCATCTTTCCGGAGACCTTGATGGGCCAGCCTTGCATTTGAAACAAAATCGATATGTGCTGTGAACTTCTCAGCACGAGCGAGCGCCTTTCACTGCCGCTGACACCAGCCAAACTGCCAAGGCTGCGGCAATGGACTTCTCGCCGAAAGGAAGAGCTTGCCCTCCAACAGCTGTGCGTCCAGCATACCACGTGCCGATGATCGTCACCGCATGAGATGGGCTTTCTCAGATGCGAGGGTGGGGTGCTACGCTACCTAACCAAGAATACGATGATGGAAATGGACAAAAGTGTCACTACCACCCCCAATGCTAAGCGCATCTCTGTCCGACACACATCTGCGGCCCCCAATGCTTTCCAAGTCTCTGCTTCAGTTGGCCGTCTGGGTCCTTACCATTGGGCTGACAGCCGCCCAGAATGCTGGCAATGGGACAAAGACGAAGGTCCTACAAGGACGTGAGCATCTAGTTCAGAAATTGGAATTCGTATGTCGTTGACACGGACTGCAGACATCAATCCGGACCAAGTCATGACTTTCGTCTACGCTCCGTTTGAGGTCGAGCCCGGAGTCACTTCAATCTACGTCCTGCAAGAATACTCATTGAAGGGCAACAACTCATTAGACCTTGGCATCTTCGATGAACGTGGCTACAAGGTCATGGGGTCCGACAACGGTACTGATGGATTCCGTGGGTGGTCCGGCGGGTTCAGAAACAACTTCACAATCAGCCCGGCTGGCGGTGTGACTACGCCTTCATATATTGGTGGGCCGATCAGTCCTGGTACCTGGAACGTTGTACTTGGACCATACGTCGTACTCCCTCAAGGCATCGACTGGAAGCTGACGTTGACCTTTGGGTACAACGCTGTTGAGGACTATTACCAATATGCCTACGCCGACATCTTCCGTCAGCTCGATTCTGGCCAGATGGGTCGTAGATATGAAGACGATGAGTATTTTTGGCTACGAGGAGACTTCCACATGCATACCATCTACAGCGATGGTCGTTACACGCCCGAGCAGCAGATCGGAAACGCTTTGAATCGCACCCTGGACTTCATCTTCTTTTCGGAACACAACACGTACTCTGGAAATGCTGCCATGGGCGCTTTCCAGGACATTGCTGGGAATTTGTTGATTGGAAGAGCGATTGAGGTTACAACTCGGCATGGGCATTGGCAAGCACTCGGCACCGAGCGAGAACAGATCATCGAATGGCGTTACGATCCAGGCAGTCAACCAGGTTATCCAGATGCTGCATACCAGGTACATCGAAGTGGTGGCTTAGTATCTGTCAACCATCCCTATGCCAGTTGCTCACGGTGCGACTGGGGATTCGACGATTGGGACCACAACGACGCCATCGAGGTTTGGAACGGTGCTACAGAGGCGAATCTCAACCAGAAGGCAATAGACAAGTGGCACTCTTTGCTGGTGTCCGGGCAGAGGGTAACCGCCATTGGAGGTAGCGATTCCCATCATCCACCAAGTCTCAACGGCCTTCCCACGACAGTCGTCAAATCGAGGGCGCTCAGCCAAAGCGAGATCTTGAGTGCCGTGAAGAAAGGCCATACATACATCGTCGAAGGACCTGGAATGGAAATTGGCTTCACAGTCAGCACCAACCGAGGCCACACGTATGACATGGGCGACAAAATCTCGCAGAGCGACGCTCGCGGTACCTTCGTCCACTTCGCCTCGCAACGCTTCGATGGCAGCCGTGCTTGCTTCATGACGGACCGAGGATACTTTCGCAATGAGACGATTCGGAGCCGAAAGGATATTCGGTTTCCCTTGCCCAGGGGAGGCATGAAGTTCGTGCGGGTGGAAGTTAGAAACTCAACTGATGGGCTCCTGGGCTTATCAAACCCGGTTTATGTTGCGTCTTGATCTTCAGCTTGTCCAATTTGGGATGCAAGGGCTTCTTTGTTTGCCTTGGCGTCCGTTGGTCATCTGCTGATTAAACAAGGTTCAAGCAGAGAGGTCTGGCCTGGCTGAGGCTGAAATGTCGATTATACCACCATTTACCTGCCTGATTTACTCAAATCCGCCGTATCTGCCTTGAACTAGAACAATCACTGTGATTCTTACTCGGTAGATGCAGTTCTTGATCTGTGTTTGGTCCTTCGTGCCTTTCCTCTAGTGCAAGGCAAGCTACCACGAGGTTGCTCGAGGCTTTGGCAAGCTCACGAAAGTTTGGCCTTAATGGTAGCGGCTAGCCGCCCCTGTGTTAGGTCCAGGCACCGTTCGCATGACCTCTGTCAAAGCTCCTTCCATGACGCCCGCCCAGAGGGGCCTCTACTTGTACAAAGGAAACGGTGTCTAGTCGCATTTTCTCTTCCACCGCCGTCAAAGCCCCCTGTTCCGTCTCACGGGCAGCCAAATGTCTACAACGCTATACTTGGCAGGCAAGCGAGAGTGACGGAGCAATGGAAAACAACGCCACGTCTGGGGGACCACTGAACGAGCACCTCTCCAGACAGTAACACGACAATGCCAGTGTGCAAGAGCACACGACGAGCATCTCGGTAGAAGCCCATGAACGCAAGGATGATGCATCCTGAGAAATCAGTCGGCGAACGTGGGTTTGTGGTGTATAGCCTGCCGTCGGCGCCGTGCTGAAGCGTACGTCTCGTTCCCATGAATACACTTTCTCTAAGGCAAGCCTCGTTGAACACAGGCGAGCCTAGGCCTTCCAACAATGCCAATGCCAAGAGCACGTGTATTTGCTCGGAGTTCCACAACTCAAACTATAGAGTTGTGCTTCGTTATCGACTTCATGTAATTTTTTGGAAACTCGGTCCTCGGCTCGTAAGCTCTCGCACTTTAGGGCAAGGCTGTTCAACAACCTAAAGCGGAAGCCTTGCTAGTGACTGGGCAAAGACAGCGCTTTACGGCGTGAGAATGCATGTCGTAGATCATAATGGTGCTTCATGATGCTCGTACAGACGCATCATAAATCACTGCTGCAGAATCATCGATGCCCGGGTCATTAAGTCTTCCACAAGCAAGAACCCATCCGAACCGGCAATCTCGTTATCACCAATCCTCTTTCTTGAGAATCTCTGACAAGCCCGATGAACGACTCCTTCCATTCGTTGACCTGCTGTAGTTCCATGAGCAGAGGCTATACCAAATCCATATACAGTCGCTATGAAACCAGAACGGCGTCGTCGTCACGATCAGCACCTGTCACAACGACCATGGTTGTTGCAGGAAATCTCTTCACAAAATCGTTCCACGAAATCACTTCAGCTGACACGCTGCGAGAAGGCCGTCCCTCGGTATTGAAGAACGGTTGCACCAAGAGATGCCTCTCGAAGAGCGAGGCTTGATGTTGTGGCTCGTCAGAGTCGATGAGATCGTTCAATGTCCGAGGGAAGTCTATGAGATAGCGACCTTTGAAGAAGGCTGTCCTTGTGAAGGCTCCCTAAAGGTTTTGGTCAGCCAAATTATCAATTTACAGAATACGATATATTACCCTTCCGACTTTCACATCTTGTAAGCCGTGACTTTCTACGATACCCTGGAGCTGGCCTTGATGTGCGAAATAAGTCACTCTGTTTTGCGGAGGCATCACAATCAACATCGAAGGAACTTCCCCTGACGAGAGGCCCTTGAAGCCGCCTTCAATCTCGGATGCTGGTATGCCACCTGATACGGCGTTGAGTACGTGCGAGATGAAGTTCTGGTAGTAGGCTTTGGCAAGCCTTGTACCCATCTCAGCAGCTGGATGTTTCTGTTAGCGATGTCATCTTACTTCAAGTACGGTCTGCTTACAGTTGTCTGCCTCCCATGTTCTCGATCGAAAGGTGTGCTGGATCCATTCCGACAAGACCGTGCCTGTGTTACGCAAGGCTTCCTTTTGGAAATCGTCACTCTTATTCTCATCACCGACATCTGACACGCCTTTGAAAACGCCGAGAGTGCGGACGTTTGCGTGCTTGTAGTGGGCACACAGCTCTAGGAATGCGCTGGCTTCCATGTCAAGCGCGAGTACTTTACGGTTCACCTATAGCCTGGTTGAGATTTTCATGATGATTTATGCACGGATGTACTCACCGTCGAGCGAATTCTTTCGAAAATCTCGGGTGCATTCTCACGCACTGCAGAACTCGACAGGAAAGGGCCATAGTGTACTCGTGCTTCTGAGTTCGGGACCGTCTCGGTTGCTTCGACGAAAGCTTCTAGCCCAGCGACGTGGGTATGGTGCGGTTTGTATTCGGGTAAGAAGCTTGATGTAGTGAACTTGCCCGACTCTATGCTCATGGCTTCATCGGTGACGATTACATCCGTGACACTGTGGGTACACCTTAAGAAGGACGACAGAGCTAGTAGCTTATAAGAAAGACTGACCTGGTGATGGTTCCATCCTCTGGTCTCTTGGAATTCTTCAAGTTTCCATTGCCGGCACAGATTCCGGCATGAATCGCAAAGCGAGGCTTCAAGACTGAAATGAGAGCCCCGGCGCTGATGGCGAATGGCACCAGCCCCTGAGATAGGCTGCTCGTCACGTAGAACTTCAATTTCTGAGATGTCGCCTTTCCTGTTATGATTTTCATTTCTCCGAGCATAAACTCATGCCCGTTGTCGACACCATCTACGCTGTCACCACTGATTGTGGTGCTCGTCCTGAGCATAGAGGATATTATCGTGGCTTCCTTGGGTCTTGCACAGATGATGGCCAGCGCGCAATTGCGAAGACGACGAAGAGGAGGTTCGGCCATAGCTTGGAGCGTTGAATGGGTATGTAGTGCGAGATCCGGTTTTTGCGTGAGAGGTGTCCTTACAACAAGACCAAGAATTCATGGCAGCCATCGATCTTCTTATGCAGCCTTCGGGGCTGAGCTAGATCATGTTTCGGGGCGCGCCCAGGCAGATTGAAGCAGAAGAGAGGCGCTCACCTTAACGCTGCCTTCGCTTGCACGTGCATGCTAACCGGTGAGTGGCGTCAGGGATGCCAGCCTCGTGCAACACACATGCATGAGCCTTGACCAATGGCAATGGTGCCAAGCTCGTGACCTCGAATTTCTCCTCAATCTGGCCTTCTTTCGTCTCTTTAGTTGCCACATTCCGTCACAACTGCCACCACCATAATGCGACCTTCCGACGCCTTTTCACATCTCTTGATCTACAACCTGGCAGGCACTGCCTTCTCCTGGGGTGACTTGGGACATCGCACCACTGCTTATCTTGCCGAGCTTTATCTCACAGACGATGAGCTGCGAGCGGTGCAGCACAATACCGGGTTCGACGATATTTCGGACGCTGCGGTCTGGCCCGACCAAGTCAGCAAGACGCCGGAGTATTCTTACACAGCCTCGTGGCATTATCTCAACGTCCATGACGATCCCCCATCTGCATGTGGCATTGAGCTCCCACGCGATCATCAACCAGGATCGTCTGACATTCTGACAGCCTTTGTGAATCATTCCAAAATCGCAACCAGCAAGCACAGTAGTGCTGAGCAGCTCTCGGAAGCGTTCAGGTTCCTCTTGCATTGGGTGGGCGACTCACATCAGCCACTTCACGCCGAGGGTTTCAAACGAGGAGGCGGTGAAATCCCGGTCTTGTTCGAGGCCGAACCGACCAACTTGCATATCGTCTGGGATGTGCATATCCCGGAGAAACTCAGAGGACAACCAGACCAGAGGCAGGCTGCCAAAGACTGGGCCAAAGAATTGTTCAACAAAGACACTGCTCAGCTGCCATCAGTCGACAAGACATGTTCCGACCCGGGACATGCATTTGAGTGCGTATATGGTTGGATGCAGGAAGCAAACCAGCTGGTGTGCAGTTCTGTTTTCGCGAAAAGCGTGTATGATGTTGACCTCGGTGGATCATATTATGCACAAGCTGCTCCAGTCGTCAATCATCAAATTGCACGGGCTGGCAAGAGACTGGCATTGTGGATCAAAACAGTTCTGAACGAATCCCTGAGCAACGACTCCATCGTACCTAATGAATGGGACCAGGTGGTGTTGGATTCGCCGATAGCTGCCTAAGACTTCGGCACATCAGGCTGGATGCCCAGTGGAGAAAATTTCATTGAGACAACAGCAGATAGTCTTGCGTATGTTGGCTTGATGGTCCCTCAAAATGGTCAAGGCACACTCCTGACAACGACCTGAGCTCCGAGCCGGCCAGCCGGCAATCTTTCCAACCCAAGATACCGACTACAAGCCATACTTTGGCCAGGGCTCAAGATTCTGGCAAATGAAAGAAGTCCGATGCGGTGTCTTAATCCAGCACCATCTTAAATACTAGCATTAGCAGCTGGAACCATGGCCAACAGGGGCGACAGCGTCGATCGTTACTGTGTCCACTTCACTGCAGATGAACAGTCAGCGAACACCGAATTTCGTCATATTTACTTAAACACTTTGATGGCCGGGCAGTAGCAAGTCGAAGAGTCCGCCTCGCTCTCTTCGTTTCCAAGGGAGACTCCTAGTTCATTGCCTTTATACTTCGCCATCGAGATCGCATTTACACCTTCTGATCATGTTGTCAAGTCGAGGAGCGAAATGGGCAACTGTCGACTACGCCCATGGCGTGAAAGACACCTATGATCCGGAGAGTAAGCCCAATGGCACCGTCGACTTTGGAAATGCTGAGAATGTAAGTTGATCTTTTTTGACACATGGTACCCTTTCCGTGGCTTAGCCAGTTCGACGAAACTGATATTAGAACCCGCAGGTTCTGATGCATGATGCTCTCACGGAGTTCATCAATAGCCATGTAGGAATCGCTCTTGCTACCCTCGAGGGGAGTTTTTAACGGATCTTCGACAGAGCCACTTCGACAAACAATGCTGCTCGTACGGAGAGGGTTATACTGGAACCTTTCGTCTGCGTTCTGCAATGGCCAGGCATCTCAACGAATACTTCCATCCAGCCAGCGAGATCGATGCAGAGCAGATCACCTTCGCCGCGGGTGTGACTGATTTGAATGAAGTGTCCGCTCTGTTGACTTGTGACGAGGGAGATGCGATCATGCTCGGGCGGCCCGTGTATGGTGCCTTCTTTCGAGATCTGACTACCAGGACTGGGTTAGTATGAAACATGTTAGAAACGCCTGTACCATAAGCCACTCACCCTGTGAATAGTGTCAAGCTCGAGTATATCTCTGTTGGAGATACTGATCAGTTTGGTCCTGAATGTGTTCCCGCATTCGAGGCTGGGTTTGACGCTGCAAGAGAACGAGGCATCAACATCAAAGCATTGATGATCTGCAATCCTCATAATCCTCTGGGTGGGTTGATAATCTTCTAAATGTCAAATATGCTGACTGTTTGAAGGTCGTTGTTATCCTCGCGACACATTGATAGGGTTGATGCGTCTTTGTGCCGCGAGGAAAGTCCATCTCATCAGCGATGAGATCTACGCCCTTTCAGTATATCCCAGAGACGACCGCGACTGTGAACAATTCACGTCAGTAAGAGCAATTGATCTCGATGGCCTGATAGATCCCGGTCTGGTACATGTATTGTACGGAATGTCCAAGGACTACGGAGCCGGCGGTCTTCGGCTTGGGTGCATCATATCACAGAACAAGCGATTTTCGGATGCTGCTCGTGCCATATGGTTCGTGATCGCCCGATTGATGATCGATTGTGGCTAACTAAGAGATTAAGCCGCTTCTCGTCCCCGTCTCAACTATCCATGGCTCTGTCGGCGAGTCTTCTAGAGGACCGAGAATTTATCGAAAGATTTCTGGATCAAGCGCAGATGGTGTTGAGAGATGGCAGATTGTTTGCTGAGTGGCTTCTTGACGAGAACAAGATTCCATATTCGAGACACGGGTAAGGTTGTCAATAAAGGAAAGGTGAGTGGTAGTGTTGCTGACAAGCAACTTGCAGGAACGCAGGTCTGTTCATCTGGCTTGATCTTGAGCCGTTCCTTCCCGTCAGCGAGACGGATGGGGACGGCTGGGCTGCGGCGAGGTTGCTGAACGAAAGGCTTCGAGAAGAAGGAGTAGTAATGTCGACGGGCGAGGCGTATCGTGCCGAGACTCCAGGTCGATTCCGTCTTGTCTTCAGCATGTCCGAAGCAGTGGTGAGAGAGGGTGTCAAGAGGTAAAAGTGATAATGAAATCGTGAATTTACTATCCTGCTGACAACTTGGGCAGGATCACTCGAGTGACCTCCAATTCGAAGTAGTGTTCGGGGCCGAAAGTTTCGGAACAGATGCCTGTTGAAGTTCTTCAAGGAAGACTGCGGCCCCGTGACAGCCTCGTACCTGTCACATGAACGCCAAGAATATTCCCAACGCCGCTGCCATCGGTCTGTCGTGATCGAACGATGCAGGTTCATCTGCAGCTAGAGTTCGCACGGCAGTATTAAAAGTGATAGCATTGTGTGTCCGGTCAACAAGTCTTTCTGTTCTTGGTGACTGCTGTGGTAGGAGCCAGCCGCTTTGCCCCGACACCTTGGAAAATTGTGCACTCATAGACAGCTAGACCTGCTTTACTTCCTATGTTGGGCAGTACACAGAGCAGCAGCTTCGTTCTCTCGGCGACATCGCTCGCTCTATCTGCAGGCGGCTGCCCCAGACAGGTGCAATACCACCGCAGGATCTCAGCCACAATAGCGGCATGAGCAGGAAATTTTTCACCACTCCAAGACAGAAGGAAGGCCAATCCTCATTGTACCAATGTTTGTCTTGGCCCTGTCCACTGAAGCGGAGATGTGTCTTCAATGAGCAATCTGTACGACGGGGAACGACCCCGGAGTAACTGGCACAGCATTTAGCTCCTGTGTCTGCATGTGGAGAGCCCCGGTGATTGACCCGTCACTCCGAGTCAGGGAAAAGGACCGAGAAAGAAGACATGGCAAGAAGGCTATAGAACGTGGGCTGGCCCAGTATTTCTCTTCTGCCTGCACCTCAAGCCCGTTCTCCTAGACGCCTTCCGTCTGACCATCCAAATTTGAGCAGATACTGACTTCAATGCATCGAAACAGTTCTCATGGCACACCTTGCTCTGGTTCAGAGATGGATGTCTTTGAAGGACGCCACATGGACGGGTCTGGATTGTTGGCTGAGGAGCAATTTGGCAGGCGAGCACGACACTCACCAGTAAGCCGCCGCTCTCGACCGTGTAGCCCGATTGAAGATAGCTGGATTGGCTTGCAAGTCGCCTGAGGTGGCAAGAACAATCAAAGAGGTAGTGAAGAAGCTCTTCATATTGTCCAACGCTGGCGTTCAGCACCGGTGGGCAAAGCCATGGTAATGAGGGCTGCGAGACGGGTTTGACACCGGCTGTCTGGTTGCAATAGCTAACAAAAGCTGAGCAGGGAATCCGTCCATCTCGAACCAAAGCATTGTCCAATGCAGAACAAGGAGTCCTGCCATTGTACCCTCCAGACTTTCACATTAACCAACATGAAGATCCGACCTGGCCTCTGTGATCAATACTGATCATGCCTCAACGTCTCATTTGGCAAGAAATTGCATCGATTGCCACAGGACTCTGGCAATGGAGTTTGTCTCCGCTCGCAGGGGGCGTCTTGAATGCGGTCTCTCTCTCGCCGGATGCTTCCAGACACGCATGATGTGGCACCGGATGCATCCACTGAAGAAGTTCCACACGATCCGAGCAGACTCTCCACGGTCAAGTTCCGAGGAAACTTTCCGAAAGGCTTCGACGCCTAGCACAACAAGCGCCTGATGAACGTAATGCAGTGCGACTAGTGGACACACTTCATGATTTTCCTTGCATTTGACACCGTTGTTGGGAAGTATCGCTCAACATTCGAATTGACCCGTCCTGCTCCGGAGACACCAGTCCAGCAACGACATCGATTCGATCGATTAGTGCAGGTATTGACATCTCAGCAATCTGCCACAGTGCCTACACTGGATGGTATCAACAAAGCAGAATCAAAGCAAGCGGGCTGGACGGGCCGTGAAGCAAAGATTCAGCCAAGCGTTGTCAATACCAAGCTCATGATGAAGCGTGGAGCAAGCGGCCAAAGACAACTGAGAATTGGGGACATTGCTTGCTCTAGCCATGAGCATGCCATGATGCACAGCAAATCTGCCGGCTCATATGATACTTTGAAAGTCTCTCCAGGGCAGTCCACTCATGTTTACGATCGTGGCGGCTGATTGGCAGTCCTCGGCCCTTAAAACCTGATGCTCTGTTGCCCATGGCTCGATGTAGAGTCCGCGCATCATCGACTGGCTTCTTGGTGGAATGCTTTCACACTCTCACAGGGCCTTTGGGCAGCAGATTGTCCCGCTCAGCTCCAGCTAGGCAATTTGGCTTTGACAGCCGACCAAGGGCGGCATGCAAACGTCCAGATCACAATGGCCGGTGGATATACGGATCTTGAGGTATGTCCGCTCGAGGCAATATTCAAAGTCTGTGTTCGAAGAGACGCGAAGCGTCTCCGATCAAGGGTCTGTACAGATTCGTTTGTCATCGACGAGCCACGAGGAACAGGATTCTTGGTCTATTGAGTTGGTTGGGCCGAACGTGCCTTGAACCAACATGCACATATGTTGTAGCACGTGTCTACAAGAGGAGTCGAAGGAGCGGTCTAGGAGTGGCGGGTATCAGGCCGAACGTCGTGCCGAAAGGGTGTTCGGCAGAGAAGCATCGACGGTCGAAGTGAGAGTTGCAGAGCCGGAGTGAAGTAGGGTGTACATGTTGACGGACCCGAAGATATCTCGGGAAGCGATGTATGTAGTTGGTTGGAAGAAGGTTGTACTCTCAGATCCAAGGTTCAGCTGAATCATAAACTCGGGCGGTTGCGGCTGACGTGGGCCATGACGGAAGAAAGGATCGACAGGTACCGCGATACCGGGTACTTCCATCCCGACCTCACATATGCTTCAATTCTGCCTCATCATGTATGCTGTGCGTCGTTCGATGAACCAGCTTTGTCCGTGCCTGCAGCCTTGTCAGTATGCCGTCTTCTTCCACCCCAGCCTCGTCGTCTTCGGGGAAACGACAGAAGCATCGCGAGTCCAAAGCCTACCGCCTGACATGCTCGAATTGCCGGTCTCGAAAAGTCAAGTAAGTCGGGAGGATTGCCATGTGTGAAACCCACAGGATGGAGCTAACAGCCATTCCCTTGGAAAGATGCGATGGTGACCAGCCAGAATGTCGGATCTGTCTGGCATACGGCGAGAGATGTCACTACGACAAGCCTCCGCCAATGTCGCAAGTCTTGGCCATGGCGCACAAGATCGAGGAACTGGAGAGGGCGTTAACTGCGGCGAAGGAGGCTCCCCAGCAGCAGCCCCAGCAAGCCGTCACTTACTCGACTGCTCAGGTGAAGTCCGGTATGAATTTACCTCCCAAAAGCAGTCACCCTGGCTGGCAGCTCCTGACTTGAGTAGGCATGAGTGACCAACAGCACACCAATCCATCCGAACAGCGAGGATCCCCCATTGTCATACGCGATCATCTGCACAGTGGCGATTACGAGAGCCCAATATACTCTTCGACGTCAGCAATACAAGAGCCCACTACGAATGGCGAAGGAAGCTCAACATCACATGTCACCACCCCGGCCACCAGCATCCCCTCAATGGACGAGAACACATTAAATTTCTGGACAGATGCCATGCTACAGTCGGCTTCGTCTCAGCTGTCTCTGCCAATCGACAAGGTAAAGCATCTTTTCAAGACCCATTGGACCTGGGTCCACCCGTGCTTCCTCTTCGTGTCGAGACCGGCCTTTTTACGAGACGCAGCCACTGGAGGCGAGCACTTCTCCTTGCTCCTCCTCTGTGTACTCTGCCTGCATTCCACACGATTTACGGAGCATGGCCTAGCTCGAGATTTGCAAGCACGAGTGCATTTACTGCTTGGACAAGAACTCCACAAAGAGCCTTCAGTTCCTACAATACAAGCTCTCCTGCAACTAAGCGCGAAGTCCATAGGCGCAGGCGAAGTGTCCCAGGCGTGGGCCTACAGTGGCCTTGCATTCCGGATGGCTGTTCACATGGGGATTTTTTCGAGGCCTCCGGTCGTGAGAGACGTGCTCTCCCAGGGTGTCAAAGAACAGCTCGCTTGGTCTTGCTATCTGTGGGACAAAGCCATCAGTCTGTACCTGGGCCGTGCTCCTTCGCTCTCAGACGCGCCCAACTTTGAGCCACCTTGTCTGGATGAGGCGTCGGAGCATGCCATTTGGGTCCCCTATTTTGGCGATGCAGGGTCTGGAGACCACCTAGCCCAAAGAGCCCACATCATGACCTGTTTTTATTACTTGTGCAAGCTAACCACTATCGTCAACGACATCCTCCTGACTGTCTATACCAAAAACAGCCAAGCAGACCCCCTGCCGTTTGTGAAGGATGCGCGACAAAAGTTAGAAGACTGGCGCGCGAGCACTCCCTCCCACTTGCTGGTCTCGCCAGAGGCCGCGCACTGTCCTCCACCTCACCAACTGCACGCCAAGTAAGCAACATCGACCCAAGCACGCGTGGCAAACCTGCTGACCAACATCTAGCCTGATGTACTACGCCGCTACTATCCTCCTTCATCGGCCCTTCCGGTCGAGCAAGACTTGCCGATCGATCTGCCGCGAGGCGGCAGACTCCATAGCCCACCTCTTCCTCCTACTGGAGCAGTCTATGGGGCTGTCCCATGTGACCTACATGATGGCATATTGTGCGTACACTGCGGCCACGGTGGGCATTCTCGAGATGGCCGATGGAGTGGAAGGCTCTCAGCAGCGTGTCAATACCTACCTACGAGCCTTGTACGGTGCCAGGTACAGCTGCCCTGGCATACAACGAAGCATCGACATCATTGTTGATGGGTTCAACAGGAAGGTCAACCCGGGGATCGCATCACATGTCAACGGACCCCAGACTACGTCCTCAGCCGACGCGGGCTATTCGATGGAGCCGAACGTCCTGCCAGCTTTCGTTTCTGAGCAGCAAGAGGCTTTCGCCAATTATGGTTGGCCAGGTGAAGACGGCGGCATGTCGACTGTGCCGTTCGGCGGATTAGACCCTTTTGCCATGGAATGGGCCCAGGTTCCAATCGACACATTTGACGACTTCCTCGCGGCGTCACAACAGGATACATCGACGGTTTACTGAAGTCTGCTCGGCAGAGACAACGACAGCAACAACAAATGATGCAGTGGTACCCCCACAGATTGTGCTATTCAGACGAGCCGCAGCGGTACACGCCCAGCATGACTTTCCTCGGAAAATCTCCTTTCAGTGCAGTGTCTCCTGCAGACCTCAGGCCAATCGCGTTTCACTTGGCAGATTACGGTAAGCTCCTTTTCCTGAAATCACGGAAGAGGTCATGTGTCTGAACCAAGTTACCACACAGCACGGACAACGACCGAGGACTTCTCCCGGAGGCGGCCAGGCCTCCTCAGTGGCTGTCGAACTATCCCCATGGGGTCATCTGGCCAAGATGTACGCTAGTCGGTGATATCCGGGGGCAAGTTCATGGTCTGGGGCCATGTGGCTACCACGAGACTATATCAAGCCTGTATCCAAGCCCAACGGCCTTGAGCTTACCTCCAGATTCCAAGACAGCATTCTCTTTCAACACGCCACGATGTCGATTGCGATGACCACGGACGACAAGATGCCCTCTACCATCATGGATGAGAAGGCAGTTGCACATCGTATCGAGAATGCTGACGATGCCTCGACGCTCGACAATCGCCTCGCCCAAGCCCAACGCATGTCCGAGGAGGAATATCTTGATGCCGAGAAGAGGTTGAAGCGCAAATTGGACATTCGTCTCATGGCTGCCATCCTCGTAATCTATATACTTAACTATCTCGATCGCGTGTGTACTCAGGCTGGGCTATAGGCTGGTGTTGCAGGAGGAGGCTAACAAGCTGGCAGAATAACATCGCGGCTGCCAAGGTCGCGGGCATCGAGAAAAGCCTCCACCTGGCCGACACACAATATTCGTCTGCTGTCTCGCTATTGTTTGCAGGCTATGGTCAGTCAGAAGAAAGATAAGCGTATTCGTTTGTGCCTACGCTAACATGTCTTCGCTAGTCCTCATGCAAGTCCCCTCCAACATCTTCCTCGCCCAGGTCAGACCTTCGATCTACCTACCCACATGCATGGCCATCTGGGGGATTATCTCCACCTGCACAGCTGCGACGCAAAGTGCTGGTGGTCTCTACGCGGCTCGCTTCTTCCTTGGAGTCGTTGAAGCGGCCTTCTACCCGGGATCTCTCTTCCTCCTCAGCTCATGGTACAAACGATCGGAACTCGGGCTACGATGTGCTATTCTGTACTCTGGCTCACAGATTGGATCTGCTTTCTCTGGCCTCATCGCTGCCGGCATCACGGAAGGACTGGACGGGGCTATGGGTCTCGCTGCTTGGAGATGGATCTTCATCGTGAGCAATCCCTACTCGACATCACAGTGTGCAAGCTGACAACGTACCAGATCGAGGGGTCCATCACCGTCTTCCTTTCTTTGTTCGCCTTCTTCATCCTTCCAGACTTCCCGAGCAACACCCGTTGGTTGACCCCGCAAGAGCGAGCCGTGGCAGAATGGCGACTAATCAAGGATGCTGGCCAAGTCGACGAGGATGAAGGTAGCTGGCCCAGCGGATTCAAAGCTGCTTTCGCCGACTGGAGACTTTACGTTTTTGCTCTGATGTTCTTCTGCGTTCTGGTTACGACGTCGACTCAGAACTTCTTCCCGGCTGTGGTCCAGACTCTCGGCTTTGGCAGGATTCAGACCCTCCTTCTGACCGTTCCTCCGTATGCTGTTGGAGCTGCTGTATGCATTACAAACAACTTGAGTGCAGACAGAATGCGCAACTCTTCGTTCCACATCATGTGGCCGCTCGCAGTCGCTATCTGCGGCTTCGTCATCGGCGCTGCGACTCTCAACACCGGAGCACGATACTTTGCTATGATCTTGATGATTGCAGGAGGCCATGGAGCCAACGCTGTTGTCGTTGCATGGACGCAGAAGACAATGCTTCGTCCTCGGATCAAGCGTGCTGCGGCCGTAGCTTTCGTCAACGCTTTTGGAAACTCAGCTCAGGTCGGCCTCGCCCGCCTTTCCCTCTCAAGTACGAAGCTGACCATCATTCTCATAGATCTTCCCATCTTACATGTACACCACCGCCGCCGCTCCACGTTACGTCCTCGCTATGTCCGTCAACAGCGGGTTCGCTCTCGGTGGCATCTTGCTAGCACTGTTCATGCGGCTCGTGCTTCTCCGAGAGAACAAGCGTCTTGAATCTGGTGCAGACGTCTCGAATGTCATGAGAGGACAGGTGGTCAAGGAGATCGAAGGTATCTCTGAAGAGGAGAGGATTGAGAGGAGGACGGCTTTCAGGTATATTGCCTAAGCGGAGGCTGGCATATATACATGAAGAGGATGTTTGATGGGCATGGTCTCACTTGCGATGTTGCAGTAAGCTAAATGACAAAGTACATATTTAACGCAAGACAATAGAATCAAATGATGTTGGCGCCGATTGGCGACTGCTGATCGTGTGATTGCCCACAAATTCCACATGCGTAAGGTCCATGATCTTCTGCAACACATAGACAGAGCAAAAAGTAAGTTTCTGTCGCTAGGGTCCATTTCCATAGGCTTTGCCTTCAGGGCTGCGGCAGTCTGAAGTCCATTTTGCGACGCCAAGGATCACATGCGGCTTTTGCTGACCCCGAAATTTAGCCGCACCTTGACCTCATGTCTACTTCGCCAACCCCAACTCGCAGCTCTGTGTCAACATCTGTAAGGTTCATCTATCTATCATTGCATGACATTGTTGAGAACAATACTTGACGCCCACAATACACTAGAAATTTAATCAGCAATGACGGAGGCCATTTTTGTCATAATAACACATTTTCATTATCGTAAGGAGTGTCGTAATCATGCTGATGCTACAATCTCAAGCGCTGTCGACTTTTCATTTTGTGTATGCCATGCTTGTTTCCATGCTTTCATTACCACATTACTACCGCTCGTTCTCACTCGGCTAGTATCTAGCACGAGGTGACGTAGACACCGATTGGCGATGGGTTCCTAGAGTACTGATTAGCTTGCTAACCTGATAAAGAGAATGTGATTGACTTACCAGTCCTCGAAGAACGACAGGCTCAAGCTGCCAGTTCCACAGACCTCAATGCTCTGGGTACTGCCAGGGCTGCACTGCGAGGTCGAGATGGCGTACGAGTTGCCAGGAACTGGGGAGACGCTTCCGAGCTGCTGCTTCTTGGATGGGGCGTTGTTCCAGGTCGTCTGCTGGTTGGCGGCAGAGCTCAACGAGGAGAAGACGATGCTGCCGGTTCCGCTGATGTCGAAGCTCGAGGTCTCGAGCTGGGACTGCTCGGGGAAGAGGAAGATGGTGCTGCAGGACTTTCCTGAGTACGAGGCAGGGATATCGAAGTTGAAGATGGTGCACTCCGAAGAAGTGATGGTTGCTACAGAAGAGGCTTGAGCGTTAGCAAGATGCTGCAGAAGCTTCTGGGGCCTTGTGCCGAAGACAAATCAACTTACCATTGTACTGAGTGCCATAAGCGTGGTCTGGCTGGCTGGACGAGACTGGAACAATCAAGTGAGGAGTCTGATAAGCACCGCTCAACTCAGTCTGGCAGGCAGAGCTGCTTGGCTTGGTTGGTGGTGGGCTAGACTTTGGTGGGGCCAGGGACGATGGCTGGCTTTGAGGAGGAGGTGGTGGAGGAGCCACGGATGAAGACTTGACTGGTGGTGGCGCTGGCTTGGTAGTTGGAGGAGACAAGGTGGTGTATTGCCAAGTTGTCTTGATCTCCGTGGTGCCTGGCGGAGGTGGAGGTGGGGCGACTGCGGAGGTCTGGACTTGGGTCACAGTGACAGTCGATGGGCCTTGGGGAGCTGGGCAGGTGGCATGCTCAACCACAGTGGTGGTCCATGGCTGGGCCTTCTCGGTCACTGTAACAGTCGAAGGCTTGGGCTGCTGAGTAACGGTGACAGTTGATGGGGCTGGGCAGGAAGCCACGGAGGGGACGACGGAGGGCTTAGGGGTCGGCTTTGCTGGAACGCATTTGCCACCAGAGCTCAAGGTAATCTTAGTGCACTTGGGCTGGTTGGCAACTGGCGTGGTGTAGATGTTGTAGATGCCGTTGGCAGCTATAGGGAGGGCTGTGTCAGCTAAACGACGGGTGACAGCATGGGAACCATAGACATACCTGGGCAGGCATAGAAAGTAGTGCTGCCGTTGTACTCAACCTCGCCGCTGCTGCTAATGCCGAAGCCAGTGGTAGGGCTTGCACCAACATCACATTGGAACTGGGTGGTTGGTGGAGTGAGGATACATCCACGGCCGGAAGAGTCGGTGATGCCACCGTTGTTGATGCAGTACGTTGCTGGCGGGTAGCCACCGCCAATTCTGTTTTGACCGTCAGACAACTGTCCAACGGTACCCGAGGCACCACCGCTTGCAGTGAGCTGGAAGCAGCATTGGTCACGGGCGACAACGGCAGCAGAAGCGCCGACCGCGAGGCTGGTAGCAGCAATGAAAGCCTTCATTATGTATGAGATAAAACGAAAGAAACTGGTTAATTAGGAAGTGATCGTGGGAGGCGTTGCTGAATGAGCTGACGTCGAAATACCAAGAAATGGCGCGGCTTCTAAATACCTTCTGCTGAGCAGAATGAGTCCAATACCTGACGTAAATGCTTGAGGCTGTTCTCAGCGGATTGGAGTCCTACCGAGTTCCATAGGCATCCCATACGAAAGTAGCTCGCCAGGCCATGAGCGGGTCCAATAGAGTGTATGTCGGTGGGCTGCCTATGGGAGAGCTCGGAGGGTGGCAATAGCGCAAGGGAGTGCCCGATTACGAGTATAGAACAAGTATATCGAAGATCGTAGTGCCGACAACCAGGAAGCCAAGGTGTAGCTAGCCAAAAAGCGGAATTTGGAGGAATCGAAGCGACCTTTGGGGTACGTTGGTCGCTCCACTTGTTGCTGCCTTTAGAAAACGACCTGCAGGAACCAAAGCTTCCACGTGCTGCGCACTGGGTTAACAGTGGAGTCGTGAGGCTGACTGCGCCGAAGCGTTGTGATCCAAGTGGTTCTGCAGCTGCTGCTGTTGCGGAGAAGTTGCTGTTGTAGTGAACGCGGGTGTCTTCGGTGGCCGTATTCAGAGCATTGCTGCGCCGTTGCCTGCTAGAGGGACGTAGCTGTTCATCAGCAAAGCTCCTCATGAATACGAGGTGGAAAGTTCGAAAGCTATGCCTCATCATGGCCAACAATATCCCGTAAATGCAAGACACCACAAGCTTCGCATTACGGCTGCATAAGAGCGTGGCATAGAGCTTCGCCTACGTCAATCTGGCTTTGGGCCTGTTGGTCTGCCCAAGACAGGTGCGCCATTTCCGTCGAATCGTCGTCCGCAGCAGCCTCTCATGGTCCTGTCAGACTCCACGCGTCGACATCGACAGGAGCGGGCCGCGGAGCATTATGGACAGTGAAGGATGAAATCATCGAGTAGGATCTTTGAACTTTGACTAACGCAGCTCGGTCGTCAGCAGCTACGTCGTCTGTTCGTATTCTTGGAAGAAAATTCTGCTCATTCTGGAGACCGTCGCGATAGATGTGGCATGCCGATGGCCGAGCGATGTCGTGGATGCTCACTCTGATGACTTTGATGGAGGAGAGAGAGCAAGACGTGACGTGGTGGGTGAATGTTGAGGCTGCTTCTTGGCATTCAGTTCCGATTCTGCCGAGGTCTTGAGCCAGGAAGCGTCTTTGGAGGCGGCCGGGGTCTTTGTTCACGACTGCCAACATCACCACACAGATGCTCCGCCTGTCTCGAATAGCCTGAAGTGCCTCTTCCCAAATCGCCAAACAATCATAACCTGTATCTCATACTCAACCACCCCATCCCCCTCGAGGCCTTGGCGAGGCCGGGAGGACAGCAGACGTGTCATGAAGAGCCAGAGAAGGAGTACACGTAGAGGCGTCAACGACATCTAAGAGGCGTATTGGCGATATATCTTTAATGGATGAGGAAGAGCGAGGCGGCCTCAGAGCGCAGGCCAGCGGCAACATGCGCAACCACACTTCCAACCACAACCGGAGAAAACGTCTCACATCAAGGGCATCGCTCGGGCAGAGATGAATGTACTACATGCGCGCATAAGCTGGCCTATGAAATGGACGTTCGCTACATGGACTTGCTGGAAGAAATCTGATCACTCTCCAATGCCAGATTATGAAGACTGAGCAAACGGGTAAGTTCCTCACACATCCTGTGCTGTCACGACTCAAACAGCACCACTGCCAATCCTGAATCCGTCACTCCACCTTCGGCTTCAACAGCTGTCGAGTGATAACACTCAAGCGCGGAAGTTGGCTGTCACACCCGGCTGGATGTTCTCCAGCTTCTGCGTCAACTCAATCCACAGCCTCTCCTGCAGCTTCTTACCCTCCGGCCCGGTCACGATATCTGAAGGCTCTGCTATTTTGCAGTTTGACAGGTACTTGCCATGCGTCTGGCTACCACGGCTACCCGCATGTATCAACGTTCGACTCCCTTTCTCCGTCGTTCTTGCCAGGAAGAATTTCATCAGCGGGAAGAAGATCCCATCCTGGTCGCGAGCAAGTTCAGACTCACAAAATCCTGGATCGATGCAGTTCACAGTCACCCCAGGATCGTTCTCGCCAACACTACGAACAGCGAAGATTTCAAGCATCTTGGACAGAGGATACTGCTCCGCAAAGACCTTTGAAGAAGCGTTTGGGTCGTTGATTGTGCTGAAAATCTGGCCTTCAGGAGCGTCCTTTTGTGGGAACTTGGCGAAGGTGTGGCCACCCGAAGATGTGATGGCCAGTGTTGGACGCACGTTGAATCGCTTCATCGTCTCCTTGAGCTTGGGAAGGACCAGTGCTGCAAGCAAAAAGGTAGAGACGACATTGACTGTGATGGTCTCTTCGTTGTCTTCCGCGGTGTGGTATTTCTTTCTTGCAAGGCCAGCATTGGCGTTGAAGATATCGACCCTCTCCAGGTCGGAGCTGATGTTGGCCGCAAAGTCCTTGACACTGGCATACGATCCCAAATCGGGTTGCCAAACTTCGATTACATTTTTCCCACAAGATGTCGTCGATTCGATATCTGCTTTCGCTGCGTTGCCCTTGTCGATGCTTCGTACCGCGAGAATCAACCGGCTGGCACCAAGACGAGCATAATGTCGAGCGGCTTCTTTACCCAGGCCAGTGTTACTGCCGGTGACGACGACAGTCTTTCCCGCATATGAGCCGGTCGGATATGGAAGTTGCACAACAAGCTGGCTATAAACGAAACCCATTGTTCCAGATATGGCTGGCATTGAGGGAGGCTTCTCTACCACACATATATACAAGGCATCACTCGCGGCGTTAACAGCAGCAAGACATTTGTTTGACTCGCTTACAGCACGTCACAACGCCAAGCAAAACCACTTGGCAGTCGAATACGCCCTGTATTCTGTTCACAAGATGAGGTGTTCTTGGAATATTGATTTCGAAATTCTTGATGCGTCTGCCATTTCCAATGGTGTGGAGTGCATTCGCCGGGTGAAGTACTAAGAGTGCCTCCGTCTGCTACACGATTACTGGTCAGTCCCCAATCCTTTGCAACCTGCATACCGAATCCGGAAAGTCGCCAATATCAAGTCGCTTGGGAGAAGTCGGCGATCTATCACACCGACGACGAGGCTACCGCATGACTCTCTACCAAAAGTCGGAATGTCGGCGACCGATCAAATGTATGCCGCCGCAGCGTTCTCGACGTCACCAACAATCTCATCAATGATGACTTGTGTTTCATCTTGCCTGTCGGCTGGCGCCTTGAACAACAGCGCGGCCCCCAATTTCTTCGGTTCTGCCTCCAATGTGTTCAGCCTTCTTGCAACAACCTTCCGTTTCCCGGCCTTTGTGACGTGCTTCTTGACCTTGACCAGCCCAGACATTGCTTCCTCCACCTTTGGCGCCATTTGCTCTTGCACGTAAAAGATGATGGCCATGGCGGCGAGGTCATTGACTCCTGGTCCGGATTCGACATCTTGGGTTGCAGTACGGACGGAGCTGGTCAAGCTTGCGATGTTGTGTACGATGTGTTTGGCGTCGAGATTGTTGATTGAGCTGATGAGGTCGTCCAAGTCTGTGTTGATGGTATCGATATCAGATTGGGCTTGAGCCTTCCACTGTGCCGAGAATGAAGCAGAATCGATCGCGAAGACTGTCGTAATAGTCGCGAGGATGAGAAAGATGCTGCTTCCGATTGCCATGGTGGAAGCTTGCTTTCGATCTGCGTATGTCTTGCTGTTGCACGCAAGTGAGTTGCCCGTACGTATGCTGCCACCGAGTACTGTTAACGTCGAAGCAGTACCGTGATCACTGATCAGCACTGTTGATAACTTTGAAGTGGCAAGTCCAATCAACTCTATGAAATTACTGGCAAGGTCTTGAAGCCGGGCTATGCTTGGCAAGGTTCAGTATCCGCCTTGCTGGCACGACGAATCGATGCGAATTCATCCGGTTCGGGCAAATGCTTGAGAATTGGATTCTGCCATCGTGCGACCGATTACCATTCAGTTTGGAGATTGTAGCAGAAAGCGGTCTCGACTGTTCGTGGTGTTCCCCGTCGATTTTCCCGAGATTCGACACATCCGAATTGAAAGCCACACTGCCTACCGAAGTAGGTTCATGTCTCCGTGGCAAAGATTGAGGACACAATAATATGGCTTCGACACAGGACATGCTGTCAATGTGCAAAACATCAGGTCCCTCGGAGAGGCTGTCCCTCAGGGTTGCTCGAGTATCATCTTCCGGTGCTACAATGCATTCAATGCGAGAAGCATGGGAGCAGCACCCTTGGGCTCCAGTCATGCACTCTACGACCGTCGTTCATGAGGCTTCATTGGTACGAGCGGCAAGCTGCTATTGGAGCCCAAGAGAAGTTGGCCGATTTTGCCGGGGTCTATGCGGCCTCGTGGCACTTTACACGGACGGTAGATGGGCGTGTGTCTCATGCCAGACAACGTTGAACGTTTGTTCCTGCACGTGGACCTGTTCGCTGTTCGCCCCGATGGACTCTAACGACTTTCCAGGCTCGACCGGCACCGCACCGAGGCCATCCGGTGGAACATTCAACAATTTTTCCATCCTCCACATGGCGAGGACTGGCGGAGAACATGTTCTTGTCGCCAAAGAGGCACCAGAAGCAGAATACATACCAGCCAATGTCTGCACCCACGTGCTTGGGTTTTCTGCCGAAGAGCCGACGAAATGTAACGTTTGACTTGGTGTTCCTGCATGTCAGCCACCGCCCAGTCCATGATTCGCTGCAGCTTCCAGAACGCCTTCCTATTCAAGCGGAGAAGGGTCCTTCCAAGCTTCACAAGCGCGACAAGCTTCACTGCTTGGTGCGACCCTGCGTGGAAGATCGACACCGAGGCATGCACTAGTCGACTTCTTCTGTGCACTTTGCTCTCAAGACACGCAAGTCGAGCAGCACGCGGCTAATCATCTTGAACCGGATTGGACGGAAGAAGCTACAGCATGGACAGACTTTCGAAAAAGTGGCGTCTGGCGGCAGCAGGGCAAGAAGTACAAGAGGGAAACGAATGAACGAGAAAGTTTGGAAAGGCAGCGACTCTCTATCCATTCACTCCAAGGCCAACGCCTTACCTCTCGCTCCACAGCACTCGTTGCACCACGTCGCCGCCCGTCATGCACAGCAACACTCTCGTGGGCCTCCTCGCCTTCACGGCAGCCGTCAATGCCGCTCCCCAATGGGGCGGCTGGGGTCCTCACGGAGGCAACGGTGCTGGCTCTCGCTCATCCGTCCAGAACATGAAAGACAAGATCAAGAACGTGGTGGTTTTGGTCATGGAGAACCGCTCGTTGGACAACCTCCTCGGTGGACAGAAGATTCGTGGATTGGACAACCCCATCAACAACGGACCGTTCTGCAACCCGTTGAACTTGACCAACCCAAAGGCTGGATATGCTTGCAGTCAGGCTTCAGACTTTGATTCAGTCATCGACGACCCGGATCACGCTGTCTACGGTAACAACATTGAGTGGTAAGTCCCTCCTTGACCGCCGGACTCCAGCCTCCTCTCTCCCCAGCACAATGAAACTGGATCGTTTGACCGAGGACGATTATATTGGCGTTCAGCAAGCACTAACATCGAAATGAACTCCAGGTACGGTACTTTCACTCCAGACAACAACGCTATCAGCTCTGGAAGGCTGCAGCCTCACATGCAAGGGGTAAGTCGAATGGATTGGGGCTACATCGAGAGATATTGGAGCAGAGCTGACGTCTGGGAAGTTTGCACATGAGGAAATCAGGTCGTACCAGGCAAAAGAGGCCAACCACACCTTCCTGGCCCAGCAAGTCATGAACTACTACACCGAGGAGCAAGTCTCGGTCTTGACTGCCCTGACCCAGAACTTTGTGACCTTCAACCACTGGCACTCCGACATTCCAGGCGTAAGTAGACCTTCGAACAGGAATCAAAGCGTGTTCTGACATCCTCACAGCCAACGAACCCCAACCGTGTTGCCCTGCACTCCGGCACTTCGGCTGGTCACGGTGCCAACAACTTCGCGTACGGCTCCATGATGCAGCGCTCCATCTTCCAGGAACTCTCCGAGACGAACCACACCTGGAAGAACTATGTCACTGATACCTCTGAGGAAGACGCTCTTTGGTTCAACTGGACCTACACCTCGGGCAACACCAAGCTCGTCGTGCCATTGGCCAACTTTGCTTCCGACGCTGCTGCTGGCAAACTCCCTGAGTTCTCCGTCATTGGCCCATCCTGCTGTGGTGTTGGCACTACTTCTATGCATCCCCAAGGTCTCGTCTCTGATGGCGAGCAGCTGATCAAGGACACTTACGAGGCTCTCCGTGCCAGCCCACAGTGGAAGCAATCCGCTCTTCTTATTACCTTCGATGAGACCGGTGGTTTCCACGACCACATCCCACCACCACTCGCTGCCCGCCCAGACGACCTGACTTACACAGCCACGACCCCTGACGGCTCCAACTACACGTTCCAATTCGACCGCCTGGGTGGCCGTATGCCAACTTGGTTGATCTCTCCATGGGTCCAGAAGGGATACGTCGAGCAGAAGGGCACCAACAGCGACGGCCAGACTGCATCCTACGCCGCAAGCTCCATGCTGCGCACGCTCGGATACTTGTGGGATTTCCAACCATTCACTCCCCGTGTTGAGACCAGCCCTTCGTTCGATGCCCTCATCCAACGCACGTCGAGGTCCAACACCCCCAAGATCCTTCCAGAGGTCTACAAGTGGTAAAGGAGCTTGATGACGGATAATGTAGCGCATTTCACGATAGATTTATAACGAATGATGATGGCTTACTATTTCTACGCAACTCATCCTTCTACCGCGGAATCCGCGCTTTGCTTGAACAATCCCTCCACGGTCGTCTCCTAGGCGCCACTTCGCTCATTCGCCCATTCGCTCACTCGTACCTGCGCATAGTGATGTTGTCGACGGAGTTTGACAGACCGTCGTCCAGAGAAAAAGGTCCAACAGCTGCGTAGTGCCGTCAAATCAAGTCAAATGCGCGATGTCCAAGGAAATGATATATGTCTTGGCCGCCGGCTTCAAGGTCAACCCTGACATGAAAAAAGAACGATAGACCTTCAAGCATCATGGGAAACGTGCCGACCGTCGACCCCCCTGCAAACTGCACCATCGATGCATGTCCAGTCTCGACCAGCTTCTACGACTACCGCATCAACCTCGCCGCCAACCTCGCCTTCCTCGTCCTCTTCTCCCTTCTCACATTCGTCTACCTCGCAGTATGGCTCGCCGCCCGCCACGGCCATGCCTACGCCGTCGTCATGATCCTCGGCACCATCAGCGAAATCATCGGATACGCAGGACGGGTTTGGTCGTACTACGACCAATGGAACGAGACGCCGTACCTCATCCAGATCATCTGCCTCACCATCGCACCAGCATTCTACTCTGCAGGAATATACCTTTGCCTTGCTGGAATCGTGAGGATCTTTGGCGAAGACAACTCAAGGGTCAGGCCGTTGTGGTACACATACATCTTCGTACCTTGCGATATCATTGCCTTGATTTTGCAGGCTGCTGGCGGAGCCCTGGCTGCAACGTCAATCGATGGAGCATCGGACACGTCTGAGCTCAACACCGGCGTCGATATCCTGCTGGCTGGTCTATCCTGGCAAGTCTTCACATTGACCTGCTTTTTGGTCTTATGCGCAGATCTGGCGTTGCGAATCCGACGACGATGCCGCAAACTGGGAATCGCCGTGGCCTTATCCCAGGATCCAGTATCAGTGGGCATCCGCACCACAAGGCGGTTCCAGTATTTCTTGGGTGCATTGTCTCTCGCAACGATCTTGATCCTTTGGCGTTGTGCGTACCGAGTCGCCGAGCTGAACGATGGGTTTTCTGGACCGATCACATACAAGCAGGGGCTGTTCATTGGATTTGAGGGGGTTTTGATTGTTGTTGCTGCTACTTTGATGGTTGTCGCGCACCCTGTTGTGTGTATGAGAGGGAGTTTTGTTGGCCAGTCTAAGGCTGCGAGTGAAGGCTGATGGTGTTTTGTGGCCAGCAGCTTGAGAAGGTCGCTATGACATGACCCAGCATTAGTAACGACAGAACTGGATATGTTGGAAATCTTCTATACAATGGAGTCTCCTTTTTGGTTGCAGCACATGAATTTGCCTTGAAGAAACCCTTTCATTCACTTACTCTGCGCGCACACAAGCTAACCTTCTAAAGAATGGGCGCTCGATTTTACAACGTTCCATATATCCGGTCGATAGAATATGGTGCATGATCAGGATTGAAGAAATCTACGTGGTATTTTATCGTCAACTCCAAACCCAATGTGTTCTCCTGCTCACCAATCCAGTCCACCACTACCTCGTTCCCCACCAGCCAATATCGCCTGCGCCTTGCCCTGCTCGCCTAATCCGTTCGCCAGATGGCTTGCTGCAAAGGGTTTCCGACCCTTCATCTTGAACTTCTTGTCCAAGACATCGAAAGTGCCCTCCGTCTCCGTCTCATCTTTCTTCACCTTCCACTTCTCCGTACCCAGAACGCCATCCAGCTCTTCGACTGGCGGCAATTTCACATATACCATTCCATCTTCTCGAGCTTCGACCGGGAAGGTGGCGATGTTGACTTGATCGTCGTTGCCACATTTGCCAGCCTCTTCGCCATTGATGGAGTAGTTACGCTTGTGCAAGGGACAGCTGACCCAAAGCTTGTTGGCTTTCATGTCTTCGCCAATGAGGCCGTCGCTAAGGACGAAAGCTCGTTTGTGAGGACACATCTGTTGAGTGGCGTAGTACTTGCCCTTCACCTTGAAGATCGCAAGTTGGGTGTCGCCACGCTTGACGGGGACGCTGGAGCCTGTGGGAGAGTCATTGAACTGATCGCACCTCGCGAGAGGCTGCCATGATAGTGATGACCACTTAGCCCCTCTGAAGTCCTCCTTGACAGACTCCTTTGGCCAGTGTGCGGGTCGACTTTGATCTCGTTCCTGGACCTTTTCGATTCCATCCAGGCTGTCTTTGCTGTTGCCGAATTGGTTGAAGATCTCCATGCGTTTGGGGTTCTTCAACGTCTCAGTCCACTCGCAGAAAAATGAGCCGACGAGTTCTTCCATCTGCTTCTCCAGTTCGACACAGATGCCTAGACTGTCTTCAAGCACCACCTTGCGCAGATATTCTATACCACCGGGGAGGTTCTCGATCCAGCGTGCTGTTCTCTGGAGCTTGTCTGCCGTTCGAATGTAGAACATCAGATACCGGTCAATGATGGAGATCACATCGTCTGGAGGCACATCCTTGGCGAGCATTTCGCTGTGTCTCGGCTTTGCACCACCGTTTCCACCGACGAAAATGTTGAACCCCTTGTCTGTGGCGATGAGACCGAAGTCCTTGTTTTGAGCTTCGGCACATTCACGCACGCATCCGGAAACACCACCCTTCATTTTGTGCGGCGATCGAATGCTCTTGTATCGCTCCTCCAGCCTGACGGCCATGCCTACGGAATCTCCAATGCCGAAGCGGCACCAGGTCGTCCCTACGCACGACTTGACTGTTCGCAAGCTCTTTGCGTACGCATGCCCAGATTCCATGCCACCGTCGATAAGTTCTTGCCAGATGTACGGCAAGTCGTGCTTCTTCGCTCCAAACATGTCAATGCGTTGACCGCCCGTGATCTTGCAGTACAAGCCGAACTTCTTTGCGACTGTGCCGATGACGATGAGTTTCTCGGCTGTGATCTCGCCACCAGAGACTCGAGGGACGACAGAGAATGTGCCGTTGCGCTGAATATTGGCGAGGAATCTGTCGTTTGTGTCTTGCAGACCTCTCCGATCGTCGTCCAGAAGATGCTTGTTGTATAAAGAGGCGATGATGGATCCAATCGCAGGTTTACACGCCTCGCAGCCGCTTGAGTTGGGCTCTTTGCCAGCTTCTCGCATGATGTCGGCAAATGTTTGGAGTTTCTTGATGTAGACAATGTTGAAGAGGTCGGCACGAGAGTATTCGAAGTGTGGACACAAATGGTTCTTCACTTCAACGCCCATCGAAGCCATCGTCTTGTTGAAGATCGTCTGCACAAGAGGCATACAACCACCGCAACCTGTGCCAGCCTTGGTGCAGGACTTCACATCGCCTATTGACTTGCAGCTACCGTCCTTGATGACTTGAGCAACACCGCCTTTGGTGACGTTGTGACATGAGCAGATTTGAGTGTCGTCGTCTAAATCGTCAGCATCATCGTCGCCGGACTGCTTGCCAACGATGAACTCTGATGGAGGGACCTCGAGCGGCTTTTGCTTTTGCACCATGGGGACCAGCTTGATGTAGTCTTTGGTATCGCCGATCATCATGCCGCCGAGGAGGTACTTGCCATCCATGGTGAACAGGTACTTCTTGTAGATCTGCTGAAATGGGTCTTTGTATGTCAAAGCTTTCACAGGCGACGGCGGTGGACCATCAGTGAGACTCTTGACTTTATCGGTCGCGCCCTGCGTGCCCTCCTTCTTGCCGTGGCGCTTGACGGGAAGTTCTTTTGGTCCATCACGGTCGGCAAAGAAGTCACCAAAGCTGGCGACTTCGACACCAAGGAGCTTCAATTTCGTGCTCAAATCTGGTCGCTTGAACTTTCGAGGGGTATGCGCTTTCGCTTGTGTGAGGTTAAAGGCCAAGACATCGGCCATCTCAATGCCAGGCGCGATAAGGCCAAAAGTTTGACTCTCCCAGCTGGCACATTCGCCAATGGCGTAGACGTCCTTCGCAGAGGTAGCCAGGTCGGTGTCGACGATGATCCCGCCAGATCGATCAGCGCACTTGATTCCTGACTTCCGAGCCAGCTCATCTCGTGCTTTGATGCCAATTGCAAAACATATCGTCGAGCAGTCCATCTCTTCGCCATCCTCAAAGACCACACCAATGACGCTGTTGTTGTCGTCTGTCTTGATCTTCCCCACTCGTTTGCTGAGAAGCACATCAAGACCAAGTTTCTGAACCTGATCGACGACCATGCTTCCAGCATCGCCGTCTAGCTGCCGGCTGAGCACCCATCTATTCCTCTCAATGAGTTTGACTTTGCTGTACTGCTCGAGGTCCATCATGGCTTTGGCAGCTTCAAGACCGAGAAGTCCACCCCCAACCACAGCACCAACAGTGTCCTTCTTCGACGCCGAGAATTCGATTAACTTTTGCAGGTCTTCTATCGTTCGGTATACAAAAACACCGGTGGCATCGTGGCCTGGAGTGTGTCTCGGTAGCACCGCATTCGAACCAGTCGCAAGCACGAGAATGTCGTAGGGAACAGTATCTCCTTTCGCAGTCTCCACAGTCTTCTTCTCCGTATCGACCAAAGTGACCAATGTATTGAGATGGTAAGAAAGTGATCCCTTCGGCATTGATGCATACCAGGATGCCGGGTTGAGGTAGAGATTCTCGACCTCTCGGTGTTGGAAGAAGCTCGTCAATCCAACCCTGTTATATGCCAGATGTGGTTCTTCACCAATCACTATCACTTCATACTCCTGCCTCTTTGCGTCGAGCTTGAGCAGCTTCTCAATGAATGCTATGCCGACCATTCCCAGCCCAACCACCACAACCCTCATCCTCTTAGCATTCTTGGGAATCTCCCCATTCGCCTCCATCTCTTCTATCTTCTCTGGCAAGACGTTGGCCTCGGGGTCATTCCATTCGGTGTTGCTCATCGTGCCAGCATGGATGGGGAGGTCAAGAGGAGATCGGGTAGGAGGGTGAGTAGGAGGGCAAGAGGCGCATCCAAACTTACAGATAGTCGCTCAGCAGCGATTCCAACAAACAAATAGCAGATACATCACCTATCAGGCCAAGCCAAAGCCCAGACGAGTGCTCAACCTTAAAGGCCACGGATAGGTATTATCCAATGCATCGCCCCGGAGAAGCAAAGTGAGGTCTATCGATACTGAGCCAGTGAGAGAAGGCATGATGACAGCGCGATCCTGGCGAGCCACAAAGTAGATTTCAAGACGTCTCCGAGGCACATGGAGATCTGGATGTTCGCATGGAGAGGGAGATAGGGACGATAAGCTTGCATGGCTGTCAACTCTTCACGTGTCTCTATCGTACGCCGTACTTGCCGTGATAACGTTTTTCCGGCCAATCACGGTAACCCCTTTACGTTAGACACACTTGGCCGTACAACCTCATCTCCCAACCGACACGACGAAGATCACTTTTCTACACCAGTAGCCGAATATGAGGCAACTTTAGAAGTCATGGTATATCCGAAGATAATACTCTGGTACATGGCTGCCGCCAAAATGCCCATATGTCGTACGCCGTGCTTCCTACACCGTGAGATCCACGACCCACTATCCCTTTTTCGTCAGCGAAAAGATAAGAGAGTCGGGGCCACTCAGAGACGGACCTCAGGCCTGGAGATGCGTCTTCTAGAAGGAGATCCCGGACCTCGATCCTAGCCAAAACTCAAGACGAACATGCGCCTCCGCGGTATCGCGATTCTGTTGCCAAATACTTTCTTTTGTCGAGCATTTCCTCGTTAGTGGTTTTCCGTGGGCGAGCGGCGCAACAAGGCTCAGGCCGCTCTAGACGCGCCATCCACTAAACTAGGTAATGAGCCTGCTCGAGTTACACTGGAAGGTCGGGCATCTCGTCACTCGCTGGCTGATTTGTGTACACTACGAATCATCTTTCAGCCATTTCTACTTTCTTCCCTTTCGAAGGTTTTACGGTGCAATATTCAATCCAACAGTATTTCATAATGAGCAGCATACCTATAAATCTACAGACTCCCAGGGAGTTGCCATGGCGCCCGGCGCATCTTCCTCCAACACCTCCCGACTCTGACAGCGAAAAAGCAGAGAGCGATTCATCTTCTCAACAAGCGAATTCAGACTTTCCTCTCGCACCTCCTACATTAGAACCCACCCAGGTACTGGAACTAGACAAGAAGACTCCCGATAGCTGGCTTCCACGAGATCCTAGATTGATACGACTGACTGGCGTACACCCGTTCAATGTTGAGGCGCCTCTCTCCGATCTATTCAATGAGGGCTTCCTCACCAGTCCGGAACTCTTCTACGTTCGAAATCACGGTCATGTACCGCAAGTCAGGGACGAGGAAATCCCTGATTGGGAGTTTACGGTGGAAGGACTCGTCGACCGGCCGATGACCCTCACATTACGCCAGTTGATGGAGGAGTACGAGCAGCAAACCTATCCCATCACTCTCGTCTGCGCAGGCAACAGGAGGAAGGAGCAGAATGTGGTACGGAAGACCAAAGGTTTCTCATGGGGCGCTGCAGGCGTCTCTACTGCCTTGTTCACGGGCGTCCTAATGGCCGACGTTATTCGGAGAGCAAAGCCGAAAAGAGGTGCTCGATACGTATGCATGGAAGGTGCAGATAAGCTCCCCAACGGCTACTATGGCACCTCTGTCAAGCTGAACTGGGTCATGGACGAGAATCGGGGGATGATGCTGGCGCATGGGATGAATGGTGAGATGTTGAGACCGGATCATGGGAAGCCTTTGAGAGCGGTCATCCCAGGACAGATCGGTGGACGAAGTGTGAAGTGGTTGAAGAAGTTGATTGTGACGGCCGAACCGAGTGATAATTGGTATCACATCTACGACAACCGGGTATTGCCAACGATGGTGTCCCCTGAGGAGTCCGCGAACAAGCCCGAATGGTGGACCGACGAGCGGTATGCTATCTACGACCTCAGTACCAACTCGGCCATTGCATATCCAGCACATGACGAGCGACTGTCGATGACCGAGTCCTCGGAGAACTACCGAGTGAAAGGATATGCGTATGGAGGTGGTGGACGTCGTGTGACCAGAGTCGAGATCTCTTTAGATCAAGGGAAGACCTGGAGACTAGCAAATATTGACTACGCAGAAGACCGATACCGAGACGCAAGTCCCCAACACCTATATGGCGGAAGCCTGGACTTTGGATGGCGAGAAGCCTCATTCTGCTGGTGTTTCTGGGAGCTCGACATGTCTGTTGCTGAATTGGCCGGGGCGAAGGATATCTTGTGCCGAGCGATGGACGAAAGTATGAACCTGCAGCCTCGAGATCTGTACTGGAGTGTGCTTGGCATGATGAACAACCCTTGGTATCGAATAGCGATTTGCAAAGAAGATGGTCATCTCCGGTTCGAGCACCCCACACAGCCTGCCTTGATGCCGGGAGGCTGGATGGAGAGGGTGAAAAAGTCGGGCGGCGATCTTACCAATGGCTTCTGGGGTGAGCAGATCGAAGGGCAGAGTAGTCCGAAGGTGATTGAAGAAGAGAAGGCAGAGATCAAGATGACCAAGGACGGCGTTAATGAAAAGATTACGATTGACGATTTACGAAAACACGATAAAGAAGACGCGCCGTGGTTTGTGGTCAACGGCGAGGTTTACGATGGGACAGCATTCTTGAAAGAGCATCCTGGCGGCGCAACAAGCATCACATCTGCGGCAGGCTTAGACTGTTCTGACGAGTTCATGGCAATACGTGAGTTTCCTAAAGCCAATTCAGTGATAGTTGCGCTAACATTGCAACAGACAGCGAGACCGCCAAATCAATGATGCCCGACTATCACATCGGCAGCCTCGACGAAGAAGGTCGAGCAGCTCTCGCCGGCGAAGATATCACACTTGACGAAAACGCCCCACCATCACCGTCTTTCCTCTCCTCTCGAGCCTGGAAGAAAGCCATTCTCCGCACCAAAAAGTCCGTCTCTTGGGACACCCACATCTTCACCTTCAAACTCGAGCACGACGATCAGATCCTTGGTCTTCCTACTGGCCAGCATCTCATGATCCGACTACGCGATCCTGCCACGCGAGAGGCGATTATCAGAAGTTATACCCCAATTTCTGAGATTAGCAAACGAGGGTATATGGACGTTCTCGTAAAGCTCTACCTTGATACGAACGATCGTCCGGGAGGGAAGATGAGCAAAGCTTTAGACTCCCTACCTATCGGTCACTACGTCGACTTCAAGGGCCCGATTGGCAAATTCCAGTATCTCGGCAAAGGCAGATGCGACGTGAATGGAGACGAGAGGCACGTCAAGACTTTCTACATGATCTGTGGAGGAAGCGGGATCACCCCAATCTACCAGGTCTTCCGTGCTGTGGTGCAGGACCGAGACGACAAGACGAAATGTGTGGTGTTGGATGGCAATCGATTACTGGAAGACATCTTGTGCAAGGCAGAGCTGGACGGCTTTGCCAAGGACAATGCGGAGAAATGTCGACTTTTGTACACTTTGACGCAGGCACCAGAGGAGTGGACGGGATTGAGAGGGAGAATCGCAGCGCCACTACTCAGTGAACACGTAGGACGAAAGCTGCATGCGGATGGAGAAGCGATGGTACTAGTCTGCGGTCCAGAGGCGCTGGAAAAGAGCGTGCATCAGGCCCTGCTGGGAAATGGCTGGAAAGACGATGAATTGCTCTTCTTCTGATTGTTTGTATCCGATCACGAGCATGGCTTTTGGTGTTGTGAAAATGTTGCTGGGAGAGGACGAACACTCAAGGGGCGTTGATCCCGTCAAACAAAGCTGAATATGACTGAAATGCGCTTCGAGCCTTGGTTCGTGGAAGGACATACCATTGGAGTAACACTTTATCATGGTTGTCTGTAGACTCTCTTCGATTGATACCTCAATATGAACGATCCTCATGTTGGCCGGGCAACATGCCACTCAATTCCTTTCCCCAGAAACATCTCTTCGCTACCGTACGAGCTGCTTGGCCGCAACTCTAGCGTTTGATACCTTGCGGTCAGGGCGACGTCAGATCCACGACTTCGATTTCACGCTGCGGCTCTTTTTCTTCTTCATTCTGACCCTCTTCATCGTCCTCCACTTGCTCCTTAGGATCGGCCTGGCCCTCTTCGTCAATCTCCTGGTCCTCTTCATGGTCGAGGTCCTCTCCTTTATCCTCTCGATGCTGTTCGAGACCGTCATGGCCCTTTTCATCAGCCTCCTTGCCCTGTTCATCGACCTCATCATCGTCTTCATCGCCATCCTGACCCTCGTCATCACCCTCCTGACCGCCGCCTCCATCCCCCTTCTGAGCCTGCTCATAACCCCGCAGCTTCTGACGAAGGATCTCCTGCACCCTTTTTCCGACCAGCATTCCCTTCACAACTCGACTTTTGATCACAGGTAAAAGATCGGCATAGAAGGCACCGATGGACGCACGCTGCTCAACGGCTGCCAGGAAAGGCTCGTTATTTCCCAACTCAGCCAAATAATTCGAGGCGAGGTCCGTAATCAGCGAACGCAGCCTGGATGTTTGTCCCACAGGCTGCTGGTAGATATTGTCGATCAATTCCAAGCAATGTTCGAGATGCCACGGCGTGATGCTCAGAGCGTTTGTGAACTTCTCTGTGGCGAGGAGTTTGAGCTGTGGTATGCCATAATATATAGCAATGCCGTGGACGTGGATATAAGCAATGAGGTCTTCTTTCGTTGAAGTCACGATCTCTCCATCGTCTTGGTCAGCGCCCGTAACACCAGCAGCACGCATCCTTGCTCTGTAGAACTTGTCGTCCTTGGGAATAGTTGGCGGATCGTAGTCTTGAGTGTAGAGAAACTTGATCATCCGGCCCACAGTCTCAGCATTATACTCTGTGTGATGAATGATCCTGGATGACTCTTCACGCCTGCTCTAGACTTCTGCAGAAAGCCATCGGGACTGCGGACAGACTATAGCACGGTGGATCTTGAACTCGTACCCGTCGCAGCGAATGCTCATGTCGGAGTACTTGCTACTGGCCTGGAGGTTGGCCATTCCAACGAAAAAGCTCCGTTGATAGATGTTCGCCATTTGTTGTTGCTCAGACTTGTTGCAAGAGAAAAGAGCGATTCAGTATACCTTCAATTGATATAGAAGTGGATGTGACAAAGACCATTGTTGGTCTTTTGCTGCATAAATAGAATGGACAAGAAACAACGGTCTGATGCCAGAATGTCTCATATGATCTGAGGAACACAGGTGAATCTACCTTTTCTTCTCTGGCATGACGCTCGTGAAGCACTAATATCCGTGGATTCTCTCTGATTCATCCAACTATCTAGCTAGCATGGAAAGAGGATTTGCTTGCGGCCTTGATTCGCCCTCGAGAGGTTCCGAAACCCTCTGCAAGGTTCAATTTCTCGACAAGTTGATCAAAATGTCTCTCAGGAATGAAGTTCTCCTGCTCAACCCCATCTGATTCGAACCCACTCGTCGACTTCCTACTTGCCATCTGATAGTACATTTCAAGCACGAGATCCATAAGAAGGTCCGTCCGAGTGCCTTGGTATACCTCCGATGTGAACATATCATTAGTGACCAGGTCACCCGCCAAAGGGGTCAACCACTGGCAGACAATACTTCGGAGTTCTGATGTGTCCACAAAGTTGCTGGCCCAAATCTCTCGCGCTGCCGGCAAGATTTGATCGATACTCCAATCTGCCTTGGCTAGCAGCTCCTTGAACTTGCTAGCCGCTTTGTCGCGAAGATCGACGCAGTCGTAGTCGCTTCCAAGATTGAAGATCTCGACGTGGAGCTTCAGAGCATCTTCAATAGATAGGGTCGAGAGCTCTCCATTGGAGTGTTCCGTGCCCTTGTTTTCTTCTTGTCGTTCGACATGATCAATCTCTTCGTCAGTACCCCATTCTTGCACGTCGTACTCCTCGGGATCGCCTTCTTCAGCCTCGCTTTCTTCCTCGTGATCTTCTTGAGCATGCTGTTCCTCATCATCCTCTTGCTCGGTACTTTCTGCCCCAGCACTCTCCCCCTCATGACTCTGTTCTGGCCAACGTATGTTGGATAGGGCATAGTCTGATGTGTTGAAGTATTGCAATAGACAGTCTACCGCGTTGGATGAATCGTTGATCCATCTTGCCTCCTTACAGTCTTCGAAAAGGCTATCAAAGTATGCGAGAAAGCCTTCGTGGGGTTCTACGAGAGCACGTCGTATTTCGAAGATGATAACACCGCAATGAAAGGTCATAATATCTGGTGTTGTATGACTGTGGTCGTTGTCCGTTATGTCAAAACGCAAATTGAACGAAGTGCCTTCAGAGGCAATGATCGAAGGTATTCTGCGAACCGCCTACATTGGCTTGAGGTGGCGATCACATATGCAGAGCCACGAAGTAAATTGAGCGGTTCAGATATGTTTGAACGTAGGTCTCAGCAGTCAAAGAGAATCTTGAGGCCTGGCGTTGGCTCTGCCTGCTATTAGGAGCATTCAGTCTGGTTAAGATAGACGTCACAAAGCCTATACATTCGTGGCACAATGGAACGATCGTTAGCAACTGCACCGCCTGCATCATGTCACAACACTTTACTTGCTCTCTCACTTGCTACTTCGCTTGTTACTTTACTGTGAGAGGTCTTTCTATCGAAGATTGTCAGAACGTGTAAGGTGTGAAAGAACTCAATTGTGTGGAGGATAGACAGGTTCCCATCCGCCCCCTTTCCATAACCTTGGGCAAGGAATTCCATGGCCGCCTCACAACAACCTGCTCATGCTGCTATGTATCATTTCCTATCCGTCATCAAAATCGACGCATTGATGAGTGTCGTTTCTCACACTTCTTGCACTGCTCCTTATACCCCTTTCCGTCGCTTTCTCCAGACCACTCCGTCACCGCAAATCCACGATTCGATTTCATCGACAACAGCCAGATAAGATCCTTGAAGAAGCCGTAGTATTTTCCTTTCTCTTCCTCATTATCTCGTCCCCAGGTATGTTCGACCAGCTTATCTGCTACAGGGAGAACAGCGTCGAGAACAACACAGCGGAGAGAATCTATCTCCGAATTGTTGTCGTGGTTGCAGTAGTCGCAGACAAAATCAATGGATGGAAGGATGTCAGCCATGGTCCACTTCGACGTTCGAAGTACTTGGTGGAACTTCGCAACGGCTTTGTCTTGCAGTCCAACGAGGTCGTAGTTGATACTCATCTCGAAAACGTCAACATGAAGCTTCAGACTATCTTGAATGGAGAATGCCTTTTTGCCTCGCGCTATCACGGCCTTCGTGTCAGTGTACTCCAAGCCAACCATGCCGGCACCCTGCCGTCCATGAAGGCCAATGTCGGAGATGGCGTAGTCCTGTGCTCTGAAGTACTGAACGAGGCAGTCTACGACTTCAGGTGGCAATCCATTCATATTGATGAAGCCTTCGGAGTCACTGCGATGTTGGTTTCGGAAGCATTCGAGCAGGCCTGGGTAAGGCTGTAGAAGGCTGCAGGGTATGCTGAACGTCCGTTCACCGCAGGCGAACTTGATATTGTAGGTGGATGGAAGGGCTTGATCCGTCATGATGAGGGTGAAGCGTGCTCAGTGATTGTTGAAGTGACGACGAGGCTATCTCTTTCCTTGCATCAATCTGGATGTAGGCGCTTGATGTATCCATGTCCCCAACAAAGCCCCTTTTGGAACAGAGATATACAGACATGTTTGCACATGCAAGAAAGCACTAGTAGTAGGGCCCTCAAGAGAATGTTCTCACGGAGATGCGGAGAATGGACTGGGTGCATGTGTGGGCGTGAAACTGGCCATACAGACCTGCTGAGGCTGCTATGGACGTCTGGTGTCAAGGAGTCTTTCGTGCATGGGATTCAATCTCTCTTATTCGGATGCGAGACTGGAACAAACCCTCGCTTGGCCCTGTCCCTATCATCTTCCCATAGCCCCCTCAATCTCCCTCAACGCAGCCATGACAAACTCGTCCATTCCCTTCCTCCCCACAACCTGCAATCCCACTGGCGCGCCCGCGGACTTCTCCGGATCATACAGCCCATGATTATACGCATCCTGCTCATTCAAAGGCTGATATGACTCGTCTTTGACGTCTTTCGCCGGATCAACACACACACCACTGGGGAAGATCACAGCGGGATAGTCGAGCAGATTCCAATGGCTCGTATACGGCCAATACTTCGCCGTATCATGAAGAGGTGCAGCACCAGGTCCGGCAGGACAGAGGATGACATCGACTTCTTGCTCGTCGTCGGCTGACGTAGAGTTCCAGTGCGCGGCGTATTTAGCTCTGTACGTCTCACGACGGGCGACGATACTCCAGTACTCGTGGATTGTGCGTTCTTTAGATTCAGGCTGATCGACGGTGATCCATTTGATGAGTGGGAGCATGGGTTCTCCTGATGCGTCGATGGGGTGCCGGGCGGCTGCACCACCGTCCGGGTAGAGTAGTGAGATGTATAGGTCCCAGGCTGGGCCGTGGTCTAATGGCTCCCAGTCGACGACCTTCATGCCTGCTCTTTTGCAACATTCTACGACGGATTGCAGGGCTCGCTGGACCGGTGGATGTGGTTGGACAACGCCATCTGACCACATGACTCCTATCTTGAGTGGTTTGCTAATGGTCATCGGGCTCCAGAATCGTGTCTCCAAAGAAGGATCTATCTTCCAAGGCTGGCCATCGAGGACAACTTTCATGAACAGATCGATAGTTTCCCTGTCAGTAGCAATAGGCCCATATGTAGCCAGAACCCCTTCACTCCCAGCCATAGCTGCGGTCATGCCAGCCACCCCAAGACGCTTTGCCGCTGGCTTGAATCCGTAAAGCCCATTATTTCCTGCAGGGACTCTTACAGAGCCGCCTATGTCACCGCCGATACCCAGCACACCCCCACGCATCCCAATGAGCGCGCCTTCGCCTCCACTGCTTCCGCCACTTGACAAGTTACGATTCCAGGGGTTGACTGTTCTGCCGTAGATGTTGTTGTTCGTTTCGATACACTGCAGAGTCTGTGGTTGGTTCGTCCTAGCGTAGAAGACGCATCCGGCGTCCCAAAGAATCTGATTGAGGGGTGAATGTGGTGATGGTGTCCCAATCCATGAGACGTAGGCACAATCAAGGGGTCTGTTATACAAATGCATGCCTTGATGTTCTTTGGTGGAAATTGGCAGACCATGCAGAGGACCCAGGGATTCGGGTAATGAGTCCAGATATTTGGCTCTCTCAATAGCCTCATCCCACATGAGTTCTGTCAAGCAGTTTGTAGCATGCTGGGCAATCGCAGCTCGGCGAAGGAACGCCCTTGTGAGTTCTTCTGCAGACAGTGTCTTGTCACGAAGTTTCTTGAGCAGCTCGAGGGTAGAGTAGTTCGTTGTCAAGTCATACTCGCGAGGTGTGAGATGTTCGACGGGTAGGTGTTGGGAGCTAGTAGCCAACCCATCTGGAAGTTGCAGAGCAGGTTCAACCTTGGCCAGTGATGCATCTCGGGCTTCTCGTGCACCTTTTGCCTTGGCCTCCCAGGTTTGACCATATGCCATATCTGCGAGTTGCTCCACCATGTCTGAGTCGCAGATGGCGGGTGTTGCACAGCTCAGTCCTGAACTTCATACTCGAAGACTTATCGGCTTGTTAGCTTTGATAAGTCATGTCGCTTCGTTGCCCTATCGAGCGTCGAAGCTCCTTGTTCGACTCCGATCTGGCCCAGACGGGCAAGTCCTTTAAGTCTCGGCAGCACTCTCAATCCGATAGGCTCTCGATCGAACCTGGCTCCGTCTTACTCGTCATGGGAAGTATATACGTTGACCTTGCCATCCTCTAAAAGACCTGACCCTATGGACTATATCGTCGTGAGTAGTGAAGTACAGCATATTCAGAACTCGAGCAACCCCGCAGCAGTGGAGCTGTCTGGGGCGGGCGTTCGTCAAGGGGGACTGAGATGGCCGTGACATGTGGTCTTCTTGAAGGCGGGGCGCTTCTTCGATGGTGTAGACGAGCGAACAGCTTCACGCGACAAAGATGATGACTACGATCCTGCCGTGGAATCATTCGCAAGCAGTGGAAAGGGCGATCTCGAGCGCAGCAATCCTTGCAGAAAACATGCGGCAACATCGCCCAGGAAGAACTCGAGCAAGGAGAGCGCCATACCCGTACCCATACCAGCCGCCGCCTTGATCCACGCGAAATATATCATGAGTGAAATACGAGCAATGGCAATGGCAGAAAGCGGGCTACCTATGTTGATACGAGAAGATGCCGTCGCTGTTGGCGCCATGAATAATGCAACTGCATCTTCACCATCCGCTCCTGCCACTCTGCCGTCTTGCAACGCGGACAATGCTCCGCGCAACGCTTCAGAACAGGCTTCGGACGACTCGCATTGGGAGCGTCTTCAAAGAATGGTTCTTCTTATTCTCCTCTTGCATCTCAGCGACGCTAGCGCGGCGTGTTTCCTCGGGCACACCCTCGCCGCTGATGATTCTTCGCTGCTCTTCTCGCATGCCGCTGTAAATGTCGATGTTCTTGATCTTGATGTACAATGGTCGATGGGCCGGGATCGCGAACCAGCTGTAGGTCTTCCAGCCAATGTACAAGGCAAGCATGAAGAACGCAGCAAGGTAGCCCTCGACGAAGTTCTCGGCATTTAGCGTCGGTCCTCCCACCGGATAGAGAGCGTTGTAGAACGACGCCATAAGGCAGACGAAGTTGAGGACCGCGCAGAGGTAGGAGCCCCAGACACCAAAGGCTGCCTTATACGGAATCTCGTCCTTCGAATGGCCGTTGTAGGACCTATAAGATGTCAATCATTGCAGGTGCAGTCTCAGCGGTGAACTCTTACCAGGCCAAACGGAAGCGAATATGAGCAACAGCGATGCTTCCAAAGACGAAGAATGAGCCGATACCTGACAGCGCTAAGAGCCAATTGAAGACGGTGCCGCCTTTCTTCGCAAGGTTGATGAACGCAAGGCATCCAAACAAAAGCTGCGCGACCGTGGTAGCAAGGGGTCGTCCCTTCCTGTCGACGTATGCAAAGATTTTAGGTCCCATACCTGCGAGCATCAGTTAGCGAGATCTTGCTTCGCTGCGTGAACTTTGTACCATTTGCTGCCAACGCCTGAGCGGTACGAGTAAAGCCGAAAGTTGAAGAGTTTGCCACACTCATCACTGAAATCAAGATGACGGCATTGAAGATGGACGGCAGAACTTTGATGTTGGCCGCTTTAATAGTAAGCACGAACGGAGAGTGTCGCGATTCACCCCCAGTGGCATTCTCAGTATACAGCGGGCTGGTTGCGGGCAGGCAGATGCCGATGAGGAAGAGGGTAAGGATGTAGAAAAGTCCGATCCGGAAGACGACCTGCTTCGACGCTCGTGGAATCTCCTTTCGGGGGTTCTTGGTCTCCGCTGCGGCAAGTCCTGTGAGCTCAGTGCCGTTGTAGGCAAAGGATGCAGTGACGAAAACGCCGCAGAAACCCTTAAAGCCGTTGAGGAAGGCCGAGTAAGGCGAATGCCTACTCTCATCAGTCAGTGGCACAACAGCCAGATAAGCATGAGTCGAGTGTACCAATAGGCTGCGCCGATGTAGCCTCGGGGGTCAGTCGGTACACCACCACAGTTGATGATGATAGCTAGGAGTATGAAACCGGTGCAAGCCGTGATCTTGAGTATACTGAGACCGAATTCGACCTGATTCAGTCAGCGAAGCCTTTCCTCTCATGCCGTATGTCTTGTTGACTTGCCTCGCCGTATCCTTTGATGCCAAAGTACTGTATACAGATCAGAGCGAACAACAGGGGGCAAATCCAGGCAGCATCGTTAATGTCCAGAGAGCCTTGCCAGTAATGGATGATGTTGCAAGCCGCCGAGATCTCGAAGGGCAAGATAGTGAGCCAGTTGACGGCGTACTGCCAGCCGACGGCGAAACCCCAGGAGGGGTCGATAAAGCGCACGGCGTACATGGTGAAGGCACCGTTGATTGGATACATGACACAGAGCTCTGCGAGAGCCTGCATCATGAGGTAAATCATAAAGCCAACGATGATAAAACCGATCAGAACGGAAGCAGGTCCACCGGATTGAAAGGCACCGGCCGTCCCGACAAACAGACCAGCTCCAATGGCGCCACCACTGCGAACGTGGCTATGTGAGTACATGATGCGCATCGCGCGTGGCAGGGAACCTGTACGTACACAGCAATCATCTGCATGTGCCTGCCCTTCAAGCTGCGGTGGAGCTCATTCTCATCCGAATGGACGACAGCGACGTCCTCAGGCTCGGTGCTGAACTGGTGGCCATGGAGATGCTCCTTGAGGTCATGCGAATGCTGCTTCTCGTCGGGAAGCCCCCCTTGCTCGGAGTCGATATCGGCGGTAGCGTGTGCGAGGCTCATTATAGCAGAGCAGAGCAAAACAAGAGCAATCTACTACAGGGAAGAGCTGAGCTTGGTGAGAGCAGCGAGCTAGGTGTAGTATAATAATAAGCTACTCGCTGGCACGCACGAGGTCGCGTGGGCCCTGCATCGTTGCACTCGGCACTGCCCTGCACTGCGCTCAATTGAGTAGGCAGAAGAGTCGCTGCAACGTGGTTGGAGGTAGTACAGTGAGGAGAAGCGAGAACGCATAGCGCTTCCTGCGATGCTTCCGGTTGTTTCAAACTGGAAATCGTGGCCTTACTGTTGGTGTTGCTCGGTGCCCCTTTACCTTTCGGTCAATCGGATTGCCTGCGGTACTCGCTCCGGTACGTGAATTCTCCAGAAGTGATATTTATTTTGGGTTGCTTGATGCGTTCTCGCTTCCCCCTACTAGAGGTCCAAGCTACTCGCGCCTATCTAGCCGGGGAGGCTTGCGCGGCTTGACCCAAAGCTTGACCTGCCTCGAAACTGGCGAAGCTTCCGGCCGCACACATTATTACTTGACTACCGTACAATCATGTATGTATTGGTTGGCAGCGCTCAGATGGAGCAATGTCCTGATCGGTCCTCTTGCTTCTTCATGTTGGGTGGGTGTGGTGTGCGTGCGACCATCATTATTTCTAAGGAGCAAGGACCACGCATCGCTAAAAGAAGCCCATGGGCTGAGCAATCCGCTCTGACCACCTCCAAATCACAAAAGTGCGAAGTGCTAGCCAATCGAGCCAAAGTGGATCGTCGTATCCTGACGCTTGGCCCAAGAAGGAAGGAGAGATAAGAGGCCTATCCTATCAGAAGATCCTGGGGCTTGCGGAAGCGACATGCAATGTCGAATTAAAGCCACCGTGCTGCGTTCCCTGGCCTTCTAGCGCTTCCAGGGCGGTACGATCGTGAGGGGTTAACTATTCTCTGACACATCCCTTCTGAAATCGTGGATATTCCGGTTTCTCTCCCCGTCACTCCATCGGACTACCCTCGTCGTCCCGCTCAAAGTGGAACGCATGGCATCGACAACCCTCTCTCCGACTGTTAGCACGACCGAACTCTGCGTAGTACTTTGGTTTGCTTAGACAGCCGACAAGTAATGGGGATGAATTTCACTTTGAGCGGAAGAAGGATGGTACAGCCAGCCCCGGACTACAGCGCCTCACACAAAATCTTGCTGCCTAAGGCTGACATCCTTTTCCGGAGCAAAGGGTTAGGTGGTTATTGTCCGGGGCCAGTGGTTAGGGAGGCTTAAGTTCGGGTTTGTGGTTAGGTAGCGGTTAGGGGGTGCATTGGACTTGTTCAACTTAATTACACCCCAATAGGTCCGAGGAATGTGAATAAAAGTCGTTCGAAAGGTGTGTGATTTTGGTAGTATTTGGGTGGGGTGTGGGGTGTCCCTGCAGATAGTATACCTAGATACTTGCCGTCTTCATAGAGCTTTCCACTGTCCGGTTCCTGCATCGCTGGACTTCACATTTAACAGTACAGCACATCGAAATAACTATAGACAGGAACAGGGGGGCCTCAGATCTTCAGCCATGTTGCTCTCAAAAGAAGAACGTGAAAAGGCTGTGCAGCCAGATCCCCAGATAGTTGAGGTTTGCCGACTACAGGCATCGAAATTTGATAGCAACTGACATAGTCAACAGTATCTGAAGAAGAACCCACCTGGAGAGCGATCCCGCGACCCACTGGTCATGCGCAAAGTCATCGAAGCAATGGAGAAAGCAGCGCTCGAGAAGCTCGGTCCAATCCACGGTGACTTTGAAGAGTTCATCCACGACATCGAGATGCGTGATGGCTACGTGAACAGCTTGAAGGTGATTAAGCCTCGCCACCCAACGCCTGGCCCACTGGTAGTCCTGGCGTTTGGTGGTGGGTTTGCCGCCGGGAGTAAGGATCAGCTCACGGACGAAGCTCGCACCATTGCGAAAGTCTTTGAGGCGACTGTGGTCAACATTGATTATAGGCTTACTCCCGAGAACAAGTTCCCCACGGGACAGCTCGATGCATGGGATAGCTTGAAGTGGATTGCGGAAAATACGACTGGATCAATCCTCAATGCCGACCCAACGAAGGGATTCATCATGGGCGGTGTCTCTGCTGGAGGCGCCATCACAGCCGTCCTCTCACGCAAGTTCCAAGAAGAAAAGATCGCGCATCCGTTTACGGGGCAATGGCTCGCAGTGCCGACTCTACTCGACGATGACATTGTGCCAGAGAAGTACAAAGAGTACTTCATCTCCGGCGAGCAGAACGCCAAGGTGACTGAAGTCTCCAAAGAGGAGAGGCTAAAGATGAGACAAATGGGTGGTTGGGATCGAAAGTCGGATCTTGGTTGGGCGGGGAACTCCACGACACCGCTCTCAGGCCAGCCGCGGACGTATTTTCAGGTTGATGGGCAGGATACGCTGCGGGATGATGCTTTGATATACGAGGAGATGCTGAAGGAGGCGGGTGTGCCCACCAAGATCGACTTCTATCCGGGGTGTCCACATGCGCATTGGATGCTCATGCCTGGGATTGAGATCTCAGACCGTGCCAGAATAGATACCATCGCCGGATTCGCCTGGTTGCTGGGGAAGAGCGTGTCGAGGGAGGAGATTGCCAAAGTGCTGAAGATTTCGTCTTGAGTGGGCGTGATGAAGAGGGTGTCTTCGAAGGCAGTGGGACTTTGTTGATAGAAAAAAGTACGCGTGAAGGCCATGAACACGGAGCGGAGTCCGGCAACGTCAAACGTCTCGGAACGTTCATTTCCCAACCGCCCAATTTACAGTGATAAGTGGAATCTTCTGCAGACTCTCTCATCTTCTTGTTTGGCAGACACGAGGTGCAACATGTTCGCCTCGGAGTTGTCAGTCGAGAGCTCGTGAAGCTGAGCTAGGAACAGGAAACTCCCCTCCACTAATGATGCAACCTCGAGAGCTTAATAAGGGCAAAGATGAGAGCAGTATAAGTACGGTGCCTCCTGATCAATCCACACAGCGTGAGTTTGCCGATTCGATTGCATCGCATCAACATGGGCTCCAGGATTCCATCGAAGCCGAGAGATCAGCTCTCCTCGCAAGAGAAGTCAGACTACGACGAGTCAGTATCAGCGAGTGCTCAACGACTATTGACATGCTGAGCAGTATTATCTGCAGCTTCACCCAGATTGCTGAGCATGGCTTTGGCAAGAACGGCGAAAGGTTCCTCTACAAGGACAAGGACGGGTCCTGGCTCGGTCCTTATCCGCTGTTGATGGCGGCCCCAAAGACTGGCAAGCTTGGCATGCAACTGGTGTACAGCATTGGAGAACTGCCGTTGCCGAGCGATGTCAAGGAGACCGCGATACTTGCCTGCGGTGGTCATTTCCAAGCCGCATATGAGCTATATGCCCACGAAGCAGTTGCCACCGCCGCGGGAGTCCTCAGCAAAGAACAGGTCGCAGTGATCAAGCAAGGCCACAAACCGGAGGATCTCAATGAGAACTGTAGTCTGGCCTTTGATGTCGCGGTACGGCTCTGTGGCGCTCCAGGGCCGCTGCCGCAAGAGCTCTGGGACAAGAGCATCAGAGCCTTTGGCAGAAACGGGACACTGGCGTTGGTTCACTACGTCGGATTCTACGCGTATATCTGCATTGCACTGAATGCAGCCGATGCGCCTGTTCCTGAATGAGCTACGTCGGTGGCGCTCTGTCACATGTTGACAGCTGGTAGTGGCGTTGAATTTTCGCGTCAGGGAACGGAGGTCGAACTTCGGCGTGACGCGAACGTGAAAAAACGCGGTCAATACTGGTGATTGTATTGACATTGGTGATGAATGTATTAATTAGCTGAGCCGCAGAATGTGATGAAGAATGATGGAGAAACAATGAAAAGTGCATCAAATGACCATGAAAAGCTGGTGGCGTGAGCGTCCGTGGGCGTGAGCGTCCGTGAGCGTGGAGAACGTCATCGAAGGCCGCTGCCAAAGTTGGAACTCGACCTGGCCAGGGTACGTCCAACGCAAAGCAAAGCCGCACATTCACCGACCGACACCGGCCTCTGCCAAAGACCTGGTCTGCCACGCTGTCGATCCCGCATGACATGAAGCAATGAAGGACACCTCCCAATCCAATACTGACGACGCCGGCATCCACCAGCTGCCCGGCGACGACCATGTCTGGCACAATTGCGCCCTCGGGCCCTTCCAAGACTGGCCCTCTGCTCTCAAAGCACATGTCTTGACCGTATCAAACCTCCCGTATCCTGCTGCCATCCTCTGGGGGAACCAGTACATCCTGCTGCACAACCACGCCTGGCAAGATGCTGCCGAGATTCACCAACAGGGGCTTCCCCAAAGGGATTCACTCTCGCCAGCCATCGTCGACATCTTCCGCAGCGTGGCCGAGGGGAGAATACCGAAAGAAGTGCAGAGCCGCGACTTAATCAAGGAGAAGGCGCTGGCTATCAAGCAGGCCTCGACCGCCATCCTGAGCCCTTTGCTTGCGGCGAGCCAGAGGCATGCAGAAGGCATATTGGTCCAACTACTGCCTCAGCCCATGCTCTATCAATCACTGCAGCTTTCCAGTGACAGCAATGGAGCAAACGGCAAGTGTTGCGGCAACGAATGTGAGCTAGATGGAGACGTCGCTCGAACCGTCGACAATACACCTATTGACGAGCATCCATTCTTCCGCCGCTTTGCTGAGATGCTGCCGTCGGGTCTTGCCATACTGGACAAAAACGCCCAGGCAGTCTTCGTCAACCAACACTTTTACGACCTAACGACCAGCCGCAACGATCACAAGGCCTTTACCAGCTGGCCGCAGTCTATCCACCCAGACGACTACGATCGGGTCATGCAAGCGTATCAAGAGGCGTTCGCGTCACAAAAGCAGTTGCGTACCGAGTTCAGAGCCATGGGAGCGAAACATCCCTGGCGACTTCTGCTACTAACTCCCTTGGGTGATGAGAACCTCCAACACGTCAGTCTGCGCGAGTATGGAGGGTTCATCTGTAGCATCGTAGACATCACGTCTGAAAAGTCGGCCGAAATATCGGAGAGAGAAGCCGCCAACCAAGCGAGAGAGAGAAAACAAACTCAGGAAAGATTTCTCGATATGATAAGCCATGAGATTCGCAATCCCCTCTCCGCCGTCCTCCACTGTGCTGAGGAGATCAGCGACGCAGTGCGGGACAATAAGCAAATCGAAGGGATCGCTGTTAATATCATTCGGGAGGCGGTCGAGACGATCCATCTTTGTGTCACTCACCAGAAGAACATTGTCGACGACGTGCTCAGTTTCAGCAAATTGGACGCCTCCTTGCTATCATTAAAACCCAAGCCCTCCCAACCCAGCCGTCAGCTGGCGAGTACCTTGAAGATGTTCCAGCACGAATTTCGCAAAGAGAATCTTAAATTTGGCGCCACGACCGACGACACCTACCAGGAATACAACGTGGACTGGGTGCTGGCAGACATTGCTAGAATATCTCAGGTCCTGATCAATCTGGTACGTCATGGATGTTATCTAGTTTATCAAATGCTTACTCATCCACAGATCACAAACGCAATCAAGTTCACGAACAAAGTCGAAGGCCAGCGGCAGGTACATTGCTACATTGGTGCGAGCAAAGAGCGACCGCCATCGTACCCGCGCGATGTTGTCTACTTCGAGAGCGACTCGGTGGCATACAAGATGGACGCAACTAATAGCACTGAATGGGGCAGCGGCGATCCAGTGTACATTACAGTTGCAGTGAAAGATACAGGGTGAGTGGACAGTGGAAGTCATGTCCAGAATCGATACGTGCTGACCACCCATTCAGAATTGGAATCAGCGCTGAAGGACAGAAACGGCTTTTCGAGCGATTTCGGCAAGCAACGCCAAGGACAGAGGAAGTGTACGGGGGATCTGGCCTTGGACTAAATATCAGTCGAAAGATCTGTCACCTACACGGCGGCGAGATAGGAGTCTCGTCGAAAGAGGGTGAGGGGAGTACTTTCGCATTCTACTTCAGAGCCCGTCGCATCGAAGGGCCGCCTGACGGTCAAGACGACGATGCAGGGAAGCTAGAAGATGAGGACAACGAAGAAAAGGTGAAGGAGAAAATCCATGAACTCAGGGAGAAGAATCCAGACGAAACGATTTCCAAGGAGCCCTTTGCATGGACCTCTGGCGATAAAGAATCTCCGCAACAGAAGTGGTCGAAAAAGGAGCAGCTCGAAAGCATACGATCCCCTACTAATGAAGATGGCAATGCAGCTGGTAAAGGCGGGTCTGAAAACGCGGTTCGACCCTCGCTCTCCACCGTGCAGCAGGGTAGCGAGAAAATGGTGTCTCGCGACGTTGGTTCTGAAGCATCACCTGGCGTTGACGAACCCGACCGACCTGTTACCAGTTTTAATCAACAGGGCTCAAGGGCGCATGTGCTCTTGGTGGAAGACAAGTAAGTCAAGCGTCAAGGTAAATGTAATTACGATTATACTGACCTCCAACAGCATCATCAACCAGAAGATACTTTACAGAAAGCTAGAGGCCAAAGGCTTCAACGTCACGACAGCGAACAATGGACAGGAAGCCGTCGAAGCCGCCAAAAGCGCACCCCGTCCAGATTCAGGAGAGAAGAGCGCATTCGACGTCATCCTCATGGACAATCAGATGCCCGTGATGGATGGGAACGAAGCCGCCAGGGCGATTCGAAAATTCGAAAAAGACAGCAATCTCGAGCGAATACCGATCCTGGGCGTCACTGCGAACGTCCGCGGCGCGCAGCAAGACGAGATGATGGAGAGCGGCATGGACGACGTGATGAGCAAACCCTACAAGATCGAGGACCTGGTGAGTCGACTTTGGAAATTGGCGCGGTAGATATTTCTTATTCTATGGGATTGTTGTTGTTTTGGCGTCCAATGTCTTACTGTTGGGTTTTTAGGTTGCTAAAATCAGCGAATTTGCTACGAACGCCAGAGAGAACGCCGAAAGTGGAAAGGATAATGCCGCCGTAAATCAGCAGCAACGACAGCAATAGCGACCATGCTTTGCCTATTATTACTTTACGTCGGTTCGAGAACGACACAGACTCAGCATGGCATGGCTTTTGGGCGTTTTGGGTTAGAGTTTGGTTTGGGCGCTGCATGAGCGATGAGCGAAGCATGAGCGACGGAGAACAGGAAAGGTTTGGACACTGCCTGATGATCCACCCAAAGGCTTGATTGTCCTGCTAAGTGTGCTTCACTTCAAGAGTGCATTCATCCCAAGCCAAATCGAGTCTTTCGTACTCCTAAAATAATAACGAGGCTGAGCGGATCGGCCTCTGTCCATCGCCGATCCCGTTCAAACTCTACTCTTGCCCTAACCACGCCCTCGCTCACTTAGCCTGACTATCCTCTCTGAGAAAGCGGTTCACACTTGTGGCGAACATCTTCACGCCATTGACAACATTGACAGAGACGATATGGACATTGCTCGCAACGTCCGAGTGGCAAAGCGGGGAAGAACCATTGAAGTAAGTGAAAGTACTTGCTCTTCTTCTCAAAACATCTCAATCCCATCTTCAGCCCTCATCACCCCATTGCCATCTCTCCTTTTCCATCCAAAATGCCCTCCTCCATAGCAGGAAAGCCCATCGGCCCCATCGGCATGGGCCTCATGGCCCTCACGCACCCAGGAAAACACCCACCCACCTCCTCTGCCGTCGCCACCATGAAAGCCGCTCTCACAGCCGGCTGCAACTTCTGGGACGGCGGCTGGTTCTACGGCACACCGACCTACAACAGCTGCCACCTCCTCGCCGCATACTTCACGCAGTACCCCAAAGACGCAGACAAAGTCGTCATCAGCATGAAAGCGTGCTTCGATATGGCCACTGCCACGGCGCAGAATGATGCGAAGGGAGTGAAGGAGAATATCGAGAAATGTCTCGCTGTTCTGGACGGAAAATGTAAGATCGACGTCTTCCAGCCCGCGAGATTGGATCCGGATGTCCCCGTTGAGGAGACTGTGTCCGCGATCGCGGAGTTTGTGAAGGAAGGGAATGTTGGTGGTGTCGGGTTGAGTGAGTGTAGTGCGGAGAGTGTGAGGCGGGGATCGAAGGTGTTTCCCATCGCGGCGGCGGAGATTGAGTTGAGTCTATTCTCTACGGATCCTCTTACGAATGGGATTTTGGAGGCTTGCGAGGAGTGCGAAGTTCCCCTTGTGGCGTATAGTCCGCTGGGGAAGGGGTTCCTAAGTGGTGCGTTTCGCAGCATTGAGGATATTCCCGAGAATGATTATCGACGAACGTTCTTCCCGCGGTTCGCAAAGGAAGCGTTTGAGGAGAATCTGAAGCTCGTCGATGAGGTGGGCAAAATTGCGGAGAAGAAGGGCGTTACAGTCGCACAGGTAGCGATTGCGTGGGTTAGGGGGTTGGGGAGGAGTGAGAAGGCGCCGGTAGTGCCGATTCCGAGTGTGAGTTCGATTGCGAGGGTGGACGAGAACTTGAAGGTGGTAGAGTTGAGCAAGGAGGAGAGGAGGGAGCTTGATGAGGTTTTGAAGAGGATTGAGGTTAAGGGGGCGAGGGCGCCGGGGAGGTTCGAGAAGTTCTTGGAGGTTTGAATGAGGAAGAGAGGGATGCAACAATGTGTACCGCACTTCAACTCTAAACGTAAACAAACACCAAACTCGACCAGACAAGTCAACCAGCGACCTTGTTTCCGTACCTCTCCAAACCACCATCGTATCCCACTTAAGCTCTGAACGACATTGCGGCCCTCTTCACGCTCTTATTGCTAGCGGCTCCGTACAGAGCTGGGCCAGGAATCTCGTAGCTGGCCAGGCTCTGGTAGATGTTGACGAGAATACCAGCGTCAGTGGATGTGTAGAGCTCAGTGCCGGTCTTGCAGGTGGCGGTGCCGTCGGCGCAGGGGCTGGCGGTGCCAGAGCCGGTGACTTCGACGTTGATGCCTAGTATACATATCAGTACGATGTTTTGGGGGACGTGCGAGCAATACTTACACTGAGGGTAGTTCTGAGTGCCGTCCTCAGTCCCAGCGGAGTGCAGGGCGATGATCTCGTGGCGGAGGACATATTTGCCGGGCTTGATGTCAGATGGGATGGTCAAGCTGCCGGTGTTGTTGTTGGCTGCGACATCTATCAGTACTACTTCATCCTCACCGCTTGATGATGCTCACCGATCAACGTATCAGTCGCCCACTTGCCAGGCGCAGTGCTCCCATCAATGAGACCCTCCTCGGCAATCTTGAACCACTGCAGATCACCCTTACTGACCGCACTGAACTGGCCATCGACAGCAGCAAGGTAGTTGATGACAGGACCATGGTGAGACTCTGGCCAAGTGTTCCAGGTCAAGTCAATGGTATCGCCCGCAGCGACCGGAACAGGAGCACCACCGACCGTAGCCTCCTTGTGGCAGGTGATGTCGCCATTGGCGTAGGTGCTGGGAGCGACGAAGCCGTTGTCCTGGTTCTTGGCGTACCAGCCGGCGGTGTCGGGCTTTGCGTTGTTGTAGACCCAGTTGGGGGAAGTGCCAGAGTAGTACGTGCCGCCGGAGGTGATGCCGTCGATGTAGCCGTGGGCGGAGACGAGAGGGATGGCGGAGAGGGCTGCCAGAGCCGCGATGTTGGCGATGGAAGGCATGGTTGCTTGTTGTTCGGAGAGGACGGTTTTGTTTTTCTTCAACGAATGTATGGACCTAGCCACGAAAAGAATGGAAGAGCCGATCGACGGCTGTGAACGAGAGACTGGGAAGAGTATGAAGTGCAGGTTGTTGCTGATAGGGAGTAGGAGAATGGGCTGTCGACGATGGCTATATACTTGCCTGTCGTTGACCAGACCGCTGGCGCAAAGGCGGCTGTCGTGCCATGTGTGTATCGTCTATACAACATGCGTGCACAACGGCGTCAACACAACCATGTCTGTGCTAGACGGACCGAGTTTCTCCATCAGATGTTGTCCAGCTCGACATTGGTCGCATATTGTAGATGCCATGTTCAATTCTTTTCGTGCTGTTTGGGCTGCGCTTTCATCTGTTGTATGTGAAGCCCATTTGGGTCGTGTTACCCATCATCTACGTGTATGCCGCATGCAGTACTACACGACAGCAATCACACCAGGCGTGTGGCCTCCTCGCCCGCACATTAACGTGAGGGATGTTGTCTTCTAGGCCAGACCCACCTGTATCATGGTGCTCGGCGCTGCGCATAACCGCCACCCCCAAGTCGACAGTTCGGTATGGCAATATATCGCCGACGATCCATACGGCCTACGGCTTGCCGATGCAGAAGGTTTTGGTTGCCAAGTAGAGGTGTAGCTTCGTGTAGATTGTCTCGCTTGCAAACGTCAACCTGAAACGTAGGTGAGGACAGAATCAGCTTGGCATTACTTCAAGCAACAATTCTCCGCCGTTCAGAATGTCATCACCACGTGCGTTGTCAGCGGCAGCACGTGTCAGGGGTACTTCTATCGTGTAGGACAGCGTGGTCCAAGAGTGTCGTACAATATGTCTCATCTTGGATGCTTGAGTCTGGGCAATCTTCCTCTCGTTCTCTCTACGGATGGTCAATTTGGAAGACTCGACTGACTGCATTTTTGGGGTATCTCAGCTGTGTCCAACCCGCCGTAACGCCTCGCTCAATAACATCATAACCAGAACCCCAGCTCATACTCTCGACGGAGAAAGAGGTCGGTTGAATCCTCCCGTTCTGTTCATGTACTGGCGGTACTCTGCCTTCTTGACCTTATAGACTGCAAAGTTCTTGTCGTTGCCGGGAACCTTGGTGTTCTTTGTGGTGCGGAAAGTCTTGAAGCCCATGATGCGGTTCATCTCAGCTTCCGAGTCTTCATCCTCTGGCACGTCCTGCATCTTGGCGTCTTGCATCTTGGAGTCTGCTTCTTGCCGTCCTTTTCCTCCCTGCTGCGCTTTTGGAGCTGCACCGTTCGGTCTGCCATCCGTCCTGTCGCCGGGTCGTCGCGGAGGCGGTCCACCTCGATTTGAGTCACGATCGCGCTGGTGATCGCGGCCTCTGTCGTTGCGTGAAGGTGGCCCGCCTCGGGTCGGAGGACCTCTCTGCGGCGAGCGTTCTCTTCTGCGGTCATCTCGGCGCTCGTTGCGTGGTGGTGATCTCGACCTGTCCTGCTCTTTGCGACTGTCAGTGTGTGCTGCCTCGAATCGCAAATTTTCCAGCATACCGTATTTTGGGCGGTGGTTCCGGTTGTCGTCCCTGGGAGGACGGCGATCGTCGCGCCGACCAGATCGCTCCATGTTGACTGCGACTTGTTGGAGAGAGTTGTGTTGTTGGTGGAGTGCCGCGTGCTCGTTCGCATATTCGAGGTTCAAGAAGTTCAACGCACGGACCACATAAATCACGTGATTGCGATCTTCCGTGCACACAACATCCAAGATTTTTGCAGGCCGTCAGTATTTGATGTCTAAAGCTCGAAATTGACAGGAGGAGAAGATAGATGTAGTTGCAATTGAAGATGTAGCTCTCCGTTCATATCTCGTCTTCTTCCTCATCAAAGTCATCCTCCTCGCCCATGTCGTACAGAATCCGTCCTCCCTCTCCGCCACCTTTCTGCGCATCGAAGTATGGCAGGACGACCCCTTCTCTATCACGTCTCTGCTTGTCGGTAAGACCAAGCTCAAATGTCGTTCCAGCTTCTCCATCGCCTTCCTGAGCACCAGCGGTCGACTCTTCCGGCGATCGGTATTGAGGATGGTCTTCGAGTAACGTAACAATCTCTCTCGCCCTGCCAACCGATGGCGTGGCTTTCAGAACATCATCTCGTATGGGCAAGAAATACCACTCCCGCACACCCCTTCCACTCTTCCTCCGATGCTCCATCTCCAGCACCAGGCCATCAGACCCGTTCGCACCCAGGCCTTGCAAGACGCCTTCAACGCCTTCTTCCAGACCAAACGATGGTTCTGCAAAGCTCCTGTCCCGTGCTGCTTTCCTTGCCAGGACGTGATGTATGGAATGAGTCGTGAAGATCGTCGTAGCCAAGTATCTCAGCAGAGTCAGAGCTGAAGGTGAGTATGCGTCTCGACCTCCAGGACCGGACGTTGCTATGGGGACATCGGTATGGTAAAGTGCGAGCAGAGACGTAGTTGGAGTGATGAAGGCTGATAGCAGACCCGGAAGATTTGAGCTTTGTGTAGCGGCCAGAGTGTTGAGACTGTCGAAGACCAAGAGCTTTTCTGCAGAGTCATATTAGCCCATTGCCAAACCTCGTACGATGAACGTTTGAAGACTTCTTCCCTCCAGACTCACTCTGACTTTGGTCGACTTTCAAACAATCCACCACGGCCTTCTGCCAAGCCTGCAAACTCTGTTTCCAGGCCTCGACAAAGACATCAACATCCCGCGGCTTGCGCAGTGTCTCAAACGAGACAAAGACGACTTGTACTTTGGAAGTCTAAGAAGCCAAGATCAGGATTCGTTCTTTATCGTAAAGTCTTTGGGCTCCGTCCTGCAAGATAGGCTTACATTTGCTCGCTTCACGTACTCGGCCAACAGCGGTTTTCCCGACTGCTCGAGGCTATCGAATATCAGGGTGAACGGTGACGATGCATCGCGTTGGTTCAGCAATTTTGAGATGAGTAGCAAGTTGTGGGTTCGTCGATGTTGGAGTGAAGGTGTTGGAGCCATGATGGCTGTTGGAAAGTGCGGAGGTGGGAAGCTTGGAAAGAAATTGTTCTCTCTCAAACATTTTTTCACGAGACTGCTTGATACAACGACTTTCACATGTGAAGTCAAAGGCATTTCTCATTTGCGTGAGTCTACAGACAATTGGACCTTCTGTATCAATCTGGTCCAAAAGACTGCTCTGACCTTGCTCTCATCGAAGAACTCGGTGCTTGCCACCGGCCAGCTCTTACAAGTCCTGAATCGTTGCCTCTGCACCTGGTCTTGCCATATTCAAGCCTCTGAGGCAGTGTCATCATCTGAATCCGCGATGACTCTCTTCGCGGTGACCCTCTGTCCCATGGTCAAGTACGACTTCGGCTTCACCTCGATCTCCTCTCCCTCGGAATCCTCTTCGTCCTCAGATGCCGCACCGTTCGTCGCCACACCGTTCGTGTCATTCTTCACATCATTGCCTTCGCCGTCTTCATCCTCACCATCATCGCCCCAGTCCGCCTCCCTCTGATAGGCCTTGAAATCATCCCATTTGCCGTCTTGCCGATCCTGCTCCACTTGCATGGCCTGCTCACGCCATGACTGGACTTCCCTTCCGTCGATCAGATCCTGTTGCCACGTGCGAATGGCATCCTCGATGTACTGCTTGTACTGCGTCTTGAGAGGATGGACGTCCACGTTGTGGGCGGGCTCTCCTTCTGTCGGCTGTGGCAAGAAATTGTAGAGATTTTGCCTGACCTCTCGCGGCAGACTCTCCCATGCATCTTCTTGACGGAGTATTCGCTGTACAATTAGGATCCCTGTGCGCGAATTCAGCGACTTGGAGTACTTACGAGGAGGTCTGCTTTGGCGATCTTCGAGTTTGGCTGCGTGAGCCATCGCTTCTGAGTCGACGCCGCCATGGTTGACTGTGACGGATCTGATGGAGAGTCCAGCTCTGACAGCGTAGACTCATCCTCCGGCGTGATGTTTGCTTGATCCGATGCAGTCGTCCGTGGCAGGGGCGGTGTCACCGTCGTCCCCGGCTCCTGGCTCGGCTGCACGCCGCCCATGATGAAAGGAATGTGTTGACCTACCGTTACCGCTTGAGGGCGAAACTGCAGAGTATTTCCACGCCGCAGTCGCTCGCAGGGCGACGGTTGGAGTTCTGTCGCGGTGTTGTTGTAGTCGAGAAGCTGGTGGTGAAATGGCAGGGTGGAGATCGCCGCCCCCAAACTCCGGCTCGTGCAGGGCAGGCTCCATCCTAAATTCAACGACACCTGGCTGCCACCGTGTTACCATTGCCAGACAACACCTTGACAGTTCATTGCTGCTCTCTTTGACATCTTCTTGCTGTCATCGAGCACCGCAGTCATGATCTACACCACCCAGATCGTGCGCCTGGACGGTAAGCCGATCGCAGCACAGACCTCCGCGACCTGCACTTACCCGTGACAATGCAGGCCTGACACTGGTCGCCAGCGTCGACGACCAGCAGATGCAAGACCTCGCAGAGCTCAAATCGCAGATCAGAGCCGTCATCAAGAAGCTGACGGCCTCGTCGGAGCCGCGAGCGTCGATAGAGAGCACCGCGCATACCATCCAGTCCGCACCTCCCCCACCCCCAAGAGACCGCAGAGCGACGAGACTGACACGAGGGCAGCTACGTTCTGAACGACAATGTCGCCTATCTCGCCATCACCGAACGCAGCTACCCCAAGAAACTCGCCCTGACCTACCTCAAAGACGTCCGAGCCGAGTTCCAGACCTCGTACAAGCGCGAAGACTACCTCGATCCCCAGCTCCGACCGTACGCATACTCCGAATTCGACCGCTTTATCGAACGAACGAAGAAGACGTATCAAGATTCAAGAGCAACGGACAATCTAAGCCGGCTGAACGATGAGCTCAAAGATGTCACGCAAGTCATGACAAAGAATATCGAGGACTTGCTGTACCGAGGGGACTCCCTCGAGAAGATGGGTGCGTATACATGAGGACAATGAAGGAGAGATGTATGAGGTATGAAAGCCTGCTAACATACCGTGCGTAGGTGACATGTCCTCCAGACTGCGAGAGGACTCCGCCAAGTACAAGCGTGCCGCTGTCCGGATCAATTGGGAATTGCTGTTGAAGCAGTACGGCCCATTCGGTGCCCTGGGACTGGTAATCCTGATCCTTCTGGTCTGGCGATTTTGGTGATTCTTGCGTCCCATAGAGGGTCTCTTTGGTCTCCTTGAAGGCATAGCGCGGCGTCCTGGATGAAGAGGGAAAGGCATGGCATGTTGAAAACAGTACTCGTATGATACCCACGAGAGCCTTGAGGTTCTCCTTTCTTTTGAAATTGAAAAGCAGATTATACCTCTCAACCGCTCTCAGCGGGTTTCGTATCTCTTCTCCAAATCATCGTCCTTGGACCGACAGTACTCAGCGTTGAGAATTGGTACTGACGGAAAGAGAGCTCGAGGCAAATCTTCGCGTATCTCTCAGATCCTGAAACAGAGAATACATGGCGAAGAAGAGATATATCGACACAGCGGAAGGACCAAAGGGAAGGAACATCAAGATTGAAGGAAATACAGAAAGAGAGCTTGAAGCACAAACTCTTGGGAAGCATGCTGGACCCGTTGCATCTGGACATGCGATTGCGTTGAACGACTCCTTGTCGTTCCTGTTCGTGTCACTGTGCTGCCATTCGCCTTTTAGCACACGAGATATATCGAAGGAAAGGGCATGAGGGAAGACAGCATCAAAGAAGATCATCACAGCTTGCTGGCCTTGCTAGGGCTGATCTTGATGAGTTTGAAGACTTTCAACAATTACAAAGTCTCCCAATTCTCCGCATGCCACCTTACAGGTGCCAGCACGTGGAGCATCCCGAGGCGCAGAAGACGGGAGGAAATCATTGTCGAGATGGAAGCAAGCTCAGCCATGAAGAAGAGCTGACCGCTTTTGCTGGTTATCATTCAGTGTCGGGAGAAACTCAGCGGGCAATTATGCTCTTTGCGATACGACGTGGCACTACGCAATCGTCAGCATGCCGAATGGCTCTGGACAGGGGATATCAAACGGAGAGAAGAAGCGAAAGGCACCACATTACCATGTCACCTGCCATCGTGGCACTCACTCGCGCTATACGCCTTCCTAAGGAATACCAGCGGGATTTGGTGTACTCTTCATCCGCCTTTCTCCGGTGCGTTGCTGGATACAAGGCACGAACGAGGTACCCCTCCCTCTCCGGGCTGGGGTAGATGACGCGAGAGATGTTTGCCCTCCCAGCCTGGATCTTTGGGCTGGTGCTGCGCCGAAAACAACGGTACACGCAGCTCTGCAACGCCAGCGTGGGAGGAGGTTTTGGGAGAGATGTTTGCTTGTCAATCCTTGCCATCTCCCCTTTGTTGGAGGTGTCCATACTGGCCATGCTTTTTTGCAGAGGCTCTCAGATGGCTGGAGGTCGTGATCTTGCCGTTTGTGGTATGAGCTCTGCTGTCCCTTGCGGCGGCCTCTGCGGCGGAAGCGTTGGATGCGCTCTTGATGCGTATGCTCTTTCAGCTCTCCTGGCGCTGCTCTTCTTCTACCCTGTCCTCCTCTTGTGTAGATGCCACTGCTGCTACTGCCTCGTTCTCCGCTGCGGCATACGATGAGGTGCTGCTGTGTGGACGGCCGACCGTGTTCTGGCTCGAGGAGGCGGCGGGTCAGCGCTCACGATGCGGCAACCTCTGGCGTTCTCGATGAGAAGCGGCTCGCATTGGGAATCGATTGATGCTGTTCTGCTCGGTGGCTCGCCGTGGACGGTGGAGCTGCTGGTGGAGGTGTTCGTCGAGGCCGCGGAGATGGAGGCAATGCGCCCGTCGCTCTCGCTGCTGCCGTGTCGCAATACCTCAGCGCATCGGCATAGAGAGCTTGAGGTGATGTTGAGGATGGTTTCAGTGCTCATCTAAGTCGCCTTGACCGATTGTTGAGGACCGCAACGTCTTTGTGGTGTTCTGCGCAATCCCAAGCCAGCTCGTCCAGCAAACCGTCGGGGGACTGGACAAAGTGGATTTCCTTCGGATCGATACAACTCCTCAACCACCACTCATAAGGTGTTCGAAAGTGGAACGATATCCATCTCTATGACTGTCTCAAACACCTCAATCGACTTTGCGAAATTAATCTCGCATGTGTGGCGCTGAACACATTTTTGAGGCAAAATCCCCTGAGCGGCGGCCGTAAAGCTTCGGTCTCCCAACCACCCTCGCCGGGCTACAACACCACAACCACGGCCTATCTGATGTCGATTTTGGTGTCGCGATTGCTCTTTAGGACTGTCTCAACAAGCGCATCTAATTATCTCATCATGATATCGCTGTCGTAGCGCTGCGCGGCTCGTGAGGGCAAAAAGTCTCCCCCGAACGCCCGAGCACTTGCGGCTGTTCACCCTCCTTCAGACCCATGAAACACAACAACAACATGCCTTGAGATGCTCAAAAAGGTGTTGATAACCATCTCTGGTGTGTTATCATCCTCCCTCGTCAATGCCATCCAAAAGGAATCGTTGTTGTGGTGGATATCGCTGCTCTCAGGTCAATGCAACTCCTCGCGCTCTCGCCCTCCCGCACACCCCTCCGCACTACATCATCGCCGTCAAGCGCGCTACCACACGGCCAAGTCAACGAAATCCGCTCGGATTAACCTTCATAGGAACTTTGAGATTCCTTGTCAACTGCCAATGAGAGTGGTGGGCTCCGGCACATCACTCTCATTGGCATAGATAGCGTAGATAGCGTAGATAGTTGCTTTCTTGCCTGCTTCGCCGTCCGCTTCGCGGGCAAACGACGTTTAATACAGAACAAACGCTAACCATGTGTACAGGTTCATTGCGAACCAGCAAACACAGAAAAAACCTCAGAGCTATATCGGCCTTCGGGCCTGAATTAGCGCATGATGAGAAGTTTCTTGAGTCACCATCGAGGTGGCTGAAGTTTTACCGTTTTTTTTTGCCCGTTAGACTTCGTATCTTCTCCCTGTGAGACGCTACTAGGGATATGCATCACCAGGAGTGAAAGTATTCTTTTGCTATGACGAAGGTGAGGAGGTGATACCAGCCAGCCGTTTCCGCGCAGCAGCATCAAAGGTAGGTGGAAGATAGGGAGTGTTTTCTTTTGTCCGAGACTGGAGTGAGAGAGCCCAGCTCTGCAATATTTGCGACTTGTAGCGTGCTCGCCGTGAAGCCGTAAGTTGTTATCTTTCTTCTAGACCTCTCCGCTTCTCAACAGCCCTCCATCCCACCATCCCCCTCTCCGACCACGCCACCACAACCGACTACATTCGCATAGACAGACAACGAAGGAGAGGGAGATGGAGTCAATCGACGGGGCTGTCGGGGCAGTGCGTCCGCTGTTCTCGCTCCACGCCGGCGCGGTCGCAGGCCTCGCTGTCCTGAGTTACTTCATCTTGGGATCTAGGCCACAACAACCAGTCTAACGATTTCACAGGCATTCTGCGCTTTGGGGCTCAAGGAGGCAGCCAGATATGAGGAGGACTAAGGTAAGAAGAGCATTGCTCACATCTACGACAGCGGGATCTACGACAGCGACTTCAGCACACTCTCCCGCTTCGTCACCATCTCTTCCCACTCCGCGTCCGCCTCGCTCAAGGCCGTGATCGCGCCGCCAGCGCCGACTCGCCAGGAATCGCCATCGTCATCCCACTTGAACGCGGTGCGGATCACCACCGAGAAGTCACCACCACCTCCCACGTCAAAGAAGCCGACCACACCGCTGTACAGCCCACGCGGCTTACCACCCTCGATCTCCTTCAAGATCTCACACGAGCGCTTCTTTGGCGCGCCAGTCATCGAGCCAGGCGGCAGAGAAGCAGCAAGAGCGGCTATGGGCGAAGCAGGGGCTTGCACATCACCCTCGATGACGGACGTGAGCTGGAAGACGGTCTCGTACTCCTCCACGGTCATCAGCTTCGGCACGCGAACCGCATCGACACCAGGCACACCGGCCAGATCGTGTCGAATAAGATCCACGATCATCAGATTCTCAGCGCGCTCCTTCGCGGACCCCAACACCTCCTCTGCCTTTGCTCGCGTGATGCCAGGCCCCTTTTTGACGGTGCCTTTGATAGGTCTGAACTGACACGTCCCAGATCGAGACCACGACAGGAACCGCTCAGGACTGCTGCCAGCGACAGACAGTCCAGCACCATAACCACCTTCCAGACGAAGGTAAGCTCCGAAAGGCGCTGGATTGCGACTGCGCAGCTGACGGTAGATTGACCAGGCATCCGCTTGGATCTTGAGAGTCGACTGATCGGTCAAGCATAGCTCGTACGATTCACCAGCTCGCAACTCGGCCTGGCACCTGCGCACCTTCGAACAGTACTCCTCCACCTCAGGGCCATCCACCAACTCCGCCGACACCTTGACCTTCGACACACCACTGCCTTCCTCCTCTCCACATCGCGTAATCGCGGACTTGACAGACTCCATCCACTCCTCATCATCACCTCTCAAAGACTGGACGTACACTACGCCATCCACATGATCCAGCACAGCACTCCTCTCTACAAAGACAAACCACAAATCCGGGCGATTCGACCCATCCACAGACGGCGGAACGTCTATAGACTCCAGCCCAGCTTCATAAGAGATGAAACCAACAAGGCCACCCCAGAACGGTGAGCCAACAGGCCCATTGGAGGCTTTACGACTCCGCATGCAGTCGTCGATGAAGGAAAAGGTTTGGCGAACATCAGCCTGCTTTTCAACAGATACAACACCGCCCTCCACCATTTGCAGAGAATGTCGAGCCGTGGAATACCGAATATGCATCGATGAAGCCTCTGGAAGGGCGATGATGCTGAAGCGACCTGTCTCAGGATTGACAGGTTTTCCATTGCGTGATCCAGACTCCAGGATGAGAGGTTCTTCAGGCACAATGCCTTCTTTCAGCACCTCCACCAGATCGGCCACATCCGGCAATTTCACACCTTCAACAGTCGACCAGAGAACGTTCCGCCTAGGGGAGTCGGCGGCCTCCATGGCAGGCGATATCTTCACATCTTCCGTTGGCGTGTCGATTCGATTGTCAATCTCGGTGCCAGATACTCGACCTTGCATCGAACTCCACTTCATCACCTCCTCCCACCACCGTGAGATCAGTCTTTGGCCCTCCTTGTTCGTGCAGATGGACTCTGGATGGTATTGGACACCCCATAATGGCTTCTTGGCATGCTGCACACCCATCAAGATCGGACCATTCTTCACGCTCATCAAGTCCCAAGCCAGCGGCACCAATTCAGGGCACGTTTCACTTGGTTTCCAAAGCTCAGTTGGCTCCCAAACTTCGCCTTCACCTTTCTCCAGTTGGACATGCAGAGAATGGTACTGCGTCGCGATGACTTTTCCAGCTCCAGAAAAGACGCTCTTGTTGCGGTGCGTCACCATGGCCATGATGCCGTGTCGCGGTTCACGCAATCTCGCCACATGGCCGCCAAAAGCTGCGCAGAGACTCTGAAAACCAAGGCAAATCCCCAGTACTGGAAGTACATGCTCATCAGGCAAGTCCCACAACTTTCCTATCAACCCCACATCTTCGGCATTCGCAGGGTGTCCAGGTCCAGGACCGGCAACGACAGCGTGAAATCCATCGAGGTAAGTGAAGAATGCTTCGTCGTTGAGGACGAAGCGAGGATCATCGATCCTGATACTTTCAACGGTGACAGACAGCTCAGCCCGCAGTAGGGCGATGATGGAGTTGGAGAATGAGTCGTAAGCGTCGATGAAGAGAATCCTTTGTCGCTGCATGTAGCTCGGAAGAAGCGAAGGTCGGAGGGTTTCCGAGGCGAACTACTCTCCACAGGCCATTCAGTAAGACTGCCTTCCAGTACGATCCAGTCTTACATGCGGAAAGTGAAGTGAAAGTAATGAGTGACTTTCTGATCGAAGAGGTGAGGTCTGGACGAGAAAATGTTTTGGTGAAACTCCGGCGCCGGCGATCAGACAAAGACAAAGACAAAGACAAAGGCCCACTTTTCTCTGGACTCAGGGCTCCGAACGCTTCCTTCGGGAGATCCCTCATCAGCTCAACCTCACCCGCCAAACCACCACCACCAGCGTCCTCACTCCCTCAATAAACCTTATCTCTCGACGTTTCTTCTTCGCGATGACAACCATAAGCTGATGATGATGATAGCGACCAAGAGCCCGCCCAGCCGGAGGACGCAGGAGAGGAAATGGCATCATCACATGATTACTGCTGCCCTGGTCGCGAGCTACGTCTTCGTGCATTCCCGATCCCTCCCTCTTGCTCACCCAATAGCTGAGCCTTAACCGTCACATGGGACGTGAGAAGCTTTGATAAGACGCTCGTCATGGGATCCGTTTTGTACCTCTTGGTGGGTGGAGGGGAGCACTATTAATACATCTCAACTTCCTCTCTGCTCTTCCGGATTCTTCTGACCTCACTTTCGTATACCCAACAGTTCTGTGTATCGTGAAAGAACGGTCTTTTCTTCGCACAGCTCTCTATCCATATCCAGCGACATGTCTGACCTCAAGGCCGCCGAGGCGATTGCCTCCCAAGGAGGTACAAGATACCTCAATCTCACCTTCTCAACCAACCCACATCTCTGACAACAGCACCATCAGGTCCGCCAGAGACATCTCCAGCAAACAATGTTCCAGTTCAACAAGACCCAGCAGAAGCACACGCTCAAGCCGAAGGTTCCGCTGTCCGTTCCCACATCTCTGACCTCACCTACTAACACATCTTCCTCTCAGGCGGTGCAGCCCCAGCCCCAGCTGCCGCCGAGCGCGCCGCCCCCGTCGAAGCGAACAAGATGGAGAACAAGCTCGAAGTGAACAAGGAGAACAAGCCCAAAACCGAGAAAGCCACCGACGTCGCGGGTCGCAAGGAGAAGGGCACCCCAGGCGGCTTCTTCAAGAAGCTCATGCCGTGGAAGAAGGAGAAGAAGACGGAGGCGCCAGCTGCTACGACCTAAAGAAATGGGTGATGCTGGATGACGAGGATGATAATGTTCAAAGTTGATACCCTTTGGTGCGCTATTCGTGATTATTGAAGATGATGAATATCAAATACCCTCTTGCTGCGTTGAGTGTTTGTGGATGGAGGAAGTGGATGGAAATAATGTATATCTTGGTATATGAGTGTTCGTTGTGCTTGACGCTGTTTTTACTCATATTTCCGTTCGGCCGTTGCGGTGCAATACGTTCGACTGTAATGGCTAATAGCTGAAATAGGTTTGTCTAAGCGTGAGGTGCCAACGCAAGGAAGGGAGATGGCTTCTTGACGAATATCAATTCATCAGCCTCCAGTATCGTCTCTCCCGCCAGAGCTCAAGCCAGGATCTAAAGTCGAGTCTGCAGGATAACCATATTCATCCACGATACAGACTTCATCTTGCCATTCTTCTTCGGCATCTCCAAGACGTGTCAGGTCCTCGTCCTTTCCCGTCTCCGCCTCCTCCTTACTTTTCATCCGCTCATAAATCATCCGCGGCAGCCCATTCTTCAAAGGCGGAAGGCCGTCACTCGAAGCTATATCCTCCCACGGCGTCAGAATCGGATCCAATCCCAGAAACGTCGTTATAGCCTGACATCGCCACCTCGCATGCACCATCACGAAGCCTGGAAGTTCCAACCCCATCTTCTCCTCGCCGCCTTTCAACGCCACCATCCGTCTGAGCGCCGGGGCGTGGATCCTCTTGGTTGTTTCAGCGTCCACAACGGCCTCGTACGCCGTCATCGTCAGCACGCTCATGATGGTCATGCTGCTGAGCATGCGCTTGGGGTCGGACAGGGCGATGTTGAGTTCTCGAATCGCTTGCGTCCGCAGCCAGGTGACGTGGAATCGGTTGCGGCGGCCTACCGGCAGAGCAAAGAAGACGGCGGTTGACGTGAACAGGTAGAACATTGTTGGGTCTTGCATGGCCTCGAATCGCATCCTAGAGTCATAGGTTGATCAACGAGAGCGTCGTGTCTTGGAAACAGTCATGACATACCAGTCTATGAAGCAATCAATTTCGAAGCCCAGTCTACCGGTAAGGCCGGTCTTGTGCCAGAATTCACGGTATGCGATGTTGAAGCCTGGTGCGGAAGGTACCATATTGTTAGCCAAGATCGTCCCTTTTTCCAACGTCCTGCCGTCGTTAGGTTTCCTCTAGACCTACTTACTATGCCGCAAAATAGCATCTATCCAAGGAATGAATGGGACATTCGGAGGTCTGGCGTACATCCGATGTAGGGATGGTCTCAGAGGCATATATTCCGCTTCGGCTTCCTGTCTTCTGCTGTCCTTCACTCGACTGGCAGACTTACTGCCTCCTCTACCAGGCCTGGCAGCTTTGCCTCTTCCCTGGCCGGGCGTTCGTCTTCGCGATCCAGGGGGCCATGAGACCGTCACTTCGATGCACAGCTCTTCCTGCTCTCTTCGGAGTTTGGCGGCTTGGTGGGAGTGGAAGGCTGCCTGGGACTTGATCTTGAAGCGTGCTGATTGGACGCTATCGGTTGTGTTCTTGTCGTTCCAATCGATGAACGTAAACCTCGTCTCGTCAGGCATGTCGTGTGCTCTAGGTCATAGATATGTATGTGTCAGCAATCGGACAGGTCGCAGTAAGGCGTAGAAATGGCGGTGCACATCATCGGATGTGCGGAAACACGTCCAGGGCCTTGTGATGCTAGTTTGAGTAGAGGTGGGCAGTGTTAGAGTGGTTCCTGAGGCCATTCGAAAGTGTGAACGAGTACGAGAAGTCCAATACCATTCGCGAAGGCTGACACATGGTGTTACAATGCAGAAAGGTTTATAAGGAGAAATTGTTGGGCATGAAAAGTCTAGTATGAATCGGATGCAACGACATCCCAAGGTTTCTCTCAGGGGACCACCTACTCAGGCGGACCAGTAAAACAAACCCCCAACTCCTTCGCCCCTGGCACTCGGTGGGAGTGGTGTTCAAGGAACTGTCTTGGCTCGCCGACTGCGATAGCCTTGCTAGGACTTCAACCCCTTGCCGACGCTGAAAGTATCATTCTCTTGACAACGTGACAACACAGAAACAGGCTCCTCGGACTCAGTCATCAAGAAGACTATCTCGTCTTCCCTCCAACAGGCTCCCCTTCAGATCTTCCGAGACCGCCGCTCTGATCATAGGCATGAGATCTCCACCATCCGGTCCAGACCATGAGAAGATTGGTTCAGACACACCGCACAACTTCGTCACTTCTCGAGCATACCATACACTCAAGGCCACGATGCATGCCGGTAGTTCCTCCACGAACTTCTTTTCGCCCTTCAATGCCAGCATCCGACGTAAGCCTGGGACGTGAACATCGCGGGCGACGCGAAAATCGCCGCAGAAGGCATAGTAACTTGCACAGAGTATGATGGCGAAGATCGTCAGGCTACTGAGCCTCCTACTCGGGTCGTTCAGAGAGAGGTTGATCTGTGTGCAGCAATGATTCTCCAACCAGAGGTGCTTCTGCATTGAGTCGGAGTCCATCGGTAGGGAGAAGAAAGCTGAGGCGCAGGCTTCGACGCAGAAGATGGCTGGGTCGTTCATGGCGATGTAGCGGATCCTATTACCGTTTATCGCATGTCATGATCGTTGGATGATGTGCGTACGCACCAATTGCTAATCTTGTCAACGCTGATTCCCAGCCGATGCTCCAGGTCAAAGTCCCTCCAGCTCCGTGGCCGCTTCACGTTGAGCCCTTTGAAAATGTCAGAAGATGCGCTCTCCGATATGGCCTTCGCCCAAAGTACGGCTACTCTCACACTGATGCAGCGCAACATCGATCCAAGGCTGGTCTTTGAGAAACGACGGCTGAACATATGGGCTCAGCAGGCTCTCGATATCGCGAAGCGCCCTCTGTCTTGCCCGACGGATGAGTTTTGTTCGCTTTTGACGCTTGCTCTGCCGAGCACCAGTTTGCAACGCTTTGTGTACCCGTGAAAGGGCTGGGAATTGAGATTCGCGCGACGTCGCGAGCTGTCCCGGGTGATTAGTCTTGGGCCGGGTGATGAGCTCTCGAGCCTGTGAATTGTCAACACGTTCGATCAATTCAAGCGGCACGAAGCAAGTCGGTGGTGGTTGCAGGGTGGGTAGAATAGAAGAGATATCTCCTTGCCAATCTTCCGACAGCATCATACCGGACATGTTTCTCACACAGTGAGGTGTCACGTCGGGAGTCAGAAGGATGGAGATGGTTTCACTGCGACCTTTAGATTCTGCAATGCCTGCGCATGTTGCTTACTGTTGGTAAAGCCAGGATTGCGTTATGCGTCTTCCTTGTCCACTTTGAGACCGACCGGCATTCTCCACTCCACTCCGCTGTTTAAACAGATTTAGAATGACATTCTCAAGCACCGGGAACACCCAGCGCCTTGACAACCTCGTCATCCTTGCCCTCGAGCCACAAATTCATGCCTTTCAACAAATCCCAGAATCCCTGATTATCAAAAGCGGGCAGGTCGTACAACATATTGTGGCCCAGTTTCTCCTGTGCCGCTCCAAGCCAGCGGTAACCTTCTGGGAACTTGTTCAAGACGGATTGGTCCCAGTCAGGGAGGGGCTTGCCGTCGAGTGGGATGACCTTGTCCTTCTCGTAGAACAGCTTGACGTACTGGAGCTTCCATTCCGGCTGTCCGGTCTGCGCATTGTCAGACTTTCCCTCGTACATAGTATTGACAGCAGTGGAGGTACGACAAACCTTCGAGGTGCCTTTGCGGCAGAAGAAGATGAAGCGGCAGTCACACTCGACATCGCAAGCACCCTCCTTCTCAAAGAAGAACCGCTGCGTGATTGTGGCCTTCATCTTTCCACATGCTCGCCCATTCTTGGGGTTCAATTCGACGAGCGTGCCGTTCTCTCGGTGCATGATAAAGTCTCCAGCTTCACGACCCTTGATGGAGATCTGGATGAAGTCGTCGATATCAACGCCGCCGCCCCAAGCTAACGAACGATCAGCGAAGGGTTGTGAGCTGGGTAGAGTGGAGGATTACTAGTCCAGAGATAAGAGCCCTTGTCAGCCCAGGCATCGCGATAGTTTTGCCATTCAGAGGCATCACGATAGACTGGCCAGGCACGGCAAAGCTCAGAGACGGCGAATCGGTCGAGAATCTCTTCCGGTGTACCATTGATGTGGGAGTCTTCCGAGCGTCAGTCGATTGCATCAAAAGCCTCCGTGTACATACATCTGGTTGGCCAGGTCTCCTTGGCCGTGATGTTGTACTTGTTCGCCATGCTCCCAGATGCACAAAACGTCCTTTTGAAAGTTGGTGCTCGGAGTGTTCTTCGTATAATAAGTCTCTGCATCTTTTCCAACGTTTTCCAAGAAGAAGGTGGGAGACGTTTTGTAGTGCTTGCCCAAGCTCTTGTGGCCTGAGGCATGGAGAGACTTTGTGCTGTAGTAAGCGCATGACAGAATCCGCTTTGGTAATGGACCAGCTCTTCCATACACGTCTCAATAAGCCGAGTAGCCGTCGAGGGAATACCAGTCAATCACGAATCTTTTGGCTCTAAACTGACAGAAGTAGGGAAGTAACATGACGCCAGACCGGGCTAAACGTGTTCGATTCAGTAATATGGGTATCTGCAGAATCATAGTGATTGTACGCTGCATAGAAATGTACGTTGCTTTGAAGTGCTGAAACGCACCTTGTCATCGAAGTTGGTATGCCATTCGAAACTCCAAAACTTCAGGCAGCCATTGATTGAGATGACGCGGTCGCAAGCCATGGTTGTAAGACCTCCAGCTCTTCCTCCCCAAGAACACGCCCGCTGGGCCTTCGCTGTTCCCAATCCTCTTGCGGGACGGCTATACCGGGCATGCCAAGGACGCCAGTCATGGAGAGGGTGCGCAACATCGAGACTGAATCAGTCATGGACCATCGCGGCGAAGACGGTGCGAAGACGGCAGGAACTTGCATGTTGGTGGTGAATGCTTGCTGGGGTTCGCTGGGAAGTGGCAATGTCGTAGTGTTGAGCTCGTAGCCCACCAAGCCTTCCATCTTCGACATGAGAGGCTTCAAGTAACGCGACTCTTTGCCTCGCATGCTGGATAGCTTGTTGAGGAGAATGTTGAGATACTGCTTGCCTTCGAGGAAAGTCGCCGAGTTATCGCCAGCCGTGCATTTGAGAACATCCGCGAGACAGCCCGCAATGTCGGAAAGCTTCTGCTCCTGCGAGACGTCAGTATGGATATGCAGCAAGCTGGTGGCGTGTAACTCACCATTCCAATGCCGTGACTATCCAGTGCAAGCGGACTCGCCTTGGTTGTGATCTCAACCACCTTCCTTGCCAGTTCCACAGGATAGTCCAGCCTCAGGTTAGCTTCGCCCTGGCCCCATATCAAACCATTCGAAACGCCCATCTGCCAAGCGAGCACATGTAACCATTCTCGGGTGACACTTATGTCAAGATGTTGTGTTTCGGTGAGTTCTCCCAAACCGACTGCATGCGCCGTGGCATCGAGTTGCTTCTGCGTTTTGGCCAGCCACGCCTCGTCACACAGACTGGCCCTTCTGGAACCACGCCAGGCACTGACAAAAGATTCGTCCACGGCGCTGAACAAGTTTGCCAGGTTGACAAATCCGTTCAAAAGCTGTGGATCCTCACTCTCAAACACTGATGGTAACGTCACGGATGCGTGCAGTCTCGTGTGTTTTCGTCTTTGCACCGCATAAGCGCGCTCAGTGATGAACAGCAACCAGTAGAGCCGCCTTCGCCACTGCATCTCCACTCGATCCAGCTTGTCGTACGACGCTTCGTCGTCCATGTTGAGGTTCTCGGAAAATGTGATGCTTTCCTGGAGATAGTGCCAAGCCTGGAGGTGTCGCTCGTGGTTGCCATAATAGGCGAAGAGAAAGAACGAAGTCATGATGCTCAGCGTCGACATACTCTCGACATAGTCGTAGGTCCTCCGTTCACGCATACACTCTTCGGCAAAGAGATGGTCTGCTCGCTTGGTTGGATGTGGGGAGGGAGGCTGTGGGATCGACTCATCCAGTTGAACGACGGTCGCTGCACATAATGCGCATAGGAAGCAATACAGGTCGGAGCTCATGCGGTGTGGGTTTGCGTACAGGCTGGGATCCATATAGATGTTGCGATCGATGATTGGCATGATGGCAAACATGTGGTTGAAGAACAGGTGGATGTAAGGCAAGAAGTCTCCCACAAGTGCTCTATGACTGTAGCCGTCCGTGGAAGTAGGCGAGGCCACACGAGGTATCCCTTCACTGTGAGTGGACACAGATCCCGGTGCTGATGACCAGCTATACTGCGGCTGTGGCTCGCGCTTGAATATAGGTGGTTGTTGGTGTGGAAGTGGAGGCTGTGGCATCGAAGTCGGCATTTGCTGGTAGTATGGCTGTTGATCCGGCGCAACACTGGTCTGGGCAACATATATTGTCTCGGGCGACTGGGACGCGCTGCCATACTGCGCGCCATTCGAACCCCATTGCCAGTTTCCAAACGGTCCTTGTCCACCTGGGCTGGTCGGGTTTGCAGGGCTTCCAGACGCCGTGTCGTCTATCTTTCGCAACGCGTGCAGGACCCTGGCACTTCGCAGTCCTTTCGGGCCTTTCTTGAGGGCTGGTTGGAGGTATGCGCATCGTATTGAAGCCTTCTTGCAAGGGTTGCAGGGCTCTTCACCATCACACTTCACCTTCCTCTTCCTGCAGCAATCTACCCATCTTAGCCGTGATCAAGCGGGCGCTGTCCTTGGCACTTACCACAGGCCCGTCGCAACTGCTTCGTCGATGTATTGGCATTCTCCGAGCTCTTGCTGACTCCACCCGAGCCCTGTGGCCTCGCTGGCGCTGCCTGCCCGTCAATGGCCATGTCTGAGCCGGAGAAGAACCGTGTCTCAGCCGCGAGCTGTGGTATTCGGGCCTTCTTTGACTGCGTTCAAGGCCGTCCCATTGCTGGTCGTCGAGGAGTCGGATTACATTGGTGTGGGTGGTGATTCGCGGGGATTATCGAAAAGGTGCAAGCCGCACGTGTGTCCCTCGTGCGGTAGAGTTGGACGGGCGTGGTTGGGAACTTGGGAGCAGTGGTGGGCAACGTCCAGGATGAGGGCCATTAGCTTCCGCAAAAGGTGGGGAAAGTCTCTCCACGTTTCGTCGTGACGCCACCACGCACATCGCACCGAGCCGCCTCGCCTTGGCTTTGAGATTGAGTTGGCAGATCTTCGACCCAACATCATCTGTCGGAGCTCGCCAGGAAGTCGAGGCATGCTTGGTGTTGTGAACAAGTCCACCTGTGGAGTGATGGTCGTCCTAGCATACCAAGTGCTGCCTCGAAGAAGGGTTGTTGTCGAAACGCCCGGATGATCGGATTCGAGAGTTGACATCGTGTGAAAGAGCGGCGGGAACGGCTCACGCCTGACCCAGCATCAGAGTCTTTCCTTCAGCTATTGAGAGGAACCATCTGCGACGGCGTCTGCGTATCTTCTGCTTTTTCGATATCAACGGCGGCACTGCATTCGACGAATTCTTCCAGTTCTTCGCTGACAGTCTTCAACTTCTCCTTGACGGTCGTAACGCCTTCGACGCCTACAATGTGCCTTGCTGGAGGATTGTCATGCCCACCAATGGCAGCCACTGCATGGACAGTCTCGGCCACCAGACGTTCTTTCATGCCCTTGCTGAGGGGAGGGTAGAGACTGGTTACCTCGTTCGAATGCAGCTGATCTCCTGTTACTGGTTCAGAGGATCCATCGATTCTGTCCAGTAGTGATGACAGAATATTCCGTGAAAGTGGTGCTGGATTGTTCTCCTCGGTGTAGCATGCCATGGGCGGAGCCGAAGTGATGCGATGTGTCAAAACGTTGACTTCCATATTCGGTTGCACGATGGTCATCTTGATGTTGAATGGTGCGATCTCATAAGCTAGACTGTCGCAGTACCCTTCGATAGCCCATTGACTGGCACAGTACATGCTGAGCCCCGGTGTACCTAGATGTCCGGTGATGGCAGTTAGCAGCAAAATGTGTCCATTCTTCTTGGATCGGAAAATGGGCAGCGTGGCCTTGATAGCATTGACAGGTCCGAAGAAATTGGTGTCGAATTGATCCTTGACCAGACTCAAAGTTCGAGGGCTTTGGGACAACTCCTCGACCGTTCCTACAACGACTTCGGAGTGAGCACAGAAGAGGATGTCGATGCGGCCAAAGCATCGCACAGCTTCAGCGACGGCTGACTGGCATTGTCCCATGACCCTCACGTCTAGAGCCACGACCCGAAGGCGACTCCGCCATAGCTCTTTCTCGCGCTCCTGCTTCTCGGCTTTGCCCTTGTCCTTCCCACTAAAGCTCTCCCTCCTACTCCCATCTTCAACGCTCGCATTGACGGCCGCCGGGGATGCCAACTCTTCCAGAAAGTCCTTGAAGTCCTGGCTTCTCTCGGCCTCCTTCTCGAACTCCACGGGCTGTACTCCAGCAGTCACGTAGTCGCCGTGGGCTAGCAAGTGTCTGCACAGCGAGATGCCAATGGGGCTGTTGGCACAGGTCAAGAACCAGACTCGTGGAGCGTTGTGGGTAGGGAACTTGGGGGCTCGGGGGAGTTTGGTGTCGGACATGGCGGCGACGGAGAAATTGCCTCGGGGGGTCTGCGGGCGAAGACGTTCATGGATGCGCTCCTGCTACGAACAAGTTACCCGACGCTCGTGTTGCTGCAGTGCAGGATGGGCATCCGACAATGCTGCCGCCAGGACGAATCGGCAGGCGTGCCATCACATGCAAGCGATGCAGACGCCGGGTGAATCCAGAGATTGACTTCCGGATGAATGCGGGAGCTGCCGGCGCGCATCACAAGCGAGATCCGTCTCTCTCGTTCGTCTTCTCGATCCTCTCCAACACCAACAACACAACATCTCGATTGCACTGTCGCTACCACCAAAAGAACACCGCGCTGCTGGATATCGAAGACGTATCGACAAGCCGAACATCAGAGCCGGGAGCTTGTTATTCGCCTTCGCAGAGGTACATCTCCAACCGCGTAGAGCTTCTCTCCGCCAGGGACATCTTGTGAAGTACCAGCTTCTATAAATCGGCCACTTGGACGACTTTCCCTACATCCACATCTTGAGCGTATGCTCGCAAGTACTTGTCATCAGTCATGGCGGCGGTGAGAAGCACGCCGCTTGATGACGAGGTATGGACCCATCCAGCCATGATTCAGTGGTGGATCGCAGAGCAAGGCGGGAAGCACATGGACGAGAACTTTATCCATCGCTACTTCTCCGAGTCGCCCTTTTTCGACTGGACCAGCAAAAATGGCCTTCTCATGGATCAATCGAAGCGCGACATGAACTCCTGGAACATGGTCAGCAACCGCAAAGAGCTCGAGGCTACTCTGCGTCGGAGGGAGGGTGTGGAGTTCATGATTGTCGATACACCCCAACTCGTGTCAGACAAAGAGCTCGCCGCACAAGGCACCACCACTGGCATCTACGTCATCCGCAAGCAGGATCGCCAACGCGTTTCTGACCCATATTTACGTCCGCCTCATGTCTTGGTTGAAAAAGGCCCAGACGGCAAGGATGCGTGGGAACTTACGGTCCTTGGCACTTACTACATTGTCGGGGAGAATGTTCTCCAAGCCCCCAGCGTCTACGACATCATCTCGAATCGTCTGCTTACGTCAAGCGCCAGCCTGAACAAGCTCTTCCCCATCGCAAGCAGTCTGCCTCGCTACACGCCTGCTGCTGGCTTCCACTACCTCCCTCGCGCACAGAAAGCCACATCCTCTTTATCAGTACCAGGGACTCCTGCACGGTCACGCGAAGGCAGTGTGGCACCCGGCACAGACGACCAGTCCGTTCGTTCAGGATCTGTCCAAGCCGAGTCTCGAGCCGGTGGTACCATGTCATCGGCAACTTTGAAAGACATGAACTCGCTGAAACAATCTCTCGTCGATGCTATCGAGTTCGCCGATGAGTACATTGATGAAAACCCAATGATGGGCGAGCCCGGCAACTTTCGTTTCTCTGCCTCCAACGCCGCGATTAAGAAGCGTAGAGCGGATGAAGAGGCGGCAGCAGCGAAGGCCAAGGCTGAGAAGGAGTCTGCAACGACATCCCGTGCGGCATCGCCAAAAGCAGCAACCCCGCCTGCTGTCTTCACGGAAGCGGCAAAGACCACCGGTAAGGAGAAGATTAAGGATGGCGAGCGTCGAGGGAGCAAGAAGAGTGACAAGGCACGGAGGAAGAGCCGAGTGATTGCGAGTGGTTCTGCGACGAGTCCAACAACTCCAGGCAGCGCTACAAGTACTCAAGCCCCAAACTCAGCTCTCTGACGCAGGTGAGCAAAGGGAAGACGAGATGCCTGTGGACAAGATATTGCAAGCACAATGCGGTTTATGTGTTAGAAGATGTCTTTGCATCAAGCGGTGGCGTTCTGGTTTGATTTGTATGATACCCCAAACGGCAAATGGAAGCTGTGACTGCTTTAGCAATGACAATATCGAGCGCCCAAGACAAATCATGAGGCTCCTTTCTCACCGGCCGTATCGAAAATTCTCGCGGAGGCATTCGGTGAAAGCGTTGCCCCTTGTGGGACAACTTCCTCTACTGGAGGAGCAGCAGGTGAGATTCCTGAAGCTTAAACCCTAACCGCGCTATTTCATTCAGCTCCACGCCAGAGGAAGTATGTAGCAGCTCGTCCAGAAACACCTCTTCCAAGCTCGGCTCGTACTCTTATTGACGTAGTCTGACAAAGGCCACCAGTGCCATCGACTCAGCGAAACTCGCAACCTCTATCCAATCCAAGTCTTCCAGACGCTGAGAACTGTCCTGCCCTACTCCAAGGGTTTGGTGTTGGATCTGACGTGGATGAAGGATTGCAAATGCGTCTAACAACACATGCTGATAATCTCTGGTCTTCCTCGCTGAATCTGCTTGTTTGTCCGTCGCACCAACATCACAATGCCTGCCACCGTCTTGCAGGATACGACCTTGTTTCTTTCCACTTACCCACTCACCTCTCTGCTCACATTCATCTTCCTGGTCTCCATCTCCTACATCATCTACCAAACAGTCTTACACCCACTGGCGAGATTCCCCGGCCCCATCATCTGCTCCCTCTCAGACTCATATAAACTATGGATAACCGCCACCGACTGCGTTCCGGAGGCCATGGTCGCCCTGCATGCCAAGTACGGCGACATCGTACGCATTGGTCCGAGTGATTTACATTTCAACCAGCCTGAAGCTGTGGAAGGCATCTACAAGCGTGGTTGGCCGAAAGGCGACTTCTATCTCGGTTTTGATCAGAAGAACCCTGGTTTGTTCTCGGAGAGGAATGAAGTGGTCCATGGGAAGCGGAAGCGGATGTTTGGGAACAACTTCACCCCAACTGCGATCAGGTCGTACGAGAGCATTGTCGATGGTCGGTATGCGATCTTGAGGAAGCAGTTGGATCGGTTTGCGGAGAGTGGGGAGGTGTTCGACTTGAGGAAGTACATCACGTACTGCATCGTGGACATCCTGGGTGAGCTAGCGTTCAGCGAGGCGTTCGGGAATCAGGACGACGAAGATCCTAAGAAGATTCCCAGAGTCAGCGAGGCGCTTTGGAGTTGTTGTGTTGCCGGGAGTATGCCGAGTATGGCAGGAGCGATGGAGTGGTTGAAAGATCACTTGCCTCAGTCAGCGGAGGTCGCGGAACTGCTGGAAGGGAGGAATGTCATCTTCCGACTGGCCCTGACGAATATCGAGAAGAGGTCGAAAAAGTTGAATCTTGATGAGAGGCCAGACATGCTTGGCAGGATCATCGCTGCGAGCGAGGAGGGAACAGGAGCGAAGTTGACGCAGGCGCAAGTCATGGCGGAGGCGATTACGTTGGTTGTGGGAGGAACGCATACGACGGGGAATACGCTGCATCTCCTCTTTGCGAACCTCGCACGAAATGAAGAGTATCTCAAGAGATGTGTAAAGGAGATCGACGAGAGACTCCCAGCCCTCGAAGTCGGAAAGCCTTGCTACGAAATCACAGGACTGGAAGAGAAGTTGGATTTCGTGAAAGCATGTATCAAGGAGAACTTTCGCAAAGATCCCGTGGGGACGTTTAATATGCCCCGGACTGTGCCAGAGCAGGGAGCTTCCATTGCAGGGGTCCAAATCCCTGCAGGCGTAAGTGAATGTAGGGCTGCCAAGGTGGTAAATGGCTGACATCCTCGAACAGACCCAGGTTTCCATGAACATCCATGCGTTTCATCATAACCCCTCTGTATGGGGTCCGGATCACGACGTCTTCGATCCGGATCGCTGGTATGATCAACGGAATGATGGGTTGTCCAACCTTGTGATCCCATACTCAGTCGGCAAGCGGTCTTGCGTGGGTCAGAACCTGGCGAATGCGAACGTCCTGAAGATGACGACAACGCTGTTGAGATGCTACGAGTTTGAGTTTGTGAATAAGGATGAGCCGATGGTGGTCGTCTCGCATGGAGACTCTGATCTGCGAACACCGGTCTTGGTGAAGGTGAAGCGAAGAGGGCCTGTGTTTGCAGGGTAAAGATTGAGCGGGAACATCGTATTTACACTGGCATCTCAATACCATCGGGCAGTGGTACCCTCATAGCATTCATCAAAACGCACATGTAGCAGTACATGGCGACGTAGTGCGTCATTAGAAGTGTCACCTCCTTGCCGAGTTCCTTCACACAGGCATCATACAAATCCTGCGGTAACGGTCCTTGTTTGTTGACGAGATGGTAAGAGGCGTCGTAGGTCGCCGCAGCCGCTGGACTAAGTCCTTCAGGCTTCTTGCCAGCCTTCATCGCCACACATTGGTCGTGAGTAAGACCAGCCGTTTTGGTGGCGATGTTGTAATGGGCGTATTGCTCGAATTTGGCGTCGAACTTGGCGCTGTCGAATGATGAGCAGTCAAGACATCAACCATTGTCTGGGATACAAACCCAACCGTCAAAATCGCAACTTCTTTTGCATCTTTCGGGATGTCTCCCAATGACCCAAACTTGCTTATAGCCTCCGTAATGAGTTGTCCAACATCTTTCGAAGCGACGATGACAGGGAAAGGGCCCTCGAGACCGCCGTTGGCGTTTTGATATGTTAAAATTTGGCCATTTGGACCTAAAGTTGGGGCGACTCTTTCTTCGACCCACTCTGCGTACGGCTTGTATTCTTCTGGCCACTGAGAAGCTGGAGTTGGAGGATACGCGGGGGCCATGTCGTTCAACTGCTACGTTGTTCTATACTGAGGATGTGTGTGTGTAGGTGTAAGAGAGGATAAGGAAAGAGTCAAACCGCATATTCTCGTGGCGATGAATAAATCAGCGGCAGCTGAAGGAACCACATCCAGGGCTCTTCCATACTCGACTTCGACAATGCTGCGTCAGACCGAGCAAGCGTCAAACTCAAAACTGAGGAGTACCTGTAGCTGATTATCGCACACGATACCGAGTGCGCCGGTTATGATGGGGATGTATCGCGCCGACGGGTCCGAATGTTAGCATGAGACACAGAGAGCGCGCGAGGCTGCCGATAATCGAAGGCGATGCGCAGGGGATAATGTCGAGGGTTATGTAAGGCGTTCTGGGACCTGTCCTTGTCTTGGCCGGAGATGCAGGTGAATGTTTGGAGTGAGGTGACCTGATGTGGCCCGAGCTCCCGCAGCCAAAAAGCTTCGAGGCTTTTTCAGGACGTCGAGTTCATCGCGGTGCTGCTGCTGTCCGACATCCATCTCCGCTCGCTGCAACAGTCAGTCGTTGATTTAACCCGTCAATTGCAGCAGTCAAAGACAGTCGCAATGGCACCGTCAATACCAGCGCCCGAGGGCAAGGGCTCGGCCGCCAACACGGAGAGGGAGTCGACGGCCGCGCGAATTCTGGGAGCCGGTATACCTCCACCGTCACCAGCGCGTTGCGTCGAGATATCTAATGCTGAATTGATTGACTAGGCAGCGCGGGTATCGCCGAGCTCATCGTCTTCCACCCCGTCGACACCATCGCCAAGCGCCTCATGTCCAACCAGGGCCGAGTCACCAGCTCATCGCAACTGAACGAGGTCATTTTCCGAAAAAGCGCCCACGATCCCGTCATCCGCCGATTCTTCTCCCTCTTCCCGGGTCTGGGATATGCAGCAGCATACAAGGTCCTGCAGAGAGTGTACAAATACGGTGGACAGCCCTTCGTCAGGGACTACCTGGCACAACATCATGGGGAGGCTTTTGATCGGGCTTTTGGCAAGGGCAATGGCAAGGCCATCATGCACGCCACCGCTGGTTCATTGATTGGTATTGGCGAGATCGTCCTGCTGCCATTGGACGTCCTCAAGATCAAGAGACAGACAAACCCGGATGCATTCCGTGGCCGAGGCGTGCTGAAGATTGTCGCCGACGAGGGCTTTGGCTTATATCGCGGGTGGGGCTGGACGGCAGCACGTAACGCTCCTGGATCATTCGCTCTCTTTGGTGGATCTGCTGCCGCAAAGCAATACCTATTTGCACTGCAAGATTACAACTCAGCCACCTGGTTTCAGAACTTTGTCGCATCCATTGCAGGATCCAGCGCCTCCCTCATTGTCTCCGCTCCGCTCGATGTCGTTAAGACCCGTATTCAAAATCAGAACTTCGAGGTCAAGCGGTCCGGCGTCAAGATCATCGCGGATATGGCTCGCTACGAAGGATTCTCCGCCTTCTTCAAGGGCCTAGTACCCAAGCTGCTGATGACCGGTCCCAAGCTCACCTTTTCTTTCTGGCTGGCACAGACGCTGATCCCAGCCTTCAACAAGATGTTGTGAGACGTCTATTCACATAAAGAGCAAGGAGTTTAGGCGCAGTAAAGAGGGCGAACGAAAAGAAGCGCAAGGCATTGTTTGAGATACTCGTGCAAGACGTGCGATTGGGCTATCGATGGCAGCTCATAAGGCTGTCTCTTTCCACTCATGTACATATATGGCGTGGCTTAGACGAGGAGGAGAAGTCGCATGCGTTGCGGCTTGAAGGCAATTATGGATTGATCCAGGCAAGTTCCGCCGCTGATGGATACGAACGACCGCATGGACATGATTCTCATAGTTCTTCTCTATCTTGGCGCTGACTACAGCAATCCCTGGCCATAACGATAAGGTCAATGTAAGGGTGGGTTATCGTTATATAGAGGGTATCGCTATGGACAGTAGCACGTAATATATATTAGATAGTATTAAAATATAAGGATAATATAGTCTGTCTCGTACTATAGAGTCGACGACCTCGTAAGACTAGCTTATACCGGCTAAAAGTAGTAATAAGATCTATACTACTTTCCTCTTATTATTATTTATATAGTAATAGCCTCTTAAAAGTAGTAAAAGTATCTTAAATAGTAACTTTAGGTACTTCTTACTTTTACTCTTATTAATTTTTAGGCTTCTTAGTCTAATACTACTAAGTAATAAACTTAACTATATTATTAACCTCTTTATTAAGTACTTACTTATTAGGTAGGTTAATAAAAAGGCTAATATCTATAGCTTATTTAATAACTTTAGCCTACTCTAGTCGCTTTATAAGCTTAGCTACTTTATTAAACCTAGTAGGCCTAGGTAGTAGGCTTTAGACTACTCTAAAATATATTAAGTA